GGGGGGGGGGGGGGGGGGGGGGGGGGGGGGGGGGGGGGGGGGGGGGGGGGGGGGGGGGGGGGGGGGGGGGGGGGGGTTAAGCACTATAGGGAACAGCAGAGGTCTGCTTGGGTGGTGAGGCACTAAATGGCAGCAAGGTCATGCTGGATAGCAAGGGTATGCTGGGTGAGGAGGCAGCGCTTCACTCAAAGGGTGAAGCGCTATAGGGAGAAGCAGGGGTCCACTTGTAGGTGGAGCACACATAGAAGATGAACGATACAGGCTACTAGGAAGGGAAGGTAGGGTTGGAGGGACAGGGTGGAGGGGAAGGAATGGAGATGGACACAAACGTACGCGGTGCTGAAAATTGGAAATGGTGAAGAGAGAAGAAGAGAAGAAGAGGAAAAGGGGGAGGGAGTGGGTTTATATAGCCCTGAAGGGGAGCAAGATGGGAAAGAACAGAGAATCAAGCGCCCTGATTGGTCGAGAGCACCCAGGACAGCTCCTTCCCACTTTGTTCGATGGGAGTTCAGGGCCTCACCAAAATGGAAATGTTTCAGCTACCACAAAGATCACCACTTTAATCATAAGGAAACCCATGAAACTGGATAATTTTGACCTCCAGGTTTATAGTACAGACAATTCTCTTTAATTTGAGCCATCGAACGATCTGATTGAAGCTCTATAACCATGGATAAATGCTGTAGAAAAAGTGTAGACAAAACTACCATACAAAACAAGCTTTTGGTGGGTCTGGGCAGGTGCGGGCCGCCGCCGAGCCGCAGAGGCCAGTGCGCACAACGTGGTGAACGCCAAGAGCCATGGTCCGTGCAACCTTGCGATCGGGACTTTGTAAATCGCAGTAGAGCATGCCAGTAGGCCAAAGAACCCATAGCTCGATGGATAAACGCCAGGATGGCCCGTAGGCGCTGGGGGAGGCCGAAGAAGCTGACCCCACTGTTTCCCCGCGCTCTAGACCCGCAATCCAGCTGGAACGACCATTCCGGGCTTCCGACCAGCGGATCTGACAGTAGGAACCTCTGAGAATCGGTAGAGCTAAGCTAGACACCCGGTCTCAGCGGGATTCTCGAGATCTGGAACCCCTTCACCGGCGGGCATGACGCCTCTCCGGGCGCGCGATGGGCACGGCCGGCGCCGGCTATAGGTTCGACCAGGATGGCTTTATACAGCTACTAGACTACAGGAGCACTCAAGAGGCCAGTCCTGAGGCTGTTCCGCGCTCGCAGAGTCAGGCGGACCCCGGAGGCAGTGCGAAGGCCCCCGAACGACCGGTCGGCACCGCTGCTACCGCGCCCCTGGAGCCAGTAGGCTACGTCCATCTGACGAGCGAGCTACGAGGATACCGGTGTAGATTGATCGAGTACCGCGTCAGAAGAAGTAGTTGTGCATTCTTTCAGGGTGAAGCGAGTGCGTTGGGGCTTCCTGCTGCTCGCCTACGATGGAAAAGACGGACCGCGCTCTGCCTCACTTGAGCAGGGCTGCGGGGACGTCCTGAAGCAGTAAACAAGACTCATTCTCGAAGGAATTACCCCGGCGGAGACACAGGGGCGCGAACGCGGGCTTGTTTTGGCACCAGTACGGGGTTCACTGACGCGTCTTTGTGGGGACTACGACGTTGAGGTGGGTAGCACAGCCGTGCTTTGGAACATACGGTGTTAATGAAGATACGGGGTGCCTAGGAGCACGATACGAATGACGGGATACGAGGATGGGGGATGGGGGGATACAGGCGTCGCGAGCCATTCAAGGATGGAGCTCAGGGGCTTCATGGACAGCACCGGGAGATCTCGCTACTCCTAGGGCCAGGTAGAGCTTCAGATGGATAGGGTATTCGGACTGATGGATTGGGACTGCTACAGCTACAGCTTCAGATCGAAGCTGTCAGACGGATTCAGCCGCCGGTGGAGGATCCACCCACACGAGCGTACTAGATCCTCACGGGCGGGGGCCTGTGGGGGCATCAACTATCCACTACCCTTGACTACGCAGGTTCTGGTGTCTTGTTTCGAGAATCCCGTACGATTGAGCGATCGGACCAGCACTTGAGCAGAACTTTAGAACTGGCACATCTTGTCTACAGGCGACCGAGAACACCGAAATCCGACCGATCACTCGATTCGATGAGAATACGACAGTAACAACTAGCTTCTGCGTTTGCCGCGTCCGCCGAGGGCTCCAGGAAGCGCCTACACACTGAGACGGAGGTCGGGTATGGATAGGCAGACAAGGGGTATTCGACGCTTGATCTACGGGGGCAGGGGGTACGAGTGTTCCTACTGGCGCGGGGCCAAGGGGAGGGGAAGCATACGAATATTAATACACAGTGTAGAAGGCCAATTATGAGCTGTACAGAATTCTTTTTTTCAAAAAAAACCTCAATTTTAATAAGAATTGGCTGGGTTCTGGCACAAATATATATCCTGCACAGTGCGCAGGTGGTGTGTCGGCAGGTACGAACTTTTAGAAACGCGGAATGGAGATCGTGAATGCGTTTCCTACCTGGGCACCAACTTTACTCCACAGCAGATATGAGTTGGATGTAAAGATTGCTACCAAGCATGTGGTTTGAGATCGTTCGTCCACTCCCCTCGAACAGCGGGCTACACTGATTGCAGATCTACAGCAGGTTCACCTCGGCCCATGCTCACGCCTACCAGTACGGATTCGCTCGGTCAGATCACACCAGCAGCTAATTCCAAGACACGAATACCCTGAGTAAAGTGGACGAGTGCGCTGTGGCAGGACATTCAGCTTGAGAAGAGATTCTACGATCCGTGTTGCGTACGCGCAGAGCATCACGTCCGAGGGACCGAACCTCCGGGGACGACCATGCAGGCTGGGAGGGGGGAGAGGGGGGAAGCGGACTCATCAAAACGACTACAGAGGTATGGTGGAACAGTTGATGCACTTGGAGATACGGTCGAATACGGCGGCTTTATGGGACTGGGTGGTTCGCGGGTGTCAATCTTGGAGGCCAAGTGCATCGATCCCGAATCAGCAATTTCCAGGCATGAGATGCGAAGAAAGGGGAACAGGTAACGGGATTGACATGGTGGATGAGCCATGATGCGATTCCCCTTCAATTGTGCCAGACTCACTGATCCGGAGTGCCTTCTCTAGGATGCAAACTCAACTCTACGTTGGGAGCACCCGGCAAAAACAACGAGTCAAACGTTCTGTCAAAGAGACAAGCAGTCAAAAATCTGGTCTTCTCTGCATCAAGATCACCCTGACAAGCCTCCGCGTTGGATGAGTCCGATTGGGAGGACCGGCGGACTAGCAGTTTAGGACACAATCGATTCCATCGCATACGCGGTCTTACGGTATTGAAGGTAGGCATGCAGAATCTTCATTGAGTGACTGCTGCTCATGATTCTAACCAGAGGCAGATCTGCTTTTACGCGATTCTGGGGTATATTCGAGATTCAAACGGCACCAGAGCGCAAGTGGCGCTATAATCCAAGTCAGATATGCTTCTCCTGACTGAGCTTCTGATCGCTCATTCAATCCAGTTCGCCAATCTCCATGGAGCATGCTCGTTTCCGCGCAATACGCTCGATGGCCCTCCTCTCAAATCCCATCATGCTCGGTCGCTTGCACGGGAACCAGATCGGAGCGCCTTGACCATATCCTCCACCATACCCTCCGCACAGAATGGATACTTTGCTAGCTGGGCTCGAGAAAACCGGCCTACGCTGGAATCTGGGTCTTCGTGAGCTGTCAGTCACTACAAATCGGGAGCCCAGCCAGCGTGTTTGGGCGGAAAGCCGGTTCCCATACAAGAACTGCATCTACGGTGGACTTCGGGGAGCGAGAAACCCAGTCTATTGGTATCAAAACTAAGACAGAGATGCGATTACCCGCTCAAAGCTTGGACTTCTTGCCCGTCACATCGGGCACATCGTCTCCAGAGAGCAAAAAGTCGGGATAAGACAATTTGCCACTGGAAGCACCACCCGCCGACATGCGCCAGTTTGCGCCATCCACTGTTTCCCGTTAGCTCTATCGGATGCAATCAAATCGGCTGAACTCACCAACAAGTGTTTGACCGGTGACGTAGCTACCGGTATCAGAGAAAAGGTAAACGGTGGCATCTGCAATGTCCCGAACGTGGCCCAAGCGACCGAGAGGCTGGCCCTTGATATATGCCTCCAAGGCATCGGATGGTAGGAGGCGTTCGAAGCCCTTAATATTTCGGTTAGCTGACCCCTTAAAAAGAGAATTGACTACTCACCTCTGTCTGTGCAATAGGACCGGGTGCAATGATGTTGGAAGTGATGCCACGAGGACCGTACTCGAGTGCAACACTGTGCGACAAGGCATCGATACCAGCCTTGGCGACCGAGACGTGCGTTTGGAAAGGCATACCCCGGTAGTGAATGGTTGCGCTGACGAAGATAATTCTACCACCGGTGCCGATGGGCGATGGTTGCACTAAACAGAGTCAGTTATGCCTCCCGAACAATCGCCAAGACCCTTACTAGTCTTATTATCCATCTTATGCTTGTCACCCGACTCTCTCAAGTACGGCAATGTCGCCTTGAGGGTGTTATAAGAACCAATGACATCGATGTCCATCACCGATTTGAACGCATTGGCCGAAAGCTGCTCAATCGAAGCCAGGAAGTTACCCGCCGCGCCCGCACTACACGATTAGCATCACTCGTGAATTGAGGACCGAGTATATCATACATGACAAAGTCGATAGCTCCAAGTTCTTTCACACAGCGCTCCACAGCCTGCTGCAAAGCGTCCAGCTTGCGCACGTCCACGGACCCAATTCCAATAACCTTGGCGCCGGGCCGCGCAGTCGCAATATCTTGCGCGACGCGCTCGGTTTTTTCCACGTTGCGACCGATAATGCAGGCGTTTGCACCGAGGTGGACTAGAGCCCGGACTTGGGCACTGCAGATGGTGCCGGCGCCTCCGGTGCAGAAGACGACTTTGTTTGCTGTCGTGCATTAGCGTAACGGCTCAGACCAGGGTTGGGAACGCCGACTGACCGAAGATGCCATCCTTCCAGGAGTCGCTAAGATATTCGTTCTTTGGGAGAGGCATTTTATTTTGACAAGACGAGACGACACAAGATGATAGCTCAGGTGGGGAGTTGGAGAAGTTAAGGAGTTGCGTCGGCTTTTCCCCACATCTGGACCTCGGCTGCTTCGACTGCATAATTCTGGATTACGCATATTCGGGGATTTAATAGGTGGTTTTTGTGCAGATATTCGAATATTGTATTGGAATATTGGAATTATTGGAATATTGCTAACATTATAGTATTAGGAAGCATCCGAAGACTATAGGTCAATTCGGATCTATACTGATTTACTACAGGGAGTTAACATTTAATTTGAGATTGTCTACTATATAATTTACTATTTCAAAGTGTCTACTGTTTACTTACTATTTACTATGCTGAGTATACAAAGGTGAAGAAATGTCAACTCCGCGGTCGCTGATTGGCTGACGTCATGGAAAAACAAATTCATCGTTCTCTTCTTCTCTTCTTCTCTTCTCTTCTGTTTTCGACTTCAACTTCGACTGCCTCTTTTAACAATCAGAGTCATCTCTAAATACCATCCTTCATCATGGCCTGTCCCATCAGTGTCAGCAAGTTCGTTGGCACCGTGTCCCTCGGCCTGCTTACGGTACGTTCGCATCAACACTGCATCGCAGACAAACTGACCAGATAAAGGGCCTCTCCTACTCAACCTCAGCAATCACCATCCCCGCCCTTCAGCTCCTTCCCACGGCAACCACAGCCGCCCGCTCCCTCAACGAAGTCAAGCGCCTGAGTCGCCGCTACGCCCTCCGTCTCTCCTTCCTGACCAACTCCTGCTTCTGCTTCGCATGGTGTCTTTCCTCCCCACGTCGCCGACACCCCTACATGGTCTGGCTGTGGGCCTTCTCTACCCTTAGTGCGCACGGCGTGGACTTCTGGTTCAACCGCCACCTCGGCTTCAAGAACTGGGTTTCCACGGTTATCCGGGATGTGTCGCATTTCTCATTGACGGAGGCTAAGAAGGATGAGGATCTGGTGGTGGTTGAGACTGAGGATGAGGTCAATGGGGAGACTGTGCAGCGTGAGATGGGACGGGAGCGAAACTTGCACCGTGTGCGCGCTTGGTTGTCGGGCATTGCCCTGTCCATTGGCATTGTTGGGCTTTGGGGGGATAAGCGTTGATTCAGCCATTCTTGCTTTGCAAAACTACTTTTAAATGCCTGATACCTAATGAATTACACGTCCAATCAAATGCGGCTGATTTCCGTGGCGGGGGTGGGGGTGGATCTGCGGAGTATAAGGACTTCCCCAGCATATAAAAACAGGGGAACACTATGTAGAGAGGATAATCCATCTACAGCCATCATGTTCATCATCTTACTCCTCGCTGCAGTCTACATCCTCTTCCAGATCACCAAATCTCTTCTATCTCCCTTGAGATCCATCCCAGGTCCCTTCTGGGCACGCTTCAGCAACCTCTGGTACTTCAACCGTCTCCGGAAGGGCCGCTTCGAGCACGAAAACATCGCTCTACATCAGGAATATGGCCCCATCGTCCGTCTAGGTCCAAACCACTACAGCATCAGTGATGCCACGTCCGTGAAAAAGATCTACGGCCCAGGCTCCAAGTTCGCCAAGTCGGCTTGGTATGATTCCTGGAAACATCCTGCACAGTGGACGGTCTTTTCCGACCGGGATATCAAGAGACATTGTTCGTTCCCTATCAATCCTGGATATCTGATACGTTCATAAGCTAACACAATCAGCCGAAACCAGGAAACGTTTCACCAGCTTATATTCCATGACCTCACTCGTCCACTACGAGCCGTTCGTGGACCACTGTGCAGATTTATTCTCCGAGCGACTCAACGATTTTGCAGAGAATGGTAAAATATTCGATCTCGGCTATTGGTTCCAGTGCTATGCCTTTGACGTGATAGGCAATATCACGTTCGGAGAACGATTTGGTATGTCTTTAGATCTAGGTTACAAGCACAAGCTAATGGATACAGGGTTCCTGGACGAAGGTCGCGATATTAACGGGGCCATCTCGGCCTTGCACAGGGTTATCATGCATAGTACTCTCATCGGCGTGTATCCAGAATGGCACCCGCGGCTATTTGGAATACTCAGCAAATTCAAATCATCCGGTGCAGGGGGGCGGGCATACTTTATCAAATTCGTGCAAGAAAAGCTCAAACTGCGTGATAAAGTGGGTGTCGAATCTGAGGGACGGACCGAAGATTTTGTTGAAAAGATGATGATTGCCCGCGCCAAAGACCCCGAGAAAGTCACGGATTATCATCTCTTCATAATGGGCCAGTCAAATGTCATGGCAGGTTCAGATACCACGGCAATCAGTCTCTCGGCTATAATGTGGCATCTATTAAACTACCCCGACACACTACGAAAGCTGCGCGATGAACTAGACGAGTTCACGTCACAAGGACGATGCGGTGCATCTCCCAGTTTCAAAGAAACTCAGGAAATGCCCTACTTCCAAGCTGTCATTAAAGAGGCACTGAGAATGCATGCGGCAACAGGTCTTCCTATGTGGAGAACCGTTCCAGAAGGTGGTGCTGAGATCCACGGCCGGTTCATGTCTGAGGGGACCGTTGTCGGTATCAATACTTGGGTTGCGCATTATGATGAGTCTGTTTTCCCTGATGCGAGGACTTTCAGGCCGGAGAGGTGGATTGAAGCTGAGAGTTGGCCAGAGAAGCTGAAAGAAATGAATCAGATGTATATGCCGGTAAGTTGGACTGTGACCTAGGATGCTGGAGCAATGGCTGACTTGGATAGTTTGGTCTCGGGTCGAGAACTTGTCTTGGAAAACATATCTCGATTCTTGAAATGTCAAAGGTGATTCCTCGGCTGGTGCAGGAATTCGACTTCGTTCCCTTGAGGAAGACGTGGCGAACGGAGAACTTCTGGTTCGTCAAGCCTGTTGACTTTGAGGTCCAGGTTCAACGACGTATTCAAAAGTCATGAGCGAGCCAGTTCTATCACAAAACACCCTAACATGGGCTATAGTGCTTCGGGTTCCAATCTTACGAGTTGTGTCCATGGTCGATTTCTTTGGTTGCTTCCATTGCTCAAGAGCTATATCATCCACTATACACTTCGCATATTTTTCAATTCATCCCACTTCATCCGAGCTCAAGCCACCCCTATATTCAGCCTTCGATACTCCATAATCAACTCATTAACATCCCCCATGTCGGTGTGGTCGTATCGCGGGGACTGAACCCCCTCATCTGCCAAGTCCATAATTTTAGCAGCTTTGAAACGCGCCAAATGCCAAAATTCCAAAGCCTGCCGGAGGAATCCCACTTGCTTCCAGACTGTCGCTGGTGTCTGTGGATTATCCAAATCTTCTGGTACGCGCTGATCCCACATGCGTCGCCAGTTATCAAGACCCGTCTGCACCGGTGCTAATGTTGCTTCGAAGACAAGTGAGTTCTGGAGGTGGAACATCAAGGAGTGAATTGCTGGAGCCAGGTTAGCCTTTGCATAGAAAAGTAGGCAATTTCATGAGCTCCTGGGGCCTTACCTTGCACCATCGTGAATAAATTCAAAGTACCAAGCCGAGAAAACTCCCCGATGAGATCATCGTCAAGTTCCTTTTGACATATCTGCCGTACGACGGATACAATTGAGAGTCTGTTCTCCCAGAATTGGGTACCGCTCCAATATTCAAGTTCCAATCGACAGTCTATCGCAGACTCTGCTTGGAAGCATGATTCTGGACATGCGAGGTCCATCTTCAGTTCGGAGACTACCACTCGAGGTGGCGAGTTGTGGAAAATGACAAGTGCAGCATCAATGAGAAACACGAATGTGACAGTCCTAGTTCTGTTAGAAAAATTCCATGCTTGTGGCTGAGGAAAAATACCTGATCAATTCTTCTTGTTCTGCAAATTGCTTCCACCAAGACTGCAAGTCTTGGCGAGAGTCCAGATCTCGATGAGATGCTGCTTCAATTCCAATATTCCGAGCGAGCTATGAGTAAATTGTCAGGATCTTGTGGTTAGAGAAAAAGGGGGTTCCACGAACCGTCACCATCGAGGCATGACGATACCGTCGTATTCTTGCCTGTGTCTCCCCCGACCCCTCTCGCTTCTGTAGGGAACAAATCAAATATCCTGCTTGGGCGATTTGCAACACTTCTTTTCTCTGAGTCGATTCTGCGTACGGCTTCGCGTCTCGAAAGCAGTTGTGGCTGAATATGAGTTCCTCGGTGCTGTCAAGCCATTGTCTAGCTCTTTGCACATCATTCTGGGTGGGAGACAGACAAGCACCTATAATTGTCATGACACACAACAGTGTAGTAGGCGCTTTGAATGGATCAAACAGAGGCCTATGAACAATTGGGCAGTTCGGATACCAAAGAGACCAGAAATACTCCAAGAAACGCTGGATGTTGGCGGGCGCGAAGAATTCTTGACACTGGATTTGGGTCGTCGGTGTCCAATCAAAAGCTATCACGTCGTCATTTCGCTTGTTTGTTACGATGTTTTGTAAATCGCTCGTCAATTCCAATGTCTTCGCTGTCCAAGTCTCACTGTGAGGATCTGCCCGTGTTCTTTCAGTGCTGTCTTCGTAGTCGTCTGCAACGAGCTTTTGATTCCAGCGAAATGTTGCCTTGTCGGCAAAGGTGGACATCCCCAGCGAGCTGGTGAAATAAGCAAGGTGTTCCAGCCTTTCGGCTTTGAGTATGTCTGAATCAACATGCGGGAATAAAAGGTCCAAAGCCGAGAAGTCGAGTGGAGAATGTATGTCCTGTAGTGAATATGGCCCAGAATCAAGGAATGGATCTGGAATTGGCCCATTCAAGGCTTCGTCGAGGTTAACATTGATTTCGTTCGAATCAAGCCCGTCAGGTTGGTCTGCGATTGACTCTATCTGTTCCGACGTAGACTCAGGTAGGAGTGTCGAAGTCCCCAAGGGGTAGGATATTCCACCAGTACTGAGCTGGGTGATATCTTCTATGTTCAACGAGTAACACCGTCTCTTTGCATCACTTGGGATGTCGAAGTCGGCATCGAAATCATTGCCGGCGCACTGCTCGGCTATTAAGCGGGGTTGGCAGGTCCGTTCATGGCGGCGTAGTGAGTCGCTTGTTCAAATATGAGTCCATAGTACTCTTTTGATTTCATTTGATGGTTATACCTACCTTCGATTAAATGTGTTTCCGCACGACGCACAGACGTGTGGTCTTTTGTTATCATCTGTCGGTTGTTATTTCGGGGCCTTCGCCTATGGTGGATGGAAAACGAACGGGAGAGAGAATGCCGTTTGAGATGTTCGGGTCGACTGAATGTCGCTAGGCATATTTGGCAGTTCCATTCATTCATCCTGTCACTCTGCAAAGTTCAAGTGGTGTGAATCGGTAAACCGGGTGTTGCCGAAAGTGCGGGGTTATACATCAACTACAGCTGCGACTTGAATCTACCGATTGCTGTGCTATAATAATTGATTTGAATGAATTTGAAGATCTGACAGGCTGTTAAAATTGAGCTTACAATACTTCAGAAGTAGATACTGCAGCTCTTACTGCTCTCACTTTCCGCTTACTCTCTCACACTCTCTTAGTCTCGCTCACTGGCTCTCTCCATCCCATCCTGTCTTCTTCTTCTTCTTCTTCTTCTTCTTCTTCTTCTTCTTCTTCTTCTTCTTCTTCTTCTTCTTCTTCTTCTTCTTCTCCTCCTTCTTCTTCTTCACACCTCTCTTCCACCAATATCCACATAACAAACCCTACTCACTCCTTGCCATTTTACGTCACAATACCACCACAAATATGGACAAGAATATGAAAGCAATTAATGGGTGACAACCTCTTACGGGAGGGGCTTTTTAGCCATGATCGCTGGCCGAAGGGCCCTCAGGGCCGATTCCACGGAAATCACGCCCCTGAGCCTTACCCAGATTTGGGACATTGCACCTCTATTATGGGGCTGGGGCACAAGAGCTGGGTCCTGCGGTTGGTACCTGAGATGAAAAGGCTCTCCTTCGCCGACGGAGACAATTTCTCCTACCGCACCCGAAATTACTATTTTGAATCGCATGGCGTAAGTCACCTATTCTGAAGCCAAGAGTGCCACTATGGGCAGCTTGAATCTCAAGTTGATCAAGACTCTTTGATTTCTCAAGATCGGATGTTGACGGTTATTGACACAGGGATTGGACTGCATCTGATAATACTTCAAGGCGGTTTCTTCCCTATTTGGTGACGGGGACATAAGGCTAGAACGACAACCCACGAGACCAGCCGTTGTCATCATGGCACTGGGCATCTCACCGGCGCATCATTTCAGCAATTTCCAGCCAAACACCAACTTCGACTACGTCGAGTCAGACTTCTTTACAAAGACCGAATGGAAGAAGTTGCAGACCAAGAAGGACCCTCCGGTGAGGGCTTCTTTTTTGAAGGTTCCTACCCTGGTCTACTCAGATGCACCAGGGTCTTTCTAATGAGGCTACAGGACAGAGAAAAGCACACACAAAAGGCGATCCATTCATGGAGCGAGAGAAGTTGCAGGAGGAAAACTCCAAAGACCAACACTAGGGAGTTTGTGTCGAAATGGACTAGTGAGATGCTCTAGTCCTTAGATCAAGTACGCCCCGTTCAAAGATGGATATTGAATAGAGCTAACATATTCAGAGGCGAGTGAAAGATAATCTCCAGGTCTCTCAGCAGAAGCATGGTGTATACCTAGCTCTCATCACTGAAGAAGCTGAAATTGCTCGGTACTTTTACGACCATTTTTGGCTAGTCAGAAGGGGAGTTTCTCTCCCCTCCTTCCTTTTTTCTCTCCTTCTATGGGAGAGTTGGCCCTCAATGCGTTTGATTATTGGCTATGTCTGCTGGGCTTGCAATGGACATCTCCTACATGGCTGCTCTTCATATTGAATTTCTTCGTGTTTGGACATCTCCTAATGTAGAGATTATTGCCTGCGTCACACCCCAGACACAGAAATACAATAAGATCGAAGATCATTATCGTATTGCCTTTCGATACTAAGTACGCTGTAGTAGGAAGGTCGTTCAAAATTCAGATGACAGTGTATTGAAAATGACCCTGTCGTCTGCATAAACAGCCTATAATTTGTACAGAAATATTCATAGACAGTTCATCAATTTAAGCCAATTTAAGTCGAGCAAATCAAAATAGATTAATTCCAAGGCGCTAGGAACAACGGCGGACCCTTCGGAAATGAGACCCTTAGCGTTGGTGATTTAAATGAACAGGGTCCCCCATCTTGAATTCTGCTCAACTGTATCCAAATACTCATCATGGTCAATTTCACCATAGTCAACGGACAAGTCTACACCCCGGGACTAGCAATCGTCGATGCCCCGCAACCCAACACTCCCCTGGGAGGAGGTAGAGCCCATCACCCAATCTCACCAACAATCCACTAATATACGCAGACAACCTCCAAGTGGCAATTGATGTCTCTGGAAATGGCCAATTACCATGGCCAAGCTCAAGCGACTCATCCACCCGGTTCCACAGCATAACCCTATTCCTGACATCGCAGTCTAAATCCCACAATTTCACCATCTCCAACGGCACAAAGCCTGCTTCGAACTCAAGCTATGCATACCCGGTTCTTGACCTGGAGCCATCTTCGACTGTCAAGCATGTGAATTGGATCTGGCCTGAGTGTTTTGTCGGCGATGGTTCTGGATCTAAAGATTCGGCGCGCGGTGAATACAATATCTCCATGCATCAAGCTTTCCGGTGGAATGACACGGACTGTTACACTGTTTTTGATTTGCCGATCTCTGTCACTAATAGTATCTCTTCGAGCGATGATCGGATTGATTGTGATTTACTGGAAAATAAGCTTCTTACTGCGGCGGAGATCGACAAAAGCTCGGATACATTGCCTGGTCAGCCGTGGGTTGAGGGCGTGAGCACGACATCGAGTTCTGGGGCTGCCGAGACAGGAATAGGGAATCATTGTCATGCGGGATTCAAAAGGATCGTGGGCGCTGTGTTCGCTGTGACTGCTGTCTTGCATTTATTGGGTTGAGATGCCCTTGATACCCGATTTCATCCCTTGTACATCATTTTGAATCTAATATTTCGCGACTTGCGGCATTTTCTTATGAGATCGCATCGCAAGAATATGATCATGATTATTTTTCTCATTTGGATTATTTTATCACTACTCGGATTTTGCATACAAATAAATCTCGCAGTCATCGATCTGACATCCCTTCATCGAAATGTCAACAGGCACGCGCCCAAGACCCGACTATCCATCCCTAGATTGCCCACTTAACTTCTACTCGTAGCCATGTGCGATCAAAGATTCCTCATGCTCACCATGTCCCATTGCATGCAGTCGCCAGCCCGAGCAACCCATTGATCCCATGACACTCCTCTCCGCCAGAAGAGCACTGCGGTACCGACTCGCACGAGCTCTAATCCTAATCCTCCTCAGCTGGAGCCTGATAGAACTCCACCTAATCCAGCACCAAATATACGAAGCAGAAAACACCCAACGCACACCCCGAAAAGAACGAATCTACATCGCAAGTGTGAACTGGAACAACGAACAAGTCCTCCGCAGCCACTGGAACAAAGCCGTTCTGAATCTTGTCTCAGAGCTTGGGGCTGAGAATGTTTTTATCAGCATATACGAGAGTGGGAGTTATGATAATACGAAAGGGGCGTTGAGGGAGTTGGATTGGGAACTTGATAAACTGGGGATTGCGAGGAATGTCACTCTTTCCTCTGTGACGCATCAGGATGAAATTGCTGCGCCGGCGAGGGGGGATGGCTGGATTACTACGCCTAAGGGGAATCGGCAACTGAGGCGTATACCGTATCTTGCGAGGGTGCGGAATTTGAGTTTATTGCCTTTGCAGGACCTTGCGAGGAAGGGGATCCTTTTTGATAAGATATTGTTTTTGAATGATGTTGTGTTCACTGTGAGTTGTGTTGTTTTGCTTGGTTGAGATCCATGCTAATAGTGTTTGCAATAGCCGAGTGATGTCTTTGAACTGTTGGATACTAATGAAGGGGATTATGGAGCTGCTTGCTCATTGGACTTTTCCAAGCCACCCCATTACTACGACACATTTGCTTTGCGGGATATCAATGGGCGCGAAGCTATCATGCATACATGGCCATATTTCAGCTCCAAGGTGTCTCGATCTGCAATGAAACGCATGTCACCAGTACCTGTAACAAGCTGTTGGAACGGAATGGGTATGTATTCCGCCTCATTTGTGAGACAATTATTGACCTATTCCAGTTGCAATGCCGGCAAAACCATTCCTCGACCATCCGCCCCTGCGATTCCGCGGTATTCCAGACTCCCTGGCCCAGCTTCATCTTGAAGGTTCCGAGTGCTGTCTCATCCACGTTGATAACCCATTATCCGAGAAAGGCGTCTACCTCAATCCCCTGGTCAGGGTGGGATATAACGGCGCGGCATATGCTGCGGTCCATCCGATCATGAGCTGGCTCTCTGCTTGGAGGATCGTGCAGGGTACATGGACCAATCGAGTCCGTCGACTGGGTGACACAGCCTGGCTAAAAGGCGAGAAGATTCGCAGGCGGATTGATCGATGGGCAGCTTTGGATACTAAGCATCAAGAAGATGGTCAGATTTGCATTATTGATGAGATGCAGATTCTCCATCGATATGGGTGGATTCATGTATAGCAACATAATACTGTATATAGTCCAATGTAATTTTGGGATCCAAATACTTTCTTCCACGCAACCATGACACCCGTCTCAAATGCATATATGACATTAAACAATATATGATACCCTCGAGTATGCACACCAGATTATCCTTAAGTAGCAGGTTCTCCAGGGCTGTTCCAACATACAAATCAGTATGAACTCATCAGATCAAACCGAGCTCTTTCCCTCCCCCTCCGCTTCCTTAACCACAACAGGCGCCGGCTTAGGCGGCGCCGGCGCAATCCAAAACACCGGATATCTGCGCTGCAAATTATTCAACAAAAGCGCACAAACCAACAACAAAGCCGAAGACAGCAGAACCACAGGCAAATAATACCACGAAAGTTCCCAAATCTCCTGATTAGTAGCAGGCAGCAAAGCCGTCGCACCAGCAGGGGGATGCGTAGTACCCGTGAACTGCATAACCACAATCGCAATAGCCGTTGAAAGCGAAGCAGCCAGCCAACGAAGCGATTCAAACCGCGCTTCCGGCATCAGACTGAATAATTTAGTGATGCATACGCCGATTAAGGCACTGAAGAAATGGCCGAAGATGAGAGCACGCGGTTGAGCCAGTGGGCTTTCAATTGCGCCGAATACGAGAACGGCTGAGGCGCCCTGGTTTGGTGAGTCATTTACCCAGTGGAGATGGAGATGAGGTTTTTGCCACTCACGTAGGATGCTACTATTCCTGGGACGTGGCGGTCTTTGAAATAGGTTGAGTAATTGAAGATTGCTTGGAGGACTGAGAGGCCTCCGAAGGCTATTATAAAAGACCATAGGGCCACTTGGTATTGTGGAAGTGGTTTGGGGGTCTCGGGGCGATAGCCAAGCCAGTGGCTGGCCCAACGGGGGAGGCGGGCGAGGCGAGACATTCCGTTTTATTAAAGTACAAGATTATAGATGTGCATAGTAAAGTTAAAAATTCAAAGGAAAAGTAGTGAATATGGGCAGTTTTGAACAAAATTGGAGAAACATCTAAGCAGAAAAAAAAGAAGGCAAAATTGGAGAAAAAAAAGGGGGCGTGCGGAGAATGTGAGGGGATATTTCTATGACACATAGAAATGGAAATTACTATACAATTCGCTAGTTGGCTATTTCGCTGCTTCTTTATACACCCTGCTCGGGCAGCTCTCGACTGACAATATGCGATTCACCCAATGTACCCTTCATGACGAGCACCAGATCATCCACGGCTGCCAGGAACTTGAGGTAGGCACTGACAGCCACACAGAAGCGACGGTAGTTTTCGTCGCGGATTAATTCCGTGCTCAGCGCAATATCCACCTGCCGGGAAAGCCAGAAGTCATGACAACGCTTCAGCAAGGGTGTAGGAAGGACCTCGGGGAGAGCATCGCCTGTCTTGAGGGATTGCTCCACAATACCGAGGACGGCCATGACATCGCCGACGTTGCGGTGATCCAGGAGACCTGCCTGGCGCGCGAGTCGGGTCTGGAGATGCTCGGGCAGGGAGGCAGAGAGATAAAGCAGACGACCGAGATTCTGGTTGAGTTCTTGGCAGAGGGATTTGACTTGGCCCAGACGCTCGCTGTCGAAGGGTGAGCTGGAAAACTCGAAGCGGAGGAGTGCTACGGGCCCATCGAGTGATGTTAGGGTTTCGGCGAGATCGAGGGCAAGTTGTTCGGCTGCTAGGCCTTCCTCGCGTCCTTGGCCCCAGCATGAGAGGAGGAGGGCGTAGTGGTCGGATAAAGAGCGGATGACGTTGGAAAGAGACTTGCAGATGTGGCGCGAGGCAGAGGGTGGACGTGGGAAGAGCTGGACAATTAGTGCAGCGGCGGACCCAATGAGAACGAGAACAAGTCGTCGCCAGAAGACGTTGTAACCCCAGCCAGGGTTTCCGTAGGAGGGGATGTGTCTGGAGAGGATTAGCTGGGTCTATAACGGAGGCGAGGGTTAACTTACGTATCATCGTAGCTGTAGCCGATCACAAGAATACAGGTCGCTCCAGCCATCATCATGGCTTGGAGCAAGGCCATGGGAGCGAAAATGCGTCCCCACATGAGAATGATGATCACAGCGGCCATGACAGCCGCGAGGCCATACGGATTGCCAGGGCCGTGTCCGGAGCCAATATACCACGCAACCAGCCCCAGAACACCACCAATAATTGTACCGATGGCTCGGCATAAGAGGGAGAACGTGAAGTCGGCCATATAGATGACTAGGGTGGTTTGTCCCATGATCAATGCCCAGAGTCCCTTCTCACGGTAGTAGAAGCCCGCAGAGTGGGGGATTGCTGCGGGAATAGCGAGTGCAACCGTAACAATGACCATGCGCATAGCGTACAGACCATCCGGGTTGATGAGCCAGTGATAAGAACCAATGATCGCTTTTCCTAGTCCACTGCGTCGGTTCACGCGGTATCCTCGACTGATGCGCAGATGCTGCTGAGCGGCTTTAGACTGAGCCTCTGCGACGTCAGGATCGACCGTCGGTTCGGAAGCTGCTGGAACAGGTGCCAGTGCGTTCTTGCGACGAACCCAGTTGACTGCATATCGCAGTCCTTTGGGTAGCCACAGTCGGATTTTCTGTCTTTCTTTGAGGAGATTGACAAGTTGACCCAGGACACGCTCCCATCCGTCCGCGACGCCGAGAACCTGCTCTTCGAATATCATTCCGATGGTGATGCCTCTGACTCTATGCACCGAAGACTCGTCAAGAGTCTTGAGCTTACCCTTCTCGTCGAAGATCTCGGCATGGGTGGAGATGAGGCGTTCAGTTGTTTCAGTCGCGAATGCCTCGCGCAGTGATTGTAAGTTCTGCAGCGCAGACTGAGTACGTTCGCATAGTTCAATAAGGTGTTCTTTGGAAGCACGACCAAACCATCGTTTGTTTACGGTACCGATGCACTCGGCAATCAGCTCCGTGGCGTGCTGACACGCCGGAAGAATATCCTTGCTGGACTGTCGTAAGGCATCAATGGTTTCCGATCGAAGAGATTCATGCTCCGGGCTTCGAAGCGCTTGAACGAGATTGACGCTCTCAATCAATTGGCGCATACCGACCTCACGCGGGCGATCCTTTTCCTTCCCGGTTGTTTGTGACTCAGTATCCGAGTCGCGATCAACGGTAAGTTGGTGCAGTTTCTCCAGCTTTGCATGTCCTCCAATACGGGCGATGTGAACTTCCAGCAGGGACAGACTAGTCATCAAAGCCTGGCGAATCGGTTGCTTCATACTCTTCACGTCATCAGCTCCCCACCAGCCAACCGAAAAATCCAATGGCAAAAAGCCCATTGCCGGTTCCATGGCCTTGTAAGTAGCAATACACTTCACCTTTATGGCGTTCAGCTCTGCGAGGGTCAGATCCTCGCCTTTAAGCAAACTGGTGTCCGTGGCGTCAAGAGGACCTTTCAGTAAACAGACAAGTCCCTGCATTTGATCGAGAACAACATGCGAAGTAGACCTGGGGAAGAAGATGAAGTGAGAAACCAATCCCAGTCCAATTCCGATGGCAGCTGGCTCAACCAGTACTTTGGCGATAGTTCCATTGAACGAAGGAAGTAGCGGGCCAATAGTCAGCGTAACATCGACAATAATAATGCCGAATATCTGCAGCAAGATCATCTTGGGGTTCTTGGCACGAAGACGGGACTGGAGGGCAGTTAGATCATACACCACGAAAAAAAAAACACTAAGGCACCTGTAGACTCACCAACATATAAATGAACAGGCAGATCAAACAATAGTACACAGCCGTAACACGCGCATCAAGCATCCAACCCGAATACACGAGCTCTTGTTGCACGGCAGCCACACTCTGCCCCGTGGCATTAGCAGTGGTATAGGCCGTTTGACCCAGAGCCTGAAGCCGAGCCTGGGTTTCAATCGCCGGTCTAGCCGCCTGAGCCGCTTTCATAGCAATCACACCCCAGGCCCAGCCAAGGGCCATTCCCAAGATGAGAGTCAACGATCCCAGTAAGAAGATGAATACAATGCCGGTCGGGGGGACCATGAACAGCACCAGACTGATGGGAGTTAGAGCACTGCGCAGTTTGTGTGGGGATTCGACTCACGTTGCGAAGAAAGTCGCCGTGCCAATTGTGGTCAGTGACGGCGTGATGAAAATTAACAGCGACGCGACCCAAGCCGCTAGCGAGCAGCGGAAGAGGACTTTCAGATCGCGCGCATTGAAATGATCCAGCCATCCAGGCAGTTTCCTGCCTTTCGGCTTGGGCGCAGACCCGGTGGGAGTCGCAGACCGGGACTGGTCAGTCATGTTGGTTCATGGAAGTGTGTCGTTGGAGAGAGCTTGAGGGTGAAACTTTACTCGGAAACGGAATGAGGGGAGACGGGTAAGATTCTGACGGGCAGAAAAGATCGGCGCGATGCAACTATTTAATTTGTTGATCTCAAAACCTCTGATCAAATGTCTTAACCCGTTGGATGATCAACTTGACTTTTGCCTTATTGCTTGGGGATCGGCGCATTAGAGCGTGCACAATCGGGCTTTTATGCCGGGCCACAGGGCTTGGCTTTGAATTTTTACTTTGTATTTCAATATCGAAGGCCAAGGATTTTAGGGATTTTAGGTAACTTTATTGACTTGAGAGCAGAATTCAAGTAAAAAATTCGTCTGGGTCCAGGCACACTATTGAAACATTGCCGGATTAGGGTAGGTTACTACGAAAGGGGTTCACTTTTATTTCCCAGGACTACCATGTACTCCCACTATATTTAAAGACATCCATAGATAGTACAAATTACAGCTTGGCAGACGGAGGTTACAGGTCATTCTTCTCCGTCCTGTACTTTGTACAATTATGCAAGTCAATATTCTTCATTGTGCATAACCGGTTGCATACAAGATGCCTCAGGCACTAGTATATGCCTGATATACTAGGCGTCAATCTCAGCCTTGAGATCGACAAACATCAAATGCTCTTTGATTTGTAAATATCCCTCACAGACCCGGTCAAACTTGATCATTTCATCATGGCCAGTCTGGACGAGTATATGGGAACCGCGACCCTGTTTTGAGCGTGAGCGACCGTTAAAAAAAGGAAAAAAAAACTCTGGCATATTCTCACCTCGTCCCATTTAACCTCGGCATGCGAGGATCCAGGCCTCTCATGGACAGACAAAGTCCAAATATTCTCACCAATTAAGGGAAATTTCTGCAATGTGTGAATCAACCACAGAGCCTCTTGGTATACCTCACTCGACTCCTGGCCCGATCCTTGCGCACTAGCCAGATAACTTTGCAGTCCCTCCAGTCTGGAGTCCAGCTCCGTCGTGCCCAAGAAAATTGCCCCGCTGGTGGAGCTAGCAATGCTGTGGAGGTCTATAGTGGAATCCTCTGCTGTGGACTGAGAATACAACAAAGCCTGGAAAAGATTAGCTACAGTCTCCACGATCCAAAGATCCACTGACACTCTTGACTAAAAGTCCTCCGGCACTATGTGCAATGAAAATAATTGGCCGGTTGGATGTCTGGAAGATTCACGCATTAGCTACTTGGCGGAGGCGGTTCGGGATCAATGTCAGACACACATTTGTTGCCGACCTTAACTTCCACAGATCCAAGATCAACTTCTCTGCTGCCAATTGCTGTGATGTCGTTCCCGGAGAGTCCGCTGTGGTTGCTAATTTCCAGCCCCATGAGGCAACCCGGATGCCGGGCATATCCGTCGGCAGCAGATCGCGGAGCCAGTTCGTCCCGTTCGCTGCTGTCCATGATCTTTCGCGATGCCCGTTCAATCCATGAACGGCGATGATGCTACACCATTGCTTAGATTAAGATGATACTCATTTGAGGCTGGACACTTACTCCACTCCGATTGCGCCTGCGCCCTCATAGAGCACTTTAAACCCACCATCTTCGCTGTCGGGTGGCGGAAAGGATGGAGTTGGTTTCTATGATTCTTAGTGCATGGATCTCACTGTAGTCTGATACTGCTCACTGGTCTTTGTCGCAAACGAAACGGTAAGCACCATAAGCAGGACATCTTTCACCGTGCGGGGTCTAGCGGGGAAGTGGTCAAGTCAAGTATAGCCCGGCGATCTGAATCTGGGGTCCCCAATGCACCTCTGGACAAGGAATCGTCGGTTCACATGAGAGTCAGAAAGTAGATTTGGCCCATTTATGGGGCTTGCAGTGCCATCAATGACCAATGGGTGAGATCTGACTAATTTTGCCTCCAGGGCTAAAGGGCTGCACCTCCACTGGGCCGGGCTCCAAGACCAGGTCCGGGGCTGTTGGGTGTGCCCTGTTCCCGGTCCTTTCTATTACTTTGGTCAGGCGTACTTGGACTCTCCGACTTTCTTGAATCTTTCTTTGATGGGATCCGCTTGCCCTCGTATATTATGCTGGTGCAGTAGCTCAAGCCCTAGTTTCACCCAGTCTATCTACTTGTATAGAATCATGATATCGCTACCAAACCAATGCCAATCTCAAATTTCCGGACCAACTCTGCCAAGGAGAAAAAGAGCAGATTTAAGGTGGGAGATCTGTAACGGTTCACAGCGGGTAGGATTGACACCTCAGGCTACAACTTATGCCTGAGAAATCAGGCTCTTTGGAATTTGTAACTTCTCCGCATCACGTGTCTTCTGCAGACGTCTAGTTGCCTTCCACATCCGTCGACATTCCACGTTGGGACATGCAACCAGGTGAAACAGCAATTCGTACTCAGATGTGATTATGGCGAATCTGAACGAAAAAAAAGTTAGTCAATCGCCCCCCGGGGCCCGAAAAAAAGTGGAGAGGCCGAGCTCCGGAGGCATACAATCCAATGAACCTCCCCGCGGTGGAGCAGAAAACGGACGCGCGAAAGATGGATGGCCGATGTCGTGCTTAAATCTGATTTAAGATTCTCTCAAAAAAGGGCCAGTCCCCCCAATCTTGGTGTTCTATCATTTTTTTGGCATTTTTGGGGAATCATGGCCACCACGGAGAAACATGGCTTTGACGACGAGAAAGTCCAGCCAGCACCCGACACAGACTTCACCTACGATGTTGATCCCAAGTCCGAATTCGAGCTCGGCGTCGGCGGTCGCGCGCCTTTGCAGCGACGCCTGCGCAATTACCATGTTACCATGATCGGTTTCTGCAGCGGTATTGGTACCGGTCTGTTTGTGGGAACTGGTTCTGCTTATGCAAAGGCTGGTCCGGCGGGCTTGCTGCTCGCTTATATTGTGGTCGGAATGATCTTGTGGGCGGTGATGCAGAGTATTGCGGAGTTGGCGACAGTTTTCCCTACTGCGGGATCTTTCCCCCACTGGGCGACACGATTCGTTGACCCGGCGGTCGGATTTTCGCTGGCGATTTCATACGGATACTGCTATACGATTGCGATCGCATCGGAGGTTTCGGCGGCGGCGGTCATTGTTTCATATTGGACGGACATAACGCCGGCGGTGGTCATCACTGTTGGATTGGTCCTGATTTTATGGATCAATTTGATGAGTGTGAGGTTCTATGGTGAGAGCGAGGTGTTCGGAGGTGGCGTCAAAGTTCTCTGTTTCATCGGCCTGGTCTTTGTCTCTTTGGTGATCACTGCAGGCGGTGGTCCGACCGGCGACGCCATCGGGTTCCGCTACTGGAACAATCCCGGTCCGTGGACAAATTACAACGGTGTCACAGGTCCCGCCGGTCACTTCTTCGGCTTCCTGTCGTCTTTCGTCAATGCCTCTTTCAGTTTCATCGGTGTCGAGACTGTGGTCATTACTGCCTCCGAATCAGTTGATCCCCACCGCGCCATTCCCAAGGCCGCCCGTCGAGTCACCTACCGCATTGCCTTTTTCTATATCCTCGGAGCACTCCTCATCGGTATCATCGTCGACCCGAGATCCCCTGGTCTTGTCTCCGGCGATGACAATGCTGCCAGTTCGCCTTTCGTCATTGCCATTTCCAATGCTGGTATCAAAGCGCTTCCCTCAATTGTGAATGCATGCATTCTTATCGCAGCCTGGTCCGCCGGAAACTCGTACTGCTGGGTCGGATCGCGCATGATCGTCGCCATGACCACCGACCGTCAGCTTCCTCAAATCTTCGGGCGTGTGGATAAGAAGGGTGTGCCTTACGTGGCTGTCATCGCGTCCTGGCTCTTCGGTCCTCTTGCGTACCTGAGTCTCGGGTCCGGCGGTGCTGCCCAGGCATTCACATGGCTTCTGAATCTGAGTACTGTAGCTGGATTGATTGCGTGGGCAACTCTTTGCTTCTGCTACATTCGGTTCTACGCCGCGATGAAGAAGCAGAATGTGAGCCGAGACACCCTACCATGGAAGGCACCATTTCAACCTTATGCCGCCTGGTTTGGTTTCATCGGCTCTGTAATCATCACCCTGGTTGCTGGCTTCCCCGTCTTCTTGAAGGGAAACTGGAATACCTCGGACTTCATTGCCTCTTACATTGGCATTCCCATTTTCATTGTGCCCATCATCCTGTGGAAGATCTTTTACCGCACCAAGGTAAGTTTCGGTCGCAAATTCTATTTTGGTCACAAACTAACCCAATTCACAGTTTGAACGTGCTGCCAACATTGACTTATGGTCAGGTCGCCTCCAGGATGGAGAGATCACGCGGGATGAAACTCCTCGCACTGGCTTCCTTCAAAAGTTGTCCGATTGGCTTTTCTAAATGACTTTATGATGTATAATACCTGCATGCCCTTTGGGCCTTCAACATGAGCGATGTACAGTTTTCAACACAAGCGATGTACAATATTTATAGAGCGATATACCATATTCAACAAAATTCTCTCTTTTTTTTTACACATTTCTCTGTCAATTGGCCTTGAATTGTTCCCCGAGCTTCTTGATATCATGGTGCGAAGCCTTGCAGCACCCACCCACAAGGAAAGACTTGAAATGGCCCTTTTCGTATGATTCATTGACCACCTGAGCCAACTGAACCTCCCACGGCCGCTATAAACCAAATCAGCATAAGTTCTTTTGCTTGCCACGTAGTCCCCAATACTCACATTGTCACTCACATTATCATTCCATTCACTCGGCTTCTCCCAAACCTGAGTGGTAGTGTTGTAAACCTCCCCATTCGTACCATCAGGATACAGCACCAAACTTGGCACATCACCCCCAATCTCCTTGACAGCCCTCCCAAACGAATCCACAAGCCCAGAAAGCTTATGCATCTTCGTACAATTGATCCCAACACCCCAAGGAGCCGGACCCTCTCCACTAAGCATAGCCTTCACAACATCCCCCACCCCACTCCCATCCGGCAACAACTCATCCTCCCGGGGGAAAACACAAGCAATCCAAAATGGCACATTAATCCCGGAATCAGCCATCGCCCTCCTCACAGCCCGAACCTCATCCAGCCTCGGCAAAGTCTCAAAAGCAACATACTTCAACCCCTCCACCCCCGCCTCAACAAACATCTTCAATCGCTCAAGATGCCAAACATACAAACTCTCCTCACTGTCATGTTCCGCATCATATTGCCCGCTATATTCCTGCCCAGGAATCATACAAGCACCATACGGCCCAAGACTGAGCGCCACGCTAGCGGTGTCCCGCACTTTCGCACGAAGCGCAATATCAACAGCTGTCCGCAGATAGGGCACAATGGCACCACGCGGAATTCCCTCTGGGTGTTGCGCTGTTTTTGTTCGCACAAACCCCTCCGGTGAGACTTGGTAGGTTGCTGTTAGGAGGATGTCTACCCCTGCGCGTCCGAAGTCGGACTGGCATGCTTCTAGCGTTGTGGGGTCGCTGATAAGCATGTGCGAGGCCCAGAGGGGTGTGCTTGTGGATGTGAATTTGACATTGTAGAGGTCGCCTAGGGAGGTGCCTAGGCCTCCGTCGAGGATTTGGACGGTTGCCATTTTTTGAGGGTTGGTTGGTGAGGTGGGGGTTTGATAGAACCGATGTCGCGCGGGCGATTACATAAGGGTTATTTTTGAAAGTGGAGATGAGTTTCGGAATATACGATGAGTAAGTGGTTGAAAGGATTGGATATTTTGCTGATCGGAGTGGCTTATACTCGGAGTGGTTTATGCTAAATGTGGTTGGAGGTGTAGTCTACTTAGGGCACATTGGATGGCTCAGATCTTCAATTGATCTAGGCTCATGCAAAAGAAGGCTGTAGCTTCCCACAAGCCCGATCAGCTAGTCGCTCTCTCATTAGGAAGTCATAAACATGGGACGCCCAGGCACAGCAGGTCTTTCTCGTGTCCTTGGGGTCAATGATCTCCTCGATACCAAACGCATTGGCAGTGCGAACAGGATTCATCAATCGTTGATATTCCTCTTCCAGCTCCTGATACCGTTCCTCTTTCTTGCCGACCTTCTCTGCCTCACGCAGCTCATGTCGATGACCTACCTCAATGCCACCATCCAGAGGCAAAGAGCCCCACTGCCCAGAAGGCCAAGCAACCTGCATAACCGGATCTCGACACCCTAACATGACACCGCCCGCAACACCGAACACACGCCGAGTCACCACGTTAAAGACTGGCACAGTGGTGCTAAAGTAAGCCTTGGCAAGCTCAACACCCCAGCGCATTGTCGCAGTCCGCTCAGCAACGGTACCAATGGCATATCCAGCTTCCACCCCGTTAGCATGCCAATAACCAGCCAGGCGCTGAATTTCACTTACGGACGTCCAAAAATTGCAGAATAGGGAGATTCATCACATCACACAACTTCAACAACCTAGTCAATTTCTGACTCCCGGCCGCATCCAACGCGCCTCCATTCACTTCACAGTTCAGCGAGATAATCCCAACAGGTCGACCACCTAGTCGTGCCAGGCCACCAATCGCAGTCCGACCCCAGAGCGCACCAATCTCGAACCAAGAACCTTTGTCAACAACAGACAAAATGATCGAAAGCGCATTATACATGCGCGCCTGTCGTCGGGGGATAATACTCCGCAAAGCAATATCCTCTCGATCCTCCGGGTCCGTACACGAAATCACCGGTGGTGCCTCACTCCCACTATTAGGCAAATAGCCCAAAACCGTGCGAAGCTGCTCGTAGCACTCGGCCTCATTCGCAGCAAGGTTATCAATAGTCCCATTGGTACAATGGACCATTGGACCACCCAGATCCTGGAAACCAAGATCTTCTTCAAATGTGGCACCCTCCACAACCTTAGGTCCAGCATTGAACAATGCCCCAATATCAGCAGCCATTACCGAAAAGTGACACGATACAACCCTGGCAGCACCAAGCCCGATCTACTAATCATTAGCAATCACCATGTATAACCGGGATAAACCCACCGCCGGCCCAACAACAGCTCCCAAATTCGGAATCCCCATATTCAACTGCTGAATCACAAACGGAAACGACGCCACATGAGGAAGATAACTCCACCCCTCCTTCTTGATCGTCGTCACACTCCCACCCCCAGAACTCCCATCCACAAGCTTAACAACCGGCACACGCAGCGCAATAGCAAGTTTCTCAACATAAACCGTCTTCCCCGTACTTGCGCCATCAGCATGTCCAGACCGAATACTAAAGTCATCAGCTGTTAATAGAACCTTCCTCCCACCAAGCAATCCAGCACCCTGGACATTATTGCTTGGAACGAAAGAAATGGGCTTTTCGCGCCGCGCCCCAGTCTTCTGCCATGTCACTGTTCCAGAGACGGAACCTATTTCTTGGAAAGTGTCTGCGTCAAGGAGTTTGTTGATTCGTTCCCGGACCCAGAGTTTGCCAGCTTGTTTTTGTCGGATGTAGCCTCTTTGATTGGGGTTGGGGGTTCTGGCTATTTGGCGGAGGGTTGTTATTTGGTTTAGGACATCTGAGTGGTCGGCTGGTAGAGAATTGGATTTGGTTGGTTTAGATATATGTGCGGAGACTTGATTGAGGCGATTTGTGGCCTGGTCTTTGGCCTTTGGATTTTCTTTCCCCATGATTCAATTCAATGTTGGTGGATTTGCTGTCGGCGCAGAGTTGGAGGTTAAAGACCAGTGCGCGGTGAGGGGGTGTGGTGAACCTCCGAGGGCCGAGGTCGTTCCTTTTGGACAAAGTGATGGATATCAATGGACAATTATCTGCTGGAAATCTTCAAATATCGCATTCACACTGTACTCTGGTATAGACAGTGGAAATTCCACAATTATCCCGCCAAGATCTATTGCATTACCCCTGACTGCAAGCATGTCATCCCCGCATTCACCAATTAAGCGGCTGCTGGTCGCGAACAGGTGAATAAAAATCTATCCAACAATGCTCTCCAAAACTGACAGATAATAGAGGAGAAATCGCTGTTCGAATCCTCCAATCTGCCAGAGAATTGCCTAACCCAGTCGAGCTGTTCGCTCTCTACACATCAGACGATAGATCGCACTGCGATCTAGGCCGACCACAACATGCAATTGAGATACCCTCTGCATCAACATATCTGGACATATCTTACCTAATAGATCTGGTGAAGAAATACTCCATTGACGCCATACATCCAGGGTACGGGTTCCTAAGCGAGAGCGCCGAATTCGCGCATCGGATGTGGCACGAGGCCGGGTCGATTGTGATCGGGCCTGGGTGGGAGAATCTAGCTCGAACAGGTGACAAATTGCAAGCAAAGCAGTTGGCGAGAGAATGCGGGGTTCCAACATTGGATTTTGTGGAAGATGCTGATGTGGATGGGGCGCGTGCTTTCGCTAACAGGATTGGATTCCCTGTTATGGTTAAGGCTGTTGATGGTGGGGGTGGGAGGGGTATTCGTCTTGTCAGACAAGTGTCTGAGCTGGAGAATAGTATACAGCGGGCTATTGGGGAGTCGCCGTCTAGATCTGTTTTTGTGGAGAAGGCTGCTGTGGATGGGTTTCATCATGTTGAAGTGCAGGTTATTGGTGATCGGACGGGCCAGGTGCGACATCTCTGGGAGAGAGATTGCAGTGCTCAACGGAGGTTTCAGAAGGTTGTTGAATGTGCACCTGCACTGATGGATAGGACTTTGATTGGGAAGGTCATTGGGGCTGCGCTCCGAATGGCTAAAAAAGTTGGCTACCAGTCCCTTGGAACTTTTGAGTTCTTGGTCAGTGAGGAACGACAGGAATTCTACTTCCTGGAGGTAAATGCTCGTCTCCAGGTTGAGCATACTATCACCGAAGCTATCAGTGGGGTAGATCTGGTTCAGACACAACTGCTTTTGGCCCAGGGATGGACATTGAATGAGTTGGGGATTAGTGCCCAGGTTGATCCAAACCAACCACCTCCAAGTGCGTTTTCGATCCAACTCAGACTATGTTCCGAGGATCCAGACAATGGATTCGCTTTGAGCATTGGCAAAGTGACTGGCTTCAACGTCCCAAGTGGCCACGGCATTCGGGTAGACACCAATGTGGATGTCTCTGGGGGCACTCCGCTGGTCGTTGGATCCAATTTCGACAATCTGCTGGCTAAGATCATCGTTACAGCATCAAGCTGGGAAGCAACCGTCCGCAAAGCTCAACGAGTCTTGGCAGACTCGAGAATCGAGGGTGTAACCACAAACATCAATCTGTTAAGAGCAATTGTGGCCCATCCCGATTTCATGTCCGGTCAAGTCGACACACAGTGGCTCGGACTGCACCTTGACACAATCCTTGAGCAAGGCAAGCATATCACGAACAATATCCCTGTCCTCAATGGATCCCTTAGCGCCTCCCATACAGTACAGGCCACCCTCCCAGTATCCAATCTATTATTCCGCAAAGGAGATGCTTGGTCAATTACGCTGGAACCACTGTCAAAAGAAAGTAAACAGCCTGAAAAGTCCACCCACCATCTCAGCCTCTCCCGGGTTCTCCGAAATGAATTCCCCAATTCATTGACCGCCGAAATCGAATATACAACCCCGTCTCAAACCGTGCCATATCGAATGCAACTGGAAACAACCACAACTGCAGCCTCAGCGTTAGTCTCCTCTCATCGACGAGGCGACCCCAGAAACCCGCACCACATCGTTCTTCCTCTCTCTGGCAAATTGATTGAGATCTTGGTTTCTGAAGGGGACGATGTAGCCAAAGATCAAGTCCTGGCTTTTGTCAAGCAGATGAAAATGGAGCTTGAGGTGCGCAGCCCTCGCAGTGGCAAAGTTAAGTGGGTTTATGAGATGGAGGAAGAGGAAGATGTTGCTGAGGGGATATTGTTGGTGGAACTGGAAGGAGATCTTCGGGGGAAGCTCTGAGTAGATTGAAATGGTCTTTCTGCTTGTATGACCCATTTAGAGCAAGACAATATAAGCAGCCAATGAGCTTTCTCATTCACTGTTCGATTCAGCATCATTGGTCTAGTGGTAGAATTCGTCGTTGCCATCGACGAGGCCCGTGTTCGATTCACGGATGATGCACATTTCTTTTTTGTTTTTTTTCTCGCAGTTCTGCCGTTGATAGGCGGTGGGTGACGTCACCTACTTTCTTCCTGTTTTCCCCCCTCTTCACCTTTACATCTCAGTATGGATGCCCTGGGTATCTATGTGCTGACCTTTAATTGTGCGAGAAACTTCGTCGATGTCGATGCTTTTGCGGCGCACTTCTTCGACGCCCTCCCCGCGGGGAGCTCCCCACCCGACCTGATTGCCCTGTCACTACAGGAGATCGCACCAATTGCCTATTCGTTCTTGGGAGGATCGTATCTCTCGCCCTACTTTGATGAATTCCGCCGGACGGTTTACAAAGCATGTGCACAGAAATGGGACGACGACTACGTGAATTTTCATACCGACAATACGGGCATGACCGGTCTGATGCTGTTTGCTCGTCATGACACCCTAGCCAAGATCGCTTGGAAAGATACAGCCCACGTTGGCGTCGGTATTGCGGAGATGGGAAATAAGGGTGCAGTGGGAGCACGGCTGGGATACGTCGTGGAGAATGATCCTCTCCGGACGGTGGATTTGACGTTTGTCGCGGCGCATCTTGCTCCAATGGAACATTCATTCGAACAACGGAACTTGGACTGGAAGAGCATTGTCGAGCGTCTTATCTTTACGCCCGAAGCGCAGGAGTCGGAAGTCAATGAAGGGTCTCGTCTCCTCGGCAATGCATCAGCTCCAGAGAGGACTCGTCAAGATCTCTTTGCGCCAAACACCTACATCTTCCTAGCAGGAGATCTGAACTATCGCACCTCGAATATCGGGCCCACCATCGCAGAGATTGCCCGATTCCCTCGTCGCGACGTGAGCCTGGAAGATCCAGCTCACTATTCTCACCTGTTCAAGAATGACCAGCTGATTCGCGAAATGCGCAACGGCCGGACCTTCCACGGCCTCTCCGAGGCACCGATTGATTTCCCTCCTACCTACAAGTACTCCAGTGCAGCGTGCAAAGCCGCCGCTCGGGGTGAGTCCGTGGACTGGAAATGGTCGAATCACCGGTGGCCCAGCTGGTGTGATCGAGTCCTGTTCCTGGATTCGCCATGGATTGGTGAAGTTGGGAAGGTCCAACCGCTGGCATATGATGCACTGCCTCTCTTTGCGCAGTCAGATCATCGTCCAGTTGCGCTGCTCGCCTCGGTGCCGCTTACTTCCGGTGATCACCCCGCGCCTGGTCTGCGAGCTGTGGCTCCGTTTCCCACTGACCCGGACTGGGAAGGGAAGCGAAATGCAGCGCGTTGGCGGGAGGTGTTTGTCGGTGCTGTTGCGTATTTGGGGCTGACTAGAGAAGGAAATGGGTTGTTGCTCGTTTCGGTGTTGGGCATCTTTGGCGCCTGGTTCATTCTTCGATCGATGATGATTTGAATCTTGATAGCGGGGTTGTCTTTTTTTTCTTTTCTTTTTTCTTTCGGTCTTTCCTTTTCCTGTATAGGTTGGGTGTTTTCGCAAGGTTTTCCTGCAATTTTGTTTGCGACCTTTAGCAAGGTCCCTTTTCCCTACCTATCTCGGCCATATATTGCATATACTGCATATCCTTCCTGGGAATCGAATGACCCTGTGACGTTCTACTATCAGACAACCCGACCATGCAGGTTAGCAACAACCTAAACTAGGCAATACTAGTCACATGAGCCGAGGTGATCCGGAACAGTCTGCATGCGATGTTGAAACGCAGATGAAGTCATTCCACATTTAACCTCCGATGATCGCATTTCTCTTTTTTTTCTCAAGGTTCCCATGCCCAATGCCTGGACTGAGACTGTAGGCTGCAGATTCGCAGATTAGATGTCTGGTCCTAGATTCTCCACTGTGACGAAGCATCTAAGCGTAGACCCTTCGATTGTCTTCTAGACTTGGTTCCTGAGCAGAGTTGTCACACCTGAGTCAAATGACCAGCAAAGAGCTTAATGCCCAAACACGGCCACGTCTGCGTTGCTCACCGCGCCAGCGCTGTACGACAGATGCTGACGAACCCACCAATTGCCAAGCGAAAGCGGGATGGGGGCGGTGAGGAAATTACAATAGACAAGGAGAATGAACATGAGAATGAGAATAAGAATGAGATTTGAAGAATGAGAGAGAATTTGAAAATCAAAGAGGGACTTGGGCAATTAGAGAGGATTCGAGAGGTAGAAATTAGGGCAATTGATACCGAGGTCCAAATCATCAGCTCCACCTAATGATCTGAGATGGACACATATTACCGACACTTTCTCCAGATTGATTTGATATGCTCTACTCCGTGCTCCGTATGGAGTAGACGGGAGTTACGAGTAGAAAAGGAGAACATGTCAAGGCTGATCAGGAGAAACCGGAAAGGGAAATCCCCTGAGCACAGTGGGTTTTCCAGAACGAAACCAGAACCTTTAGGGGCCCACATCGGTCGAGGGCCTCTATTTGAAACACTCTGTCACAGATCCCAACTGCCCGCCGTTTGGCCTTACCAAATTCACGTTCACTTAACCTGAAGCCTAACGGGACTCTGTGTGGTTTCGGGTCTGAAATGCGAAATTCTCCACCCAGCCCTGCAATATAAGAGACGAGCCATGCGATCCGGATGCACCGTACCGGTTGACTACATGGAATGTTTTTTTTTTCTTTCTCCTTCATACCAACAGTACTTTTATTGGCCCACATCTATGCATTCAAGACCAGCATTTTGAGCCGATCCCACACCCGCATCTCCGGGTCAAAGGGATGAGGATCGACCGATCTCTGCAGCATGACATCCCATTGTACTCCGTAAGGGGATTACCCGTCAGTGTATTCCGGTAATACACATGGACAACAATACTGCGTAAGAAACGAGGTCAAAGGGTGAGTCAGAGAGAGATTAAAGAAAATAATAATCAAAGTGTAATATAAGCCGATAAAGTGCAGAGTATCACAATCTCATATTATTCTATAAAGTCTTCTCTGTATGGACGGAAGTACGGGAGTACATAATGAAAAAAAAAAGTGGAAAAATAATAATAACAATAATAATCCTAAAATCATTAAAATCATTAAAATAACAAAAAAAAATAGCCAAAAACAAAAACAAAAAAAAGGAAAAAAAAAAATACCCAAAACTAACCCCAGCAAACGGTAAGAATGGAACCCTAAAAATTCTAATCCTCCTATTTTACATGCTTGAAGGGCCAGATGGAGTGTTTTACCTGTCTAAGCCATCTTTTTGAGCCTCTGATATAAACCGTCAGTGTCTCCCCTCTTTTTCTTCAACTTTCGTGGCTGAATCCTTAACTTCCGACGTCATCGCATAATCTAGGCCTTGGTCCTACCTTTTAAATTCTTGCTCTTAACCTTGGAACTCTTGACTCTTGACTTCTCTCTTCTCTTTCACCAACCAAACACCTCACAATGTACTCTTGCGCCAACTACCCCCGTGGATGCCGTGGCCGTGTCAACAGACAAGGAGCCAAGTGCTCGGACTGTGTGGTAGGTTTTATACTTCACTGTTCCAACAACAATCTGCTAACCTTCGCAGTCTTTGAACTTACGTCGCCCAGCATTTGCGTCTCCATTTGCCCAACCGCGTGAATACAAGCGCGCGCTGCCCTCGGAGCTCTTTGGTGAATCCATCACCAAGCCCGAGCAGCTGTAATGCGTTTATTATCCGGGACGGTCCGGGAAATCACCCAGCTCACTACTAGCTTTAAGGTCCTGCCGGCTGGGACTCGCATCGGCTATTTCCTTTGTTCTCTGGGCCTTGCTTTTTCGCCTCTCCAAATCTCTCTCTTCTGCATTGCTGGGAGTTTCTTTGTCGCCTGGGGTCATTTGCCTTGATTTCTCTGTTTCGAACTTCGCCCCCCTCTCCACTGGGACCATCCACGCTTCGCTGGGCCGACTGTGTGCTGTGCGACTTACCTTGACTGAGAATCCCGGTATTACCGTGGACATTTCTCTCTCTCTTTTTTTTTTTGGTTTCCCCCGCTCGCTTTCCCCTCTTGGCTTCGTCCTGGGGAATGAGAGCCGTATGTTCTTTGCATGGAGGATAGATCGCATTTCTTTATTTGCATGGATACGGACATGAACCTGCCACTGGAGGGCAGTGGCGCTGGTGGAATGGGCTCTTTTGACTGTGGTCAATCGGTGATCGACCCCTTCTCCTTGCGCATACGTATGTGCCTTGGCCTTATTTTCTGCTTTTGGTTCTGATTTTATACCCTGATCTCTCTTACGTGGTTGACTCTCATGTGGACTTCTTTTTCTTTTGTTCTGTGATGCCATACCCCCCCTTTGTCCCTTCTTGCGTTTACTATCATACGACCCCTTAGTGTTATATACCTTATTCACAGCATTGAAATTATCATGCCATTGCTTTTCTACTCTGATGTCACATATCCAGTAATTAGCCTTGTCGAGTCTCTGCCACTAAACCAAGACATACCCGTTTGACTACTAAACCTTGTTATTCTGGGAACTAGACCGCTAGATCCTACGCGGGGCTATGAAGATTTTTGGCCCCTCTCCTCGGGCCCCTGTTTCTCTGTGACATACTTCAGCCGCAAGATCTCACGCTGAAACCTTCGGCCCCAATGCCAGAAAACCCAACTTTAGAAACAGAAAAAACGTGCACACAGCCCCGCCCATCTTAGACCGGCACTTGGTTCTCTCATGCATCTAGCCATTTACATTCCGAAAGCCTCACAGCCCTGGAATCGTCCACAGCCCATCCATTCTGATCGTGCCGCATAACCGGACTTCCCTGCATCTCCGTCAACACAATGGAGCTATATCCCAGTCAGACTTAATTTGACAGATTGGCCTTGCAGACAGGGTAGTATGATCTTTTACTGGACGTTGACTGGTTCCGACATGTAGTACACGGGTCAAACCAAGGCAATTGTGACAGGCTCGGTGACACCGTCGACGGGTCTTCGACTCGATGGCCCATGCCAAACCAGGGCAACCCTGGGGCGCACACAAACATCCAACATGCAATTTTGCTATTGGGATTCGACCGTTGGGCTCAGATCGTATCAGGCAGTGGCTTTCTTTCCTTTTTTTTCCCCTCTGCAGGCTATGATGATCATGTGGTCTGAGATCTAGACTGAGATAGATTTCGGAGAATTAATGAAGCCATAGTACCATTGAACACTCGTATACGAATATTACCCATAACCTTGGAACGAGGGATGTCACTCCGGACTACTATCCGAGAGCACGGGAAGCGGTAAAAAAAGGGGGGCCTTCAAGAGAGAAAAAAAAATCACCATTACAGCTGTCGATCACCTGTCTCATAAACAGATAGCTTTTATCCACTATTCAAATCTGTGCTTTGTCCACATCTGAAACTATCGGATTACAATAGGCTGGGCATTCATTATTTTGGAGAATTGGGGAATTTGAGAATAATGGCTGCCTGAGCCGCAAAAAGACCCGGAAAATAAGCAGAAACATCAGACTAAAAAAAACCACAGAGACGAACTAGGAAAAAAAAACGAAAAAATCGGACAAGACAAGCCTAAGCATCTCCACAGCACAAGGTGGGATTTGACTGTCAGAAATCGGATCCAGTGAATGTAAAACAAAGCCCAATGGAAGCTAAAGCGTTCTTAGTGTCTATGGCGTTTCTAGTCGATTCTATTGGGCTTCTGCGCTATTGCTCCTTTTGCAAATTTCCCAGCCCTTCCCTCCTTCACCCCCTTTTTTTCCTTGTTTTCTCGGTATTTGGGGTGTTTTTTTTCCTGCGCTCAGCCACATACCGGATCGTTCGTTCGCTGTTTCAGGGTAGAACTGTGGGGAATTTAGCACGGTCTTTACCCACCTAATGTCTCGTGCTCGAGAACGGTCCTCTAGCTGTCGAAGTTTTCCATTTGTTCTTTTGATCAGAGAGATGTGGCGCTTGGCCGTTGATTCTGGTAATTCGTATTCGGTTTTTCCGGTTTCCTGTATCATAATTACAGACCCATACACTTAAGTACAAGTGACAGTTGAGTATCGAGTTAAACTATGTTGGGTATAGGTACCGAAGTAGGAAAGAGATCGGAGGTTTCTCGATGGCCTCGTATTTTGAAGCTCGTCTGATAGTAAGTATATTAGCCATCGGCCTCGCTTAATCCCAATACAGTGGCAATATGTTATGCAGCACGGGAAGCCGTTGCATCGAAAGAATCCGAAACAATGTTCATATACGAGCTTAGAGCTGGGAACTGTCTTATATCCGAGCTAAAATGGAGCCCATAACCAAAGTGGATCGAATAGACTCTATCTCAAACACGAACACTTAAGATCTCCTGGCGCCCTACGAACGTGCAACAGCTGTTACTTCCCCGATCTGACAAACGTCAAACAATGGAGACGTAGCAGATCAGATCTACGGCACATCTTGTTTCTTAATCGGTCTGGACCGTGGTGGATAGGCGCGAAACGGGCGCAAGTCCGGGCGTCATCGAAGAGCCGCCCTGGGTCTGGGACGTTGGTAGATCCTGCAATTTCGGGTTTTTTCATGAGGCTCCGACTTTGATACGCCGGTACTTGACGGAGAATTCCTGCGACGCGCGGATTGCATATACCCAACCACCTGGGATTCTCGGTGGGGCCGATACGATGTTAAACTGCAGTTTCAAACTGATGAGATGCTCATAAACAACAATGTCAACAATCATGCAATTGATATAAGCTCAAATTTGCGAATAAGCTCGATTTTGAGTTTGTAACATATTGATCACACATTTATGCCCCCCAAAACTTGCCGACACACCCACTGTGCCGTCCTCGTGTGCAACGTCCAATCTCGTCCATCTTCTCGCGTATTGGCTACTTCGGAAATTGTCCCCGTGTGACACGCCTCGCCAAGCGCTTCGAATACAACAATCTGGTCTCGCATATGCTGGTCTAGACAGGTCTTCGTCGTCGGCGTCGTTGCGTCCGACTTGTCTGGATTCACGTTTGAGATCTCCTGCATGAAACCTTCGACGCAGCCCCTGGCCAATTCCGTGGCTGCGGAAAATACGTCTCTCTCGGCATGTCGATCATCCTTGGTCAAACGTTGCTTGTTTCTCCCTTTCTGCCCATTCTGCTTTTTGTGACTCCCTAAACTGCCTAGGATATCGTGTCCAATTCGGAATCCCGAAGACGTATGAGCCACCAGAAGGATGTATACGTGACTGTCGTGATATGTAGCCTCGGAGGTATGGATCCGGAAAGGGACCGGCAATTCCGGCTCTGCATCGTCATTGGAGGATTCGCGCGAAGGGGTTTGTAGCGCGAATGTGGACGGATGGATCTTTCGCATTGCACTCCGCAGTTTTTGTCTCGTGGTTTGCGCGATGTAATCCCGCAACGTGCATCTTTTGCACAATCCATCGGCATCCACGTTGGCATAGTCCGGTGCAAGGACTGTGAGATCAATCTGTGTGATCTTTCCATTCTCATGGGCCATGAGGTCGATCTTGGGGAACTTGTTTGCAGTGGAAGTTCTGCCTTCCACATTCGACCGCTTGGGGGAAGGACCATCTCCTGAGCCATCTTTAGATCCTAATGGATGGATCAGGAATGTCATAGCCCCAAGACAGACTGGTCCCGATGACCAGCCACGCTCATGGAGAATGATTTCAAGGGGAGGAAGCCCAAGCTTCGCAAAATTCGGAACCATCACCTGAGAAGCATAATCAAACGATGGAGATTTCGAAGGGTTCGTTCCACCGGTTATCTTGACTCTGATGAAAGGCACAGGGGCCTGCGATCCAGCATAAAGCATATACGGATAAAGGGCCTGGAAGACCAGACAGATCGCACCGGCTGTCGAAATATTGATGTCGTATTTCGATTGCACGACGGTTTGTGTCAAATCTACCAGTGGGCCATCCACTCTCTCTGCTCGGGGGACAAAGCTCATGAACTGAGAGCCTACTTCGCCTCCAGTTACTTGGCTGCCACTCACATCTGCTAGTAGCTTTACTGCTGTGGCATGGGAGCGCTTCAAACCTGTTTTCCCTGGCCGATTTGCACGAATATTCTCGATACTCACTGGCCGACCGGTTAGGGCTGAGAGTCCGATGGCAATGCGGACTAGCTGCCCACCTCCTTCCAGGGTCTGTCCGTTCAGCAGGACGTGTTCTGGATTCGAGGGCTGAGCCATCTCGAGTGAAGTCTAAATTGAAGAATATTTTCTGACATTGATTAGTCCAGTTCAGCTCTATATGTTGAAATGTTGACATGTTCAAATGTCGATCTATAGGGAGCCTAGCCCTGCAGGTCCTGAGTCATGACACGAGTTTCATCTTGGCGTGACTCACATTAAATTTCAACTAAATTTTGCCCTTGCTAATATCCCCAGATTTCACGGAATCAACAGATTCACAGAGTCTGTAAGTCTAGGGAAATATGAAGGAAAGAGTGAAGGAAGGAGAGATGGAGGCTGCCTGCCATGGTCAAGGGCCCTTCTCAATTCCTCCATCTGCATCTATCCGCATGCAATTATTTGCAGTATAACAAACTACTTTACCGTGCAGATTTTCCAAACATGTTTTCCTCTGCATCCAATAAGAGTCGTCTGAGGCGCTCCACGTCCACCCGGTCCATACAGCGACAAACGGGTCCAACGCCCGACCTGGCCATGCAGCAAGCCGCAGCAGCCGCATCCAAAGCAATGCGGTCAAACCAGGGATCAAGCCAGCGATCAAGCCAAGAGTCTCGGGCATCTTACGATCATCTAGGGGGACCGGCCAACATTGCCGTGCCCCGTCGACGTCCCGGTTCAAGCCTTCAACGCGACAGTCCATCGACCCAACACTCACCGGCCTTCTCAACGCCATGTGTCCCAAAGAGCAAGGTGAAATCGGCTGCTACCAAGAGCCTAGTCGAAGACGCAGCCGTGCTTCCTCCAATCACAGAATTCAAAGGCCTCGATGGAAGAGACAGCTCCGTACCTTCCTCCTACCGCCGATTGCGCAAGGCCAAGTCCATGTTCGCGACGAGACCACGGACTTCCCAAACGCCGTATGGCGTCCCTCCACTTCCTTGTGGAGATCCCTCTGATCTAGAGCGCAGCCCTGGCTTTCAGCTTCCACGGACAATGAGACCTTCAATGCCTTTCATTCGGGGAGCCTATAGGTCACAAGCTAGTAACAGTATCGACCTGGGGGCGCATGATGCTGCTGTGAAGCTGGCGCGGAGTCAGTTTGCGCAAGAGCCGTGCGAAACCATTCCCCGGCATCGCCGACCGTCTTTCTTGCTCGGTCGCAAAAAGGATCACAAGCCCTTCCGAAAGTCATTCCGCGCTACGAGCGAGCCCCTGAGTGAAAGCTCGGCTTCGCAATGTCGGTCCTTCTCGAGCTCAATCAAAAACAGATTGAAACGGGTCTTCGGTTTCTCCAAGGCTGTGGAGCAACAGTCGGCATTGCGCGGTGATCTGAGTGGTGTGGATGCCGTTGCTCTGGCAGATCCTACGGTTGGGAACCTTCGTCGCAATGGGTCTGAGACTGATCGCTGCCCTCCTTCCAACTCTTTCAGGGAACTGCCAGCTTCGCCCAGTCAGGACAGTGTCTGCACTGCCAAATCGCGAGTGACCAGCTGGGCTGACTCGACGGTTGCAAACACTGTCACAACACGGAAGCCTGGACACCGGCAGTCGCTTTCTATGATCAGCGAGGATAGAGGCAGGGTTTTCGGTCTCCGCACGCCGTGCACACCTTCGAAGAATGAGGTCGGAAGTCTGATTCCCCCCGCTCTCCGACCAAGTCCTCGTCCCATCGGCTTGGTCAATAGCCAGGACTTGTACCATGCCTTGATGGAACAGATAGGTCATAATGATCTTGCTGATTCCAATGAGATTGTCTTTGGCAGTGTCACAAAGCACCGTGTGGTTCCGGAGCGGTCTGGCTCTGTTATTTCACAACATGGGAAGAGGCAGACTGTTCGCCCTGTTAGAAGCCTGTCGAGCTCACCCAGGTCTTTTGCAACTGCCTTCTGTGGTAATCAGCCAAGCCCATACAAGTCTCCTCCGCCGTCAACCTTCGTTATAGGCGAGTGCTCTGATGGTGATAGTGACGGCAATAGTGTCATTGTGGCCCATTCCCGCGACCCCAGAAGAGACGTTATCTCTCCCAGTATCTATTCTCGGTCTACTGGTGGAAATACACCAGTCAAAGCTGACCCAGATGATACAGTCCATGTTGGTTCGTATGATGAACCAGGAACCGCGACTATATTTGCTTCTGAACGAACGGCCTACGTCTCACCCAAACGTGCTGCTCGGGTGTTATTGCCCAAAACTTGTGTCAATCCAAGTGGGGACTGGCAGCAATGGATTAATTCGCAGGTTGACAAGATCGAACAGACAAGTCCCCTGAGAGAGCACGTCAGAGAGGAGGCACAGTTCGAAGAGGACGATGAGGACCTCGCCACCCTGGCACGGCAGGCCACTGTTGTTGTACCGACACCTGCGTCTTGCGTTTTGGAAACCTCTGGAAGTGAACAAAACACCATGCGCAACTCCATCGTTGAAACCCGAGTCCCATCGCAAAGCAATTTCTCCCGCCCATTCAGCCATGTCTCTCACACTCAGTCTATCTTACCCTTGCAGACAGTGAAGTTGGAAAACCCCAAGCGAAACGTCTCTACTGATTCATTCAAGGGAACTACCATCAACTTGGGCGAGGATATTTCTCCGAAACTCGTCCCCTTTGCTCAGCCTGCAGGTTTGTCGCCGATTCGACTCCGGTCGGGAAACATGCAATCCCAAGAATCTCCAACTCCCAAGCGCGTCGGCCTCAAGCGTTCTTTGACCAAGGAGCAACAGCGCCGGTACTCTGCCAGACGTGCACCGGTCGCGCAAGACGGCAGAGCAAATCAATTCCGTTCCATGCGCTCCCAGCGAGACTCCCATGCCAACAATGAGAACCTGAGGCAGCAAGAAGAGTACGATAACATGATGGAGAGCTATCATCAACTCCAGGATATTCATTCTACGATCTCGAGCAAGCGCATGGTGGATCTGTTTTTGGATAGTCGGCGGCAGCGAACGAGTGAATCCACTGATGGCAAAGCGTCCACCGAGGCTTTTCTGTGAGTGTGACTACGATTTGGGTATTGACCTCATTTGTTCTCTGTTATTTTACTGCTTGTTTTTCATATTCTTTGGGGATTCTTTGATGTCTACTGCTCAAGTGGGTTCAAGTTTTAGGGAGACGTATGCAGACTGCGGCAGTGGGTTTTGGGTCAGATATTGGTAGAACTGGATCAGGCAGTATATTATTATTCACAATTCTATTTCATATGCTATTAGGACTGGGTACAGCAGTGTTCAATCATCCATTTCATCCAAGTGGGTTCAATGATGGATGAAGCCTCATACTTAAGTAGGTACTTGGCCCTAAAGGTCTACCGATATTCACTGTGTAGATATATATCCCAAGGGACAAAACCAAAATTTGTGAATATCTTCAGAATTTTGCTGCTAACTAACTCATACTAAGAATTAGAAAGTGATTAGACACCATATGCTTAGTCTGAACTTATGGAAAAGGTCTAATACCCACTGATAAATAGTCAGTTGGCAAAAAGGGTATGTGGGATGAGAGCATAATCAACTAAATCTACCGTAGGCTATTATAACACAATTTCTCCAAATATTCCATCAACCAGCCAAGTGGCCGAGCAGTAACTCAGCCATCTCATCTTCCTTGGTCTAGTGGTGATGATTTCCGCTTGTCATTAACACCGATAAGCGCGGGAGACCGGGGTTCGATTCCCCGAGGGAGAGATTTCTTTTTTACTTTTGTTTTTTTTCCCTCCCAATATTTATCAGTATCCTTTTTTCACTTTTTAAAAAAAATACATTCATTCCTGCAACTCCGGAATACGAAGTCGTAGCCATGGGATCTAACCACGGCCTCATCCTGTCACCCGGGTACGCCCCTTACCAGCCCGTCAGCATCCAGGCGCTTAGGGCCCGAAAGATATGGAGGCTATACAGCCTTGGGATCTTGGCAGTCATCTTTTAGCCTGCAACGTGAAAGCTAATAACAGTGTGACCAATCACCTATCCTGGATATCCATATGGTGTGCCGTGTTCAGCCTCATCATGCACCTTCTACCCGTTTTATGATGCTGAGTACATAGTCCTAAGGTTAATCACCCGGGTCTCTTACAGGGCTAGCTTCGGCCGTGAAAAGCCATGAGAATAGACATAAATAAGCATCCCCCCGCTTCAACCTGACCATCACCAGGGGCCGTAAAACCACGGAAAGCACAACCTCCAAACATGCCAAACCCATACAAGACATACGAAAAAGCCAGCGAAGGCGCCGGCATCGCAGGAGCAGCAGCAGGCGCAAGCGGGGGTTTCCCCAACCCCATGGGCGGAGTTCAAAATGCCCAGAAGGCATACCATATGCACCAATATGGGAAGCTGGTAAGTGCGGACCAAGTCAAGACCAGACGAAGTGCTAATAACGTTTAGCAATCGCAAGGGATGAAACAGGCTTTGGCGAACGAGGATCGAGCACGCCAGAATCAGCGAGAGCACTCGACACCGCAGGTGCAGGCTTCTTCAATGGTTTATGGATCGAATGGGATTACCTGTGAGAATGGGTATGTTCAGGATAGTAAGGGGAATATCAAATATCAGGGAAAGAAGTGATTTTGGATTTTGGAGGGCTCGGTGGTAGTCTTGACATGTTTTTGCAGGTCTGCTCAAGTGGTATTCTTGGTCGTCTGTGGAGACTTTGGTCTAGGTACGTCGAGTGAATTTTGGAACAGTCAATATGATGAAGGCTTCTCTTATTGTTTTAATTACTCCAAATACCGACCGATTGATCGATGTACCCCTCGGGTGACCTAGAGCTATAAGATCTCCGAAAGGAACTTGGAGTCTGGCGTGGAGCAATGGTACTTCAAGTAACTATCTTGCTGTCGAGAGCCCTGGAGATCATACTCGTGTGATCCCCAGGCTCAGACACTTGCAAATCAGGCACCTTCAGGTACCATTATTGAACCAAGCGAGAAAATTCTGGCGGCATGTCTTTTTGATAAGAGCTTTCGGACGCTTCATCCAGAAAGGATCTAGCGTCATGCATGATTACTCACAAGCTGCTGTTTGGCCTGTTGTTTTCGGCCCTTACTTCTCTACCCCGCGCAGTTCTCATAGGAAAAAATCAGGAACGAACATTCCGATGTCCTGAATAGCCAGGATCCTTTGATAAGTCAAAAGAAAATGATCATTCAAGGCTTGGAGAATTCTCCATGGGGAATTGCGTGGACTGTCATTACGATATTCATCGTCTCTATTGCCACGAGAAGCGTGTACCGACTTTACTTCCACCCTCTCAGCAAATTTCCAGGCCCGAAGCTTACGGCGATCACCCATCTCTATGAATTCTACTATGACTGCATCCAGAGTGGACAGTTCCTATGGGAAATCGCTCGAATGCACGAGCAGTATGGTGTGTTTCCCCCGGTAAAGAAGGTTGCAAAAGGAGTCGTGCTAATAGGAAAAAGGCCCCATTGTACGAATCAACCCTCGTGAAATTCACATATTGGATCCCCATTTCTTCCATCAAATCTATCACACTGGAGTACAGAACAGAGACCCATACATGGTGAACATTTCCACGGCACCCCAGTCGACGTTTTCGACGGCGGAGTATGGGCCCCACAAATCCCGACGTGGTATATTGAATCCCTTCTTTTCAAGACAATCGGTCTTCAAACTCGAGGACATAGTTCATAAAAAGGTGGCCAAGGTAATTCAGCGCCTTGAGAACGCCCGCCGCGACAAATCTGCTGTATTCGTGGATGAAATATTTGCCGCTTTGACTGCAGATATCATCTCGGACTATGTCTACGGCAAAAGCCTTGACATCCTCGGTGATAAAGAACTTCAGAACCAACTTAGAGAAGCTCTGATAGGTGGAGCGTCGCTATGTCACTTGCTTCGATTCTTTCCTATACTCGTGAAGCTGCTTGACCCAATTCCCTCGGTTGTACAATGGCTCAGTCCAATTACCAAAGGCCTGTTTGACATGAAGAGAGATGTCGAATTACAAAGCAGAGAGGCAATCGAGCGAAGTGTCCATTCTGATAACAGCGGTCCTGCAAGAACTATATACGAAGCCATGACCGACAAGTCTGTCCCCGCCGCAGAAAGAACAGTGGAGCGATTACGAGACGATGGTTTGATTATGCTTGCTGCGGGGACTGAAACTACAGCACGGGTATTGACGATGGGTGCATTTTACATATATCGGGACGAGGGTATATTGCAAAGCCTGCGGGAGGAGCTGATCAGAGCAATGTCGACTATTGACACCAAGCTCTCTTGGACTCAGCTCGAGAAATTGCCTTATCTGGTAAGTATGAAAATCCTAACGCTTGATGTGATATGTTTGTTTCGAGCCTGGAACTGATCCGTCTTTAGTCTGCCGTCGTTAAGGAATCGCTTCGACTCAGCGGAAGCATTACCATTCGACAGCCTAGAATCTTCCCTACCAAGGCTCTTGCTTATAAGGACTACACTATTCCACCGGGAGTGAGTCAATGAAGATCATATATTCAAATCCAAACCTCGTGATATTAACCAATTCAAACAGACCCCTGTCAGCCAGTCCATTCATCTCGTTCATATGAACCCCAATGTCTTCCCTAATCCCGAAGTCTTTGATCCCACCCGATGGCTGCAATCACCCGAAGATGGAATTCGACTTGATCGGTTTTTAGTCTCGTTCTCAGGAGGCTCGATGAACTGTCTTGGGCTTAAGTTAGTTCCCATATCACAACGTCCGATTCCCATGGCTGACTGATGATATGGAACAGTTTGGCATACTGCGAACTATATCACATGTTTGCAAAATTGGTTCGCCACTTTGATCTGAGACATCTGACTGAACGTGAAGATATCAAGATAACACGGGACTTTATCGTCGGACTACCAGATGCAGACGAACTCAAGGTGCAAAGCTATGTTTCTAATGCTATATAGTTGGGAAGGTGACTCGGCGGGCTCAGGGGCTCTTGGGAGGCTAGAGATGTACTTCGAACAATTGCCCGGGCGAGAAATACAACTGAAGGGCAAGACAACTGCACCGAGGAAATTCTGAGCGTTAGCTAACGATGGAACTGCTTTTACTGAAGATGGCGATTTACAGTGGACACGAAGCTTTTTCGTGATACAAATTGAAACGATGTTTAGACATGAGGGATCCTGATGATATTCTCCCCAGTTTCATTAGGTGCGATCTTGCTGTTTGCCTAGCTTCAGTGCCCTATCATGCGTCACCGGCAGTACCATCTATGCGCAACACAGATGTGTTCCTGCCATCCAAGCACAAGAACAACATTTGAATCGTACTTGCCATGCCATGGTATTCCCCTGAGGGTAAAAACCGATTTCCCACATTTTCCTGTCCTTTTCTTCTTCTTTCTCTTGTATCTCATACAATATTTTTCAACGGTACGTACAATCTATTCTAAATGCCTTCCGAAATAACAAAATTTCTAGTATCTTGTGCTTCTCTCGCGGTGACGGTAGTCTTCGGACTATTCCCTGTGCAAGAGTGGGTGAAGCGCTTTTTCCCCTGGACGTGGCCGCGTCCAGCCGGTAGAGCCACACCTCCTAAACCTGATCTCGAGTCAAATGCGATCGAACTTTCTTGCATCCGTGGAGGCTTCAAAGCTCCATCGGGTCAAGACTGGGCGAAAGTACTTATGCGGCTCACCGAACTGGAACGGACTGTGGGCGATCTTAAGAGAGACACTTGTGTCTCTGCCAGTGGACAAACCACTGGCAACTCAGTACCATCTCCCCGAGGTGGTATTGAGAATCGCCCACATGAAGTTTCCGGTAAGGCGCCGCTTGACGAGGACAGACAGACACAGGGCGGCCCAGCTAATCGAATCTCTGCCTCCGGGTAGATGATATCGGTTGGTTGGTGTCGGCTCACCGCGAGAGCCCACCCCTACACCTAGTGTAGGAGCACCCTATCTTACGAGGCGGCTCACCTTGTTAGATTAGGGGGGTGGGACCACCAGCGCCGGGCTTGCACTTCTTCGCAGTGCTGGTGACTAGTAGCCTTCGGGTGAAGCCAAGACAAGCCCACATGTAAATAATGATCATTTAATTTAGCGAAGCTTACAAAGAATGAGTGCAATCCGTGGATATGGAGTATCAGGTAAATACCTTAGTAGACATAGACGGCTTTTCTTGGGTGGGCCTAAGAGAAATTTCAAGGAAGAGAGGGTACCTCGATAGCTGTTGAGAGAGCACGGCGAGAGAAAAGAGACTGAACTGAGAATTGATTGCGAGGGAGAGAAGAAGGAAGAATAGAGAGAAGCTAAGAGGCTGAGCTATCTACTATTTGGGGTTGGGCGAACTCCCTACACAACAATAGCATCTGTCAGCGCAGACTGATCGGTGTGAAGAGATAGAAGCAGAGCTAGAATTCTAGAGGGAGCTCTAATAGCAATGTTTTGAATTCTGAAGTTTGACAAGCAACGATGATTGAAGAGTCCTGAAATTTCTCTCTCCATGTAGCTGCAAGTCAAAGAGCAAACTGTTCTTTGCAATGTAAAATCCAGACAGCCTAATTATCAAGTGTTTCAAAGTGATTTGGCATCCCCGAATCCATTTTCCGTCGGTTCATTCTTCCCAAAAAACCGAGGATTAAAGCCATCGTGTTCATATTCCAAGGGATATCATTGTGTCTCGCTGTCTGCGTTAAGAACAACAGATCTGACAACAAAGCGCCGCTATCAAAACAGAATTGTCGCTATCAACTCTTGCATATGGTGTCTGCATGCGTCTTTGCAGATCCCGTTGTTCAGAGTCATAGTAATACGTCCAATACCGATGGTACTTTTCATTCACTTCTCTGAATTGCGATGAGAGGAGGAACCTTTCGTTATACTGTTAGTGCTTTTAATCCAAGTGAATAATCCTCGTTTCATGTACTGACCATTTCAAAGTTGACTCCCCAATTCTGCATCCAGTAGGACGACAATTTCTCAACCAGCAAGAATCACCAGTGGACTCACAGCTGCCCAAATCTCGCGTCACTTCAAATAGAACCTTCGTTTTGTTATTTTCCGTGATAGTCTCCTTGCTGATTGTAGCAAGACAGGAAGGGCAGTCTGATGCAGGGCAGATGATAGTCCCCTCGGATAAGCTGAAATGGGGGCAGGCAAAAATTGGCTCAAGAGGAATGAAGATGTATGTAGGGGTAAGACTTAGCACATATTTTGCATGTACCAAAAGGTGATTCTTGGTGTTAATGTAGATGGAAATTGCGACATCAGCATCGTATTTCTCGTTCGAACTCAGGTGACAGGTATGTTCCAAGCGGGGTCGGCTTCCAGACTGGAAGACAAAAGGGCCAAATTGAGTTCCACTGGGTGAAGTTGACTTGAGTAGTTTCACCGCGCGATCTCGGTCTCGAATTGTCCAGGCGGCGCATGGGCATATGTCAACGATACCAGCGTATCTCGAGCAAGACCGAATCAAGCTTGGGGCCCAGTACTTATTGTCTTTATCGAATACCTTCCTTGGGTGGAGTCTTAGACATTGCCCACAGTATAGCCAACGGCGATTCTCAAGTCGAAGGAGGAGTTGGTTGCGCGTAATCTTGCTGTAGTTCAGACACAGCAGGGGGTTGCGAAGTTCTAACAACCGGGGAAATTCGAATTCTTTTTCTTTCAGAGTTGCAGGGAAAAGCTTGGAAAGTCGCTTGCAGGTGAGGGCCAGACATACTGCATCAATAATAGGAAGCTCCTCGTGTATCTTGACCAAAACAGTGTCTGGTAATGAAAGAATCAAGTTTTTTCTTCTGATCCAGAAAACAAGACTTGATAGCAGAGGAACTTTAGTCCATGAACGGGCGGCATACAATTTGCCTTTCAAGCAACATTGTTTGAACTTGATTCTCCGGGCGGCAGCCGACTGGGTTGTGCCACAACTGTGATGCGCCTCCTTTTCGTCACCGGCTAATAGATAATATTGTTCGCCCTGGTGATGATGACACTGGTTTCGATGGAAGAAACTTTGGAAGAGCCTTGAATGTTTTTCCATGTTGCCCATAGTATCAAACGGAAAACAAAATTGTGGTCAGCTTCGTGTGCTCTGTCAGTGGGTCATCGGGGTTTGATTGGTAGTTGTCACTTTGAGATTGGTATATTCAACTTGGATTATGACTCTAGAGAGAGAGAGAGAAAAGAGGGGGGAGGTTAGAGTCAAAGAGGAGGCTTTTGAGAAAAGACGTCAGTTCACCCATTACGATTCGGGACTCTACCATGGTCCCTAACGAATCTACCTTCACTTAAATAAACTGTACAGATATGTGTATTTTGTTTCTAGTATTGTATAGTGACCAAAATGGTTGCTAATATTTGAATAGCTCCTTCCTGATCATCGTAGATTGTGAGTAAATGTAAGTCTGAAGCCTGGCAATCTTGAGTAACCATCTTTCAATCACGACTCGCTATAAAATTTTTGGAAAAGCCATGGATCCGAACAAGTTCTTCCCGACACCGTTTCCCATTCCGGTTTCGGAGGCCAGCCCAACCAACTCAATGAGTCCCATCGACTCAAAGTCAGCGCCCTCAATTTCTTCCCTGCCGTCTCTCACAACTTCAGACTCAAACAGTCCTACAGCTAGCACACATCCTCCGAATCTCAAGTCACCCTCTACCTTAGAAGACACCCTCAATATGGAAGGTAACCGGAACTACCTACCACGTACGATGGAGGAGTTGGAGAAACTAGGATTCGCCCCCGTTTGGTCACGAGTATATGGATACCCGGGAGGCCCGGGAGAAATCCCCGAAGAGATCAACGAGTATCTTGATGATAATAGCCACCGTAAGCAGACCTACATTTCCGATGCTATTCTAGCAAAAGACAGAAGGCCTTTGAACTAATTTGTTTTAGAATGGGACGAATGGATTGGACCACTGAGCAGCCTTTTTTGGTTGGCCGGACTCGATGAGTTGGTTGAGACCATTGCAGATCCAGCGATTGCGCTCCAAGACGAAGTGAGAATGATTCCCACAAATGTCGGAGTCACCTGGGTCCTTGAGCATTTGTTCCTCGAGAAGAAGCTTCCCGAACGCCTTTACAATCGATACTACCATGGGATCGATGGCTACCCAGCAACAGAGTTGAGGGTAATGCCAGTTCGACTGGACCATATCCCGTCCCAAGTTGGACACCAATATACTCAACATAGGCTGAGTAATCTGTTTCCTGCATCACGGCCTCAGTCTCTTCCACAGGAAGTTGCTACTGTGCAAATCAAGGGCGATAAAAACAAAGCACGATTGGCGACGAAGATTGAAGAGCATCTCCCTAAGAGCGAAAATGGACAATTTTTGTTCCGAGTTTGTACTCGGTCTGCCTTGGCTGCCATTATGGCATTTTTCACCCCGATTGTCAATTCCAACAACATGGATAATGAACTTGGTCCAGGGGTTTATACCTCCAATTGCCTCGAGTGGGTACTGAGGTTTGGCCCTCGAAACTGTGTTTTGTTGGTCTTTAAAAATCCCGATTTCAGGGATTTGAACATTTGGAACCCGCCATTATTGGAATGGCAACATATTATCGCAAGTTGGACGCGAAAGTCGCTTGCGAATGTCCCAGATTCAATTCCGGCGGGCTGGAAGTCGGCAGACATCATCAAGGGGGCAATATCAAAGCCAGAGTCCCCGCAGAACGCACTCCCACTGCCCGGAACGATCACGCAGACGGTTGCAACGAGCCCTGCGGGGTGTGCAGCACTCGCAGCCTCCCTTTTCCTCATTGTTTGGATTGAATAGTCTTTCTTTGATGTGCGCCGGATGTCATTTTTAGTTTATTTATAGCTTCTTCAGTGCCAAAGCGGCATCCACTCGCCTCTTGTATGGACAATGAAACCCAATCTTGCGTTCTTTCTTGAAAATCTCTATATATTTCCTTCCAATCCCACAGCAAGTACATACGACCACAGGGTGTGGAGAACAGGGCTTCCCGTCCGCTCAGCCGTACTTAAGCCACACGCCGGTGAGTTAGTAGTTGGGTGGGTGACCACCAGCGAATCCTCACTGTTGTATGTTTTTTGAATTTTTGATTCTAACTCTGTAAATATCATCGGTCATGTTAGATTCCTCCACTTCATCATCTGTATCCCAATCACTCTCATCGTTGATGTGCCAATTCTCCTCCTCACTTGAGAAACTCCAATTTCGATTTGAATATGATTCTGGTTGTCGGGAATGGTCCAGGCTTGACACAGTTAGTTGTGGGAGACTACTACGGGAAACCTCCAAAGGGTACTTACTCAAAGAGCACTCGGACGACGTGACAGCTCTGGTCTATAGTCCAGATGGCAGTCTTATTGCATCAGGCTCCACAGACCCGAAGCGCGAATCCGCAGTCATCATTTGGGATGCTGCCACCGGGAATCCTCAGATCTTCTTGAAAGAGCAATCCATGCACAGAATTGCATGTCTCAAATTTTTTCCTGGTGGCAAAATGATTGCATGCGGGAATGGCAAAGACATGAAATACACCAGCACTGAGATGAAAGTTGTACTTTGGGAGCTCGCAGCAGGCAATACTCGAAGGGAGTAAAGGACACTCGGACTCCATTAACTCTTTAGCTGTTACTCCCGATGGCAAATATATCGCTTCAAGCTCTGATGATTATACTATTAGGCTGTGGAACATCGCTGGCCCCCTTGAAAATTCTCAATCATTTGCAGTCCGTCTGAGAAGCCGTTTCAACCCCGAGCGCCCCAAGAAGGTTGATACGGCATTGCCAGTAAATGCCATGAATTTCTCGACAGATGGTCTCTACTTGAAGACGAGCATTGGAATAATCACACTTCAAGATCTCTTGGATGAGAAATTGGATGCAATGTCCAGGTCGGATTGTTTATCAGAGCTCTACGTTAAAGGTCAATGGATAGGGTATGGAGATACTCCCTTTCTTCGAATACCAGGGGACTGTGAGCCAGTGGGTTCTGCGGCGAAAGGTGATTAATTGGCCCTGATGGATATCGATGCGAATCACCTCCACTCATATCTAGAGCGGGCTCCCAATGCGGCTGCAACACCTGGGCAATAGTGTCTAGTTTGCATGTCTTTGTTATATTAAAGTTGCGACCTTGCGGGCACTTGGTGGCTATATGCCACATAGGTACTAGAATTCAAACGTTTCGGTCTTATTAATGCAGATTATCGAGCTATGACTGGATCCTAGCCGGACCCGGGAACGACTGCCCAGTGGGTGCTTAGTCCCATTTAGACCGTGTTTCTCATAGTATGTTTGCATTGTTTGCCAAGCGCGGGGCATCAACAAAAGCCCTAGCCCGGAGTTAGGTCTCACGATCCCAAGGGCGGCGGCTGGGGAGACAAGTCTCGTCTTTGACGTGGACAGTTTCACTGGGACCCCAGCTCAGCACTAGCTTCCATAAACCCTGGATAAATTCTGCAGGCAGATATTAGTACCATGTACTCCGTATCATGGGTCGAATCGACACAGAACGGAGGGAATACCTTGGCGTCCAATATACCCGTCATCTTCGTGCCTCCGCACGTATTTATATTGGGCGGACTCTTCGACATCGTGGTCACTGAGCAAATTGCGCAGCTCATCCAAAGTAATTTGGCCTGTAGGTCATCCGTGTCAGCAAACATCTTTCTCTCATTTACGGGAAACTTATACAACCCCAAAGACGAGAGAAAATATTTGCAACAAACTTGCAGGATGATTGTACTCACCGTCCCCATCCTCGTCCTATAATGGAAAGGTTTGTATCAGTCATGTCCTCGCTATTGCCTCCAAGGACATTTCGTCACTCACATATTTATCAAAGACCCTTCCACCCCTGTCTTCTGATTCCCCACGCCGAATATCTCTAGCGAACCCGGCGTCCTAAAAAGGTGCGATAGCGCGGTCAGCACGGAACACAAGGGGTTGAATATGCTAGTCGGAGTGTCCTAATTTGTGGGTCAAATGTAGAGACATGCAGGCCACGGGGGACAGTCATGACCTACCATCTTGAATAAATTCTATAATTGACGAGATAATTGTCGAGAGGCGAAGGCAAGAGGGGATCTATGTAAAAGGTAGGAGAGAAGTAGCTGTACTTATAGTAAAACTGAAACTTTGGAAGGGTCGGCTATGTATTTTGCACTGCTGAGAAATGACGTTGTGAAATGGCGATCTTAGTTTTTTTGCCCGCGATAGGTATAGCCTGTTTAAAAAGAGGATCGAAAAAAGAAGATCTAAGATGAACTGGTGGAACTAGATTCGATCTACCCCGCTTGCTTTCTCCTGCAAACCTTCACTGTCGAAGTCATCATTCCGTTGTGAGGGTGCTTAAGCGAAGCAAAATGTTAGAGGGAATTCTGGCCATTCAGGAACGAACTTTAGATATGATGAAAAGTCTTGATTATTACATGATCCTGGCCCTTTTTGTATTAACCGGCCCTTACATTTTTTTACAAAAATTACTAACTACGTGACCTCTGTAATTTATAATACAAATCATGCAAACTATGGAGTTTTTGCTCTTCTGGCTTCCGACGCACCCTTTTTCTACGGTCGGTGAATGATGTGAAGCTAGGCCTAATTCATCGTTTCGCGCTATATTCCGCAAAACTGCCTCTGTTTTCCCAATAAGGTTATCTTACTAGATGCACAATATCCTTTTGTAAGGTTTACACGTTGTCAGGTGTAAGGCCTGTCAACCCAATAAGAAACGGATGAGAATAGTATAGGAAGCGGGGAAGATCAATGGTATTCAGTATGCTTATTCACAAGACTGTTTCCTGCTAGAATTATAGGGCCTACGGTCCTTGAGAAGGGTTTATACCCCTATTCCTCCGGAGGCGAAGTCTTTATTCAATAAACGTCATAGAAGTATGAAGTCTGCGTAAAAGACCAAGCGGCCGTAGAAGCGGCGGTTGCGCCCCAGCCGGACGCTGCGATCACCTCGTCGCCATCGAAGTCACCTAACGCCAGGGAGCCACCCGAGCAGCAGTCAAAGATATAACAAGTGTGTTGTGTAGGGAGTTCGTCCCAACCCCCGTTTGTAGATAGATCCGCTCCCCGCTTCTCCCTTCTTCTTCTCTCTCTCTCTCTCCCCGGAGACAGTCAATACGATCGGTTCTGTCCGCTTCATCCTTTACCCTGTAGGCTCAACAATTAAATGCACGGCGTGGCAAAGCGGGCTGATAAGAACTTTCTCGCAGTGACGAAAAGAACTTGAAGGAGGGCGAGAAAGATCTTCAGCAGGGAAGGGTACAGAACACTGCTTAGAACGATAGTTGATTGGGTTGAGAGGAGAGAGAAGATCTAAGCTAGCTAGGCTGGTTATCTACAGTGGGCACCTGAGGCAAATATTGCAAACAAAAGAAAAGGAGGCAAAAAGGCCACAGACCTCGGGAGCTAGAGGCAATGAGTCAACAAGTGCACGGAGGGAAACCACCTTCTGGCCGCCCGACACGAACTCGTGAGGTATTTATTCATGGCTTCATGGAATCCTATTCTGATACAATTGATTTTCTAGGACGATGTGCTTAATCGGGATGCCATGGAGAATGGTGAAATAACAGGAAGAAGTGACAACAATAGCAGGTGTATGAACCGGAGCTAGCTATAGTTCCCATTCTCTTCGTCTGTGTGTACCTGAGGGTTATAGTGCTCTTTTCTTTCATGTTTCCATGGTTTCTCAAAGTTTTTGAATTCTCACCTCCGCTACGAACACAGCATTTGGTGTCTTTGCCCTTGATTCCACACACTTACCTGCCTTCCCACTCTTGCCCTTTCTCGAACTTACACCTACCACCAGAAACGTTTTACTTCACCTTTTACTCTCTCACTCACGCGACGACAGTAAACAATATCTGCCTCCATCTAGTGTCTTTTCCGAGGCCCACCGCATCTTGACTCCCTCACCTACAACGCAAGGTTGTGTGCACGGCTCTAAGCCTGCAGGACCTGTAAGCCACATCTGCTTCCACTTACTCTTCTAGCACCGCTGGATACAGACAGACCTTCCTTCAAAGCCTACCGCATCCTGACTGATCGCTCCAACAGACTGTTGAGACTGGACGGCAAGAGAAAGCGGAAGGGAACTGACTGAATTCACTGCGGGGAGAGAAAGAGAGAGAAGGGAGAAGCTAGAAGGCTGCGAGCTATCTACACATGGGGGTTGGGGCGAATACCCTACGCAACAAGTGAGGTATTTACTATGTATGCAGAATTACCTAAAGAGCTCATGCATTCTGACAGAGAGGTATATTCCGCTCTCGCCTATACATAAAGGATGCTTTTCAATTAGAGAATTGGCCCGAAATCTGTTGGATCTACAGGGCAAAAGAAGAAGCGGACTGGAATCGATTGATTGATTGCAGGGAGAGAGAGAGAGGAAGAAGAAGAGAGAGACTCGGGAGAGAGGGTCTATCTACAAACACAAACGGGGGTTGGGACGAACTTCCCACACAACACTTCCGCCTCACTTGCGTAAGTACCTGACATTTGATGAAAGACTTAGGCACTAAGCTCAGACAGAAGCCGTACTTTCAGACTACCAGTTTGCGATGGGCTGAACAAAAACCACCGAAGCCTCGAGTCGCAGCTACATCGACGCCATCAGCAGCCAGACATCTGATCTCAGCCCTCTCGACTTTTCCAGTATACCATATTCCACGACCAGGCGAGGAAGCATGTCCCCAATTCAATGTGCTTAGTCAACACTGAAGGTTTCCTCAGATACCGGGTCATGAACCTTGGAAGTGACTTCGAGAAGTCGCACATATTAGCTAACACAGGCGCTTGAACAGTCATCATATCAGGATCACTTGGAGATCTGACTTCAGAAATCTACAATATTATGGAGAACCCTCTACGAGAAAGAAAAAGGGTCCGTAACGCTTGTATTGGTCTCATTTTCTCTATCTAAGGATTCAATTATACAGGAGAACTCATCTCATTGTTCTGCACAATCTCTAATATTTAGATGAAGATATTATATACATAGGCTCGTCTTTGCTTCACCCGAAGGCTACTAGTCACCAGCACTGCGAAGAAGTGCGAGCCTATCGTTGGTGGCCCCCGCCCCTCATAATCAAGATTAGCCGTCTCGAATATGGGGGCTTTGTAGGGGGTGTTCGTAATTCATTACTTCCACTATTTGATCAAATCAAATAGCTTCAGAAGACTATCTTCGTCATCACGGGCCTCAGTGTTACAACCGAGGTGTACGAACCGGACGACCATTGTACTGAGCAAGACGAGGTCGAGTCGATCGGCGAGAGGGAGGTTGTCGAGCTCAGTACTATGATCACCAGGGCCCCGCTCAGAATCGGTAGTTCCTCTTGGATAGATTCTCGGCAAAGAATTTCTCCATTGTGCCAGACGGTCACAGAGCGAACCCCGTAGTCCCTTCACCTTGGCTCGTACGGCCTTGAAGGCGAAGATGAACACGAACAATGTCACTCCTGTAGAAATTAGCGCTGAAGGCCAGTTAAACTGGGCAAGAACCATTGTGTAATCAGACAAAAGTGTATATAAAATGGGTACTTAGCTTTGGATGTGTGTTGTGAACGAGGAGAGCATACTTGGATACAATCGACTAGAAGTAGTTACTGTTACTGTACATTATTCGGAAGCTACGACTTAGACTTGATGTCAACATCTTGCTCAAGTGGAAGGAAGAATTAATTGGACTCCAGAAAATAGGCAAGAGTGAATGGATGTGTTGGCCGAATTAGGGCTAGCTCTCGCGGACAATTCTATCAATTTAGACTCATCTTACTTACTATCATGCTTACACTCCAAACCGCAATATTTTCTTACTTCTTTATGTATTCCACGACTTTGTTCAACTATTGTTTCATTTGTAAATCCTTTTTTAAAATGAAGAAGAACATTTTTTGTCAGCAAAACACAGATTCTGTCGTACTTATAATCGCCCTTTGACACAAAGAAAGCAATTTGCGCACTCGTCGACCAATAGATCTCAACCGTTCACATCCTATGCGCTTATGTCGGGATCTGCTTGGTCAGCGACCCTGTATGCCCAGGTGCCCGTGGACCTGGGCATCTGCAATCAGCCTTGCTTATATATTCATTATCATGTGATCTACCATATAGTAGGAATTGGAATCAAACCTTAGAAAGCACCCCTCTTTTAGTTACCACAACTAGGGAAGTCGGAATCAGAAATTACAATATCTGTGGATCCTAAGAGTCGAGATATGTCTATATCTAGACAGGTCTAACTGAGATCGAGAAAGACTAGATGTATCAAGTTAAATTCCTTGGAGCATTCTGTTGACACTAGCTCAGATGAAGAAAGAAATCGCGAACGATCCTAGATCCTCAATCTCATCAGTTCACTCCCAGCAACGGCGATCGACCGAATCCTGGGCACTCCAAGATTCTTTCATCTTTTACTGTCTGGAGCAACAAGGCCCGCTTTTCACCCGACCATCTTTATGTTTAGTGGCAGCTTTGGTAGAGGCTAATAAGCCCGAGGATGAGGCTAACGCTATTATCGATGCTATTAAAAAGCTCCTGAAAGATATTGGAGTCTTTCAGAATCAATGCGTTTACGAAGACTCAGAGGTTAAGCGCATAGGACGTGAATGGTTGAGATCTATTGGTCGACGAGTGCGCAAATTGCTTTCGTTGTGTATGTGTAAAAGGGCGATTACGACAGAATCTGTGTTTTTCTGATAAAAAATATTCTTCTTCATTCCAAAAAAGGTTTTAAAAATGAAAGTCTGAAAGCGCCCCTCACCGCTAGTTACCACCGCTTGTTATATTATAAACCAATGAAACTCGTTCTTATCACCTAGATCCTTTCCCAATTCTTCGGTCAGCATTTTACTATACTCCCAACATGGGTTCCGAAACCCCGCAAGAATACTCTCTCGATGAGGAGATCGTTTACTTTTTCAGCACAACCTCTGCGACTAAATCATCATGTGATGCTCGTGCCCAGGAGCTGGTGGGAGGATCTGTCGTCCCCGTTGCAGTCCAAGGAAATTGCAGCTACACTGTTTACGCAGGCTCTACTCATGTGGTTCAGTTTCGACTGAAATCGCTAGACCTAGACACCAAAATGTCTACTCTAGCTGGTGAAATATACGGGTCCTTAATCCCGTCTGCCACTTTCCATGGTCATATTGGAGAACAGGGCATCGATGGGAAAGAGCCCTTGCGTGTCTATGTGATGAACCGAGTCAAAGGTATCAGTCACCTTGATTTCATTCTGGGTCATAATTTTCCGGAAAATTCGTTTGAGTATTGCACATGGCGGGAAAATCTGATATCTGACCTTGGGGAGTAAGTTCTATATCTAGCTCTACTAAGTTCTGAAGTTTCAATTAGGCTAATGATTTTATGTAGATTCCTTGGTTTATCATGGAAGCATCCCCGAAATATTAGCTCATCGGATCGAGAAGCTACGATTTGGAGATATGAGAAAGACTTACGCCAGCTTCTCGATGCTCTGCCTAGTCGATTTCGCCCTATTATTCAACAGTCTATTGATTCCCTACCGGCTGTTTTTTTCACTTCCTATGGTCCTTATTCACAAGGATTTCGGCGTCAATAATATTATGGTTGATACCGACAATCATCTCGTCGGGGTAATTGACTGGGCAGAAGCTGAGATCGGTCCCTTTGGGACAAATTTTCACTCCCTTCAGCAATTTATGAGCAAATACCGCCTCCGTGTGGGATGGATTCGCTATGCAAACTATGAAACCATGGACCGCATCTTTTGGGACTCCTTGTCTAAAAGTGCCGGAGGTCTCGAGCCCGAGACCATTAAAACAATCAAGGCGGCCAGAATCATTGGTCTTTTACGGTCCCATGGATTTACAAGTCGCCTGAAAAATAGGCCAGAGCCAGAGCCCATTCGAGATGACGAAAGTGGAGCTTCCAAAATGCTTGGGCTGGATGGAACGCTTATTGCCCCAGCGACAAAGCTTGTGGACTGAATTCGCGTTCCTTAATAGCCTGAGGGTACTTTCCAATGAGAGAATCAATATCATAAGTGATCTATGAAAATGCTAGAAAAGTAATTTGAAAGCACACCCAACACGTTGGTGAATTAGTAGTTGGGTGGGTGACCACCAGCGAATCCTCACTGTTGTATGTTTTATTTTCTTTTTTTGGTGCTTGTTTTTCTTCTATGGATCACATTATCTATCGCATGCAAACGAAAGCTACGAGGAGAGGCCGGTCTAAAAGATTGAAACTTTCCGAGGTGAGCCAGAAAGCCAGGAGCGACCAACCGACTTCGTCCAAGATTTGGAACACTCGACCTAAGTTGATTGCCCCGAAACTCCGTGATATCGAGGCGAAGGATCTGAAGGCGGACGAGGAGGAGACCCGGTAGCGAATTGCAAGATCTCCAGATGGCGTTTCGACAAATGTCGCTGGCACCACAAAAACCTGGTATCGGCACCTGAAGGAGGAACAAAGCTCAAGTTGGTTGAACTCGTCAGTCAAAGCGGAACACAAAACATCTCAGGTTGTCATCATGGCCCCGAGATTGGAATGAACGGAGAACCACGAAGCTCTCGACTTCCCTGCCGGGGAGCATTCTAGAATGGCATCTTCAGGCATAAGATCAGGCATTGAACCCTTCGTACATAGCCCGAAAGAATAATCACAATCCTGCTGGGTTGAACTCTCATTCCCATATATTTACCAGACTTGCTGTAAGCGCCTTCGCAAAACAGCATGTTCTCCGTGTATCTAATATTCATCCCTACGTACTACGTGCTCTGTAGATTTACTAGGCTTTACCTCATGGAAATTGCGAACGAATTCCATTTTGTGTCTATCCTTTTATCTGAATTTTTGGACGTTTTTTCCCGGCGTTTTTTTGGCTTGCCTTCTCCGTTTTTTTTTTTTTTTTTTTTGGGTGAGCCTTTACAAAGGTCTTTTTCTGTTTTCAATTAGTATTCAGCCAACAAAATAAACTCACATAACGGCCCGATGAAGTTTCATCTACCTAAATCCACGGCTAGGGGGGAGCCGGTGTAGACCCGTGACCCGGACCTCCATGCTAGGGTCTTGTTCAGGAAGCACTTGGGGCCACGAATCCCGCATTTCCCATAGAGTAACTTGCATCTGAATGTTTCTAGCGATATTACCGATTGCCATATGGTTACTAACATACCTGCGCAGCAACCTCAGAGAGCTAATCGTGTACTCACAAGCCCATTCAAACTCAGTCAAGTACTGACCTCCGGAACGTTGGAGCTCTTCGTTAAAGAACCACATCTCTCCAACTCTCCGGATATCTTGCGGCGTAGAATGCTCAAGCATTCTTGGAGCTGCATCAGAGAGGTCTGACACTGAGGCTAAGATCTCGCTTACCTCGTTGAAAAGTTGGGTTTCGTTGGGTGGTTGGTGTCGACCCGTAAGAAGCTGAACGATTCTGGTTAGGTCTGATCGGAGCGTATTGCGTTGCTGGATGAAGGCCGATACTAGGTTTCCAGTGGATCCTGTTTGTCCGTTAGTTGAGCGTCCATTAGATGAGCGTCCATTAGATCCTGAATATCCATTGGATGGGCGTCCATTGGTCCCTGAGTTTCCATTCGATCTCGAGAAGAAAGACATCTTGTAGGTTGGTTTGTAGATTGGTTTGTAGATTGGTTTGTAGGTTGGTTTGTCGATTGGTTTGTCGGTTGGTTTGTAGATTGGTCTGTAGATTGGTCTGTAGATCTGTTATGAAGAATTTTGGACCGGATGGGTAGGACCTATTTATACTACTCGAACTCGGCCAATCCTCGAAGTTGGGTTTCCAAGACTCGCATCAAGCATTGTTAACGCCAATAAAGACATTATAACACGAGTAAAAGAGGAATGGAGACATAAAGGGCATTGTTCTCACCAGGGGATCAAAGAGATGAACGAAAAACCATCGAAAGGGGCTAGTGCGTTGATCTAACCACCCGTGACACGCCAAAGATTCGAGTAAAGGCATTATGTTACTGGAAAATGACCTTGTCCTCATTCAAAGATATCGCCATTCATCAAGACAAAGATGATGTTTCCATCAACGATATTCGATCCCAGGCTAAACAGCGAGATCTATGCGTTCAAACAAAATCCAAAAGCAAGCGATGCCCCCATAACATTCATGTGAGGGTTTTGAAATAAGTCGTAGTTTGTAGGTCCCCAAATGGGACAATAAGGAGAAGTAAAAGAAGGTATTCAGCGACGCCCAATGCTTTGGTTCTTTTTTTTCAACTACGTTCAATCACTCTGGAAGGTGATGCCAAACGGCTTCTGCAATCTCCACCATGTCATCGTTTGATAACACAAAATCCGCCTCCTGGCCTCTTTTTTCCCGAAGAAAGCAGCGTTCAAATTCAATGTGCGTGAGGAAGGGAAAGAGAAGAGAGAGAAGAGATGGGGGAGAAATATAGAAGCGAATCACGTGATCTGACTGCTAACAGCAATTATGAAGTGTGAGGATATCTAGGATACCTAGATATCCAAGGTCAATTGAGAGGATACCTGATTGCCCAAGCAGGAAAGCGGATTCATCCCGATATCCCAATCATCTCCAGTGCCCATTACGCTATCTCAAAAGACGTCAACATTACAGCCAGGCCTCGCGAGATTACTGATCCTGTATATGGCCTTGCAGGAACTTGCACGGTATCTGGGTTAGGAGCCGACATAGATCAAGCCAGACAAGGGGCTATCATCGACCAATCAAACTGTATTATGTCTCTTTTGTCTTGCTGTATCCCTGAATCTGACGATTTACGTCGAGAATTCTGACTAATAAAATATAAACAAAACATGCAAACATAAAGGAAACTGGCAGGGATAGAGTGCCAAAAGACGCAGGCAGCAAACTATTGGCGCTAAACATTCATATTCTGCCGTCATTTACTGCAAAATGGTTTCCAACTGGGCATTTATTTAATCTCCTTCTCCTCAGGACGTTGTCGCCAGTTCGATCTTTCAGGCCAGACAATGACGTTCACAGCAAAATTATCGAAAATGTATCCTTTTGGGTTCTTGCGATCACATCCTTACAAATCCCATTCTATCCCGGCTAGTTTTATCCAGGCTTCTCAATGTGTTGAAGAAGAGCGCGCACCCCATTACAATCCCAGGCATTTTTATCCCATGAAACTCCATGCGGTAATCGCCAACAGATATCAAGTGGCTGCTAGACTTGGGTGGGGTACCAGCTCGACAGTCTGGCTGGGTAGGGATCTATACCAGTAAGTCCTAGATCAACACAATATGTCCCTATGTTAACTTTCAAGGTGGCGCTGGCTTCCTTCACGTTATGTTGCAATAAAGGTCAATGCAAATAATTACATGTCTAAAGAATGCGCCCAAAAGGAGTTACGAATTACACAGCGTATAACCCAAGCAAATACAGCCGACGAAGGCCGGTATTTTGTCCGCACTTTGCTTGACTCATTCGACTTGCCAGGGCCGCACGGCAACCATATTTGCTTGGTCTTTGACCCCCTCTACGAGCCCTTGTGGATGCTAAAACAGCGCTTTCAAGGGGGCGTTCTTCCACTCAATGTTGTAAGGGCCGTCATTCGGATGGTCGTAATGGGCCTTCATTATCTTCACACCCAGTGTCATGTCATCCATACAGGTTTGTCTAATAACCAAATAAAGCCTCCCTGATTGAAACGCTAAGAAATGACAGATCTTAAGTCTGACAATATTCTAATGGCTCTTAGAGACCACTCAGTACTCGACGGGGTTGTTCGAGATGAGATAGAGGATCCACTGCCTCAAAAAATTTCCGATGATCGAACAATATATCTCTCACGCAACAACTTTGGCTTTCAAGCAACCAACCTAGGTAGGCCAGTGATCACGGATTTTGGGCTTTCAGTCTGTGGGGACAAGGCCCCTCACAATCATCCTGTTCAACCAAATGGGTTTCGAGCCCCAGAGGTTATAATTGGAGCCAGTTGGGACTATAGTGTTGATATATGGAATCTGGGCGCATTGGTGAGGCTCATTGGAATTCTCCTCTAGGAGGTTCCTAGATATTCTAACAACCTAGCTAGATCTGGGAACTGCTTTGTGGGACCGGCCCTTTTGATTATTCAACATCATCCTCAGATTCAACTTACAGTGAGGAAAAGCATTTGGCGTCTATTATTTCCTTGATCGGCCCTCCGCCAGAGGATATGCTTGGACAGGGAACTCAAAGTTCGCGATATTTTAATGACGATGGTATTTCGATAACAAGGTGTCACTGCCCAAGATTTGTCTTGCTAATTATCAAGCAGGTCAATTCAAGTTTCCCGGGCTCATTTCAAAAGAAGGAGGACTTGAAAAAAAGCTTACGGTCATCGAAGGGGATGAGAAGCAGATGTTTTTGAATTTTGTCTCTAGACTGCTGCGATGGCGGCCAGAGGATCGAGGAACTGCAGAGGAACTACTCTCTGATCCCTGGCTGAAATAATAGGTTCTCGTTGGAATTCATAGAAATTGCATTGTGTTGGAATAAAATCAGACATACGATCATTATTCTTGAAAATGAGTGTTTTAGGTATCACTCAATAGCTTCCACGTCACTTTTGAAAAGATCATAAGTTCCGATTCCCTATCCCCACTAGGATAGCAAGAGATTTCCTTTCAGTCCCATTTATTGAAGCTGGAGGATAAACGCAACAAGGCGATAGCAGATGGTCACGTCGCCGTCGTTGCCAAACAGTGGACAGCCGAACAGTGGGGAAGTTCATACAAGTCTGTGGCAGTGCCTCTTATTCCGGCGACTGCAGAAGTTATGGACTTCAGGAGTACTTAAGTATCTAAGATCGGCTACTTAGTACTAACCTCATAATCTCCGTAACTATCCGTGGACGTTTTGAATTTAGCTTATTCATGTCATTTGTCTTCTATTACATTATCTAGTTGAGACCGGATTGTGTCCGCCACCTTGCCTTGGACAGCCACATTGATAACTGAATAAATAAACTTATACATCGATTGACCCATGCATACTTTGTAGACAAATCTGGAGGTTTTTTATTTTGAGCTGTGAATTTCAAGCATCTACAGAGGATCCTAGCCCGATTATCCGATGACATCAAGATCTCCCATTCACCAATGACCATTCTCTGGGGATCTAGTGGTACGAAAGCAATCCGTCGATTCCCAATATGGCTGCAGGGAAAACAAGTTTAACATCACATATCCTTCAGCTGGTCGAAAACGGGTGCCAGGTTCCGTGCAGTAGCACTTGCGTGCTCTGCGAAAATTGCTGGGTAGGCAGTATAGATCAGTATACGTAATACGGGAAGAGTTGTGACGAGATTATACCATCAGGTGTTCCATCTAGAACTATCTCGTGCATTTTTCCGTCCAAGAGCAAAGTTGCCGAGCTTGTATTTAACTCTGTCTGGCGAGGCATTTGGTTTGGGATATAGAGGCGGGGATAACTCGACGATCCTAGCAATGAAAAAAAAATATTAACCTCGATTGAATAAAACCTCTCGCACACTGAGAACGTACCAAAACCAAAATGTTGCGAATCGTGAAAAAACGTAAGTTTACATCTATCTTCAGCACTAGCTGCAGAAGTCGATATGAAGGGACTGGCAGCACGGAGTGCACTACCAACCTCTTTTTCAATCAAAATATAGGTTTCTCCTGGGTTGCCAATAAAGATAGGCACCTTCCTGGTAACTAGATTTCCTCTCGTATCATGGATAATGAACTCTGTTGTGACACGATGAAGACATCGTGCGGTACGAGCGCTTCTAGTGCAGCGCAAGGAAGAGAAGGGCCGAAAAGCACTGCGAAACATGTTGGCTCGGACTAATTAAGACTCAAGTCAGTGAAGTGGCAGGCATTTCCTTCAGCATTCAAGACGTGTAACAACTAGGGGTATCTGGAGGCCCAAAAAAGCGGTGAAGTAGGTGTTCACCGCCTACTTCACCGGTCAAATAACAGTGTTACACCACTGTACTGCTTTCCCTCACTAGTATTTAGTTTCCACTGTTGGGTAGATTCATCCTTCTTGGTATCTCGATCCATATCCGAAAGGGCATGCCCAAATGGTGTCACAGGTGTGCTATACGACAGGAGATGGAGAGCTGTTTCTGATTCGTACGGTGTATAGACATGACCAGCGTCGGCGGTGCTTGTGTTGGGGGTTGTGGTGTGGGCCGAGCGGTACCGCCGTTGACAGTATTTGTAGAATGCCTCTGCCAATCTGCCTAAGCTATATCCGGTAATGTCGCCGAGAATCGCCTGGAAGTATATCCATTTCAAATCGCACTCTGCATTATCAGATGCCATCACAGCGAAGCCGATACAACGGTATGTTGAGAAGGATTTGCAGGATGAAAAGTAGTTGTAGAAAGATGGAGAAGGTAGAAAATGACAAAATGAAAATGAGGACGTTAGAAACATGTCATTTCTTTTCTTGTGTAACCATTTCCAGGGGTTTTTTCCGACTGTCAATTAGGTATGGCATTAGTCAAACCCTGGAAAGCCTGGAAGTCGAGCCAATAACTTGCAAACCTTGAGCCTGAAAATCCCATTTGACCACACCAAACCGGCCATAAAAGGTAACAAAATTTCAACAGTAATCTGTAATTGTTCAAGACTGGAAAGATTCATACGTTAGGTATCTGAGGAACCTTGGAAACCTTCAGTGTTGACTAAGCACATTGAATTGGGGACATGCTTCCTCGCCTGGTCATGGAATATGGTATTTTGGAAAGGTCGAGAGGGCTGAGACCAGATGTCTGGCTGCTGCTCCAAGGAATTTAACCTGATACATCTAATCTTATCATCGATAATTGCTTGACAAGTGGGTCGATCATCGATCCTTTGCCGCTCCAATTCGATTCAATATGTATCCGCCCGAGCGGGTCGACCCCGCCCTTCATGTTTATTTTTATATCAAGAGATATGGCATCTACTCATATTGATTTGGCCCCATTGTAGTTTATACTAGCCTCTAAAATTGTAAGAGGTAATGCATTGAGGGAGTATTTATTACCCCAGATTTGAAACCTGTTAAATATCCAGTGCAAAAAAGTATAGACGGCGGGCTGGCTCATCAATGGCCCCACAAGAAAATCCCACGGCTTGCAGAGCCGTGGTTGACCACAGTTTTATAACCTTGGAACAGTTATTCAAAATTGAGTGCTATTCTGTCAAAAGCAAGGACTTTGATGAGAAAATTAAGTTTCATGCCAGTTTAAATCTTCACTAAGCAACACGTTGGAGCCAAATCCAGAACTAAATAGTCAAAGTCCCCGAAAGAGACAGGTCCCTGCTGTTGCGCCCCACAAAGATCTGATATGTTCCACGCTGGAGAAGCCATTCCTGTGCACTAGTGTCCCAAGTGCTTAGATCTCGTCGAGTAAGGTTGAAACTCACGCTAGCCGACTTGCCAGACTTGATCAAGACTTTGTCAAAGCCACGAAGCTGGCGAACAGGGCCATTAGGGATACCAACGTAGAGCTGTGCGACTTCTTTCCCATCAACCTTTCCGGTATTCTTCACGGTCGCTGAGACCTTAACCAGCGTGTCGAAAAGACGAGGATTCCCGCCTGGAACAATCGGCGCCGTTGGGGGATAATTAGTCGATGAAGCTGATGTCTTTGATATTTTCAGACTTGAGTATGCGAAAGAGGTGTAAGAAAGACCGAATCCGAAGGCGTATTGGGGCTCGATATTGTCTTTGTCAAAGGCGCGATAGTCGATGTAAACCCCTTCTGTGAAATCCGATTGGGGGAAGTATTGATACTTCTCGTCGGGCTCGGAAGGTTGGAGAAGAGTGCCATAGTCAGACTGTTGCTTCGCGACTGTATAAGGAAGTCGACCTGATGGGTTTGCATCTCCATAGAGGATATCGACCAGTGCGCGACCAGTGTCTTGGCCAGGGAGATGGCCAAATATCACAGCGGTGACATTGGTATGATCAACCCAGGATTCGACGGTGCGAATGCCCGCGTTGTGCACCACCACAACAGTATTGGCACAGTTGTTTGCAACGTTGGTCACAATTGTGTCGCTATGAGTGTCACTGAGAGCCTCTCGATCAACGGCTTCTGTGGCAAAAGCATTGATGAAAACTAGACACACGTCTGAGACATAATTGACAAAGGGCTTTTCCGATGTGAAGTCCCATAGAATGGAAGAGCCATCCTGGTAGGCTCGACGCTGTAGAGCCTCTATCGGAGAGTCGATGTAAGCAGGCGAGTTTGCGCCTGATCCACCACCACCAAAAAGGGTTCCGTTCTGATAGAGAGCTGAACGATCGGTTGTGGGGAAGCTGAATGAGCTTTCCAGGGTATAGGACATGGGGGTATTGGCATCGTATCCAAATACGGAAACCAACTTAGGTGATTTGAGTGGAAGCGCATTGTTTTTGTTCTTCACCAGAACATGGCCCTCAATGGCTGACTCCAAGAGCACTGATTTTGCCGCCTTAGATGTGGCGACAATTGCTTCGTGGGCAGCATTGACGCTGGACGGCATCCCGATACCAGGGTTAGGGAATGCCGAGTCTTGATCAAGATAATACCAAGTTGCCATCAACCTGTCGAATTTGCATTAGCATAACCCCCTCCGTGATTCTCAATCAAAATGATCTGCAGGTGCTTCTTACCTTGTGATCATGTCATCTAATCGTGATGCTTCCATGGTTCCGTTCGAAATCGCCGTGGTCAGATTACCATTCCAATAACTTGAGCTCGGCATGACAACATCCAATCCCGCATTAGCAGACGCTATTCCGGTGTGCTGGGCAAACCAATCGGTGATCACATATCCTTTAAAGGCATCAGTTATTGGATCCAATTTGCAGCCTGCGCAGTATTCACCCACCCTGGAAGCCTAGCTCAGTTTTCAAAAGACCATTGAGAGCTCTGCTATTCTGGCAAGCGTATGAGTTGTTCAAACGGTTATACGAACACATGATGCAAGTGGTTCCAGCAAGGACTGCATCTTGGAAAGGCCACAAGTAAAGCTCATGGAGTGTTTTATCGTCGATGTTCGATGAGACAGACTCAACGTAGTGCCCTTCGGAGTTCGTGGCTGGGTTGCGGTTAGTCTCTTGCTCGTTTGCGATGAAATGCTAAGGTAGATTTAGTACAGGGAGCCCACTTGGAATATCGTTACATACCTTCAGGGAAGTGGCAACGTTTTGAGATTGCAGTCCTTTGACCGAATCTGCAACCAAGATTCCGCTGAGGTACGGATCAGCGGCGAAGCCTTCCCAATTGCGACCACCAAGAGCCACACGGCCCAGAGGTCCGACGACTGGACCCAGGATCATGTTTACACCCTTCTTGCGATACTCCTGTCCCATATGAATACCTCGTTGCTTGGCGAGATCACGGTTCCAGCTATTCAAATCGCAAGCAGTGATCAGCAAGTTATAAGAACAGATGGTAACATGGTGTTGTACTTACCTGGCTCCTACATGAACTCCAGATGACCAAGCGTTCACGAAATCGGATCCTCTCTAGTATCTGTATCAGTATATGGATGTGAAGGTTGTCACAGGATACTTACCAAGCCATTTCCAGCATCACTCACGCACATTCCTGGGAACCCAAGGCGAGTGATTCCCTGGATATTCCCGGAGCATCCATTATCAGCGGAGATACCAGCAGTCAGATTGACCTTTTCATCATCAGATAGCTGGGCGACGAATGCTTTGGCCTTGGTGTATGCATCGGCCCAATCTCCAGTGCCGGTGCCTTGGGCTGCTCGATGGGTTAGTGATACTGATCAGATCATAAGCAGGGGTGTATAAGCATACGTGAAGGGTAAACGGCAGGAGATTCTCCGTAGAATACTGTGTCATCGGTGATGACATCTTCACCGAGAACTACGTTCCCAGCTGCAAGGCCCAGTAGTAATGTATTCCTCCAAAAGGCGAGCATCGCGAAGGCAGGACAGAAACCACGTATCTTCAATGCAGTCCGAATGATGAACATCTCCGGCGAAACCTCCATCCATTTTATATCCCAACCCCTCAAATCGTCGGGACTTCAAGGTATGGAAACTCCGGGTATTCCACGCCGAGCTTCAGCGGGTAAACATCGGAAGAATAGAATGCAACATCACGTATTGTGAAAACTAGAGCGTTCAGCAAGGTATCCAGTTCGCGACTAGCTTCATGAGAAAGCACGGCCATGTCACCGCAATGAGCCATTTGCGGGGAAGGTCCTCAGTTCCACGGGGATACTTGAACCGAAGTGGCTTGGTCTGGGGGATCAATCGATGATTTGGGAATGGGGTGATCAGAGTCATGATATTCGAGGGCCCAAGTCATCTCATGTGCCGGAGCGGGCTTAAAGTGGCGCGCCGAAAAGGCGGGGAAAGCCCCACGGGGGAATGACCGGAAGTCCCGAAGTACATGGCATGGGCTGGAGACTTGCGCGTCTCTGGTATCGTGGGGGAAAAGGTAACAGATGAAAAGGCGTATCGACAGTCATTTCATAGCATCTCCCTGATGCTGAAAGCTCTGTTTATTGAAACGAACTTGGAAAGGCCGAGGGAAAGATGGGGGTAAGTAGGGTTAAGTGTGGGGGGAGTTTATTTAAACTCTGAGTATCCTGGCCCCACATCAGGCTCACAAAATCTTGACTTCGCGTCCGCTCTCTCTTCATCCCTAGAATTTGACTAGAGCAGTCTTATGAGCTGATTTTTTGAGTCGTCATCAACTGTCAGATTTCTCAGAACGGTGTCATCTTCCGAAGGTATTTTATCCACTAACAAGATAGCACCAACTGAAGAAGACCCGTCCATGTATTGCTCTGAAACCCACAGGAGATGCCCCAAGCTCCCCACATGGTAGCATAATCTGTCAAACTTCCAGGCTCTAAAGCTGGGCTCATAATGTGGGGCTCACCCCCGCATGAAACTTGATGTGGGTAGCCGACAGTGCCGGCCTATCCGTGCATTCTCGGGAATGAGATTGTGTTAGAAGTGCCGTTTGTTGACTCGGAAATAGGTTTTTTATCCTGCTTCTCTTTTCTGGACATTCATGCCCAGCAAATGGGTAGGTGCTTATGCGGGTCGTCAGGAGTGGTAATATAGACCTGGGAGCATCTTTTCTCGCAGTTTTTTGCCCTCAATAAGTGGGAGTTACCACATTGGACATTACCCCTGACATTATATAATATGTGACTTGCTGAAGGCTGGGCCTAAGTCCTAGGCCTGCCATGTGACGTACTCGAGGTTTCTTATCCAAGCAGAACCTTGGAAACAAGGGACAAAACATAAGGTTATTAAAGATGGAGAAGAAAAAGACAGAGAGCTGACATCTAGTTACAATTACCACCTTTGGGTGCACATTGCAAACAGTGCAAACACAATACAAATACAAACAGTGGAAACCTTAAATAACAGCTAGCAAACAACAGCTACTCCGTTACTAGCAAACAGTACTTCGTACCTGGCAAACAAACTGCACCCAGGCGAAGAAAAGCAAACATCACATTGGATCACCCCGATCGGTACTACGGGATAGTCGTCGACATTAAAATAGAGGATCTCGGTAATACGATTTCATTGGCTACGCAATACACTATGCAAAGTCAGTAAACTCGGTCTATCAAAAGCCCAATAAAGCCCATAGACGGAGCCCAATAAAAGCCCAGTTCCCCGACAATTTAAAAATTTTTCCATTCAAAACATTTTGCGCCATGACTTTCTCTGTTCACTTCCTCTGTTCACTGCATCAGTGGCTTCCGCACCCGGAAGGTAGCTTAATCCCACTTCTTCTTTCCTTGCCCTAGTTCATCTGAAGCCTTTGCCTGAAGCTCTACTTAAAATCTTGAACCCATTCATTGTCATTGATCATGTCACGAAGCCAGCAATTCAAGGTCGAATCATCTCCGTCGAGTCTCTTCAAATCTGAGCCTGACGACTCACCACTCGCTACCCCGTCTGCCTCTAAGCGGGCCTTCAATTCGTTGTTCAACTCGGTCCCTTCATCGATTGCTCCGGATCCTCCTGATATTTTCCAACGTATCGGCCCTGGCAAGCGAGGTGGCCAGTACCTTCTCTACGAAGCGATAAATCAGAGCGAGTGGGTCAAATGGTGGTCGGAGACTGACTATGGACTCAATAATCACAAGGTTGCTTGGGACTCGCCGCATGGAGCCACCTCGGAGACATGGAAACATTTTCATCAAATTGCGCACATGGACAGTGGAGGACCGAAGGTCATGTGCAAGCGCTGCGATGTAATCCTCGAACACCCTTATGCTACGAAGAAACATGGTACAACTCATGCGAATACGAGTGTTAATTATCATGACACGTCGACTATTAAGCGACATCTTCAAACCTCTGCCTGTCGAAGGATCGCAAGTGGACGGAATCAAAGAGGCGCAATGGAACGGTTCATCCAAACAAAGGTAAGTCAAGCTGTGCCACATTACACCTCCACTGCTAACTAGAAATTTCAATCTAGGACAACAGCCAGTCACTCTGGCAAAAAGAGTGGGAGATGGCTTTGATGCGGCTTTTTACCATCGGCGGGATTCCGTTCGAACTCCTCGAGTGTCCATCTTTCTGTGAATCTTTCCGTAAACTCATCTCAATAGCCCACTCTGCCCCAAGCCCTCCGCCCATTCCTTCTGCGGAAAAGCTCCGACACATGCTGTATGCTCTTCTTGAAAAGTGGCAGCAGGAAGCACTAAGGATGCTACCAGAGCATGCAAACATTCTTGTTTCTTTGGATGAGATTTCGGAAGATGGTGACGCTATGATCAGTCAGCTACACCAACTATACCAGCTCGGGTGCGGAGACCTGTAGACCGGGAAGGAAGAGGAAATATATTGAAGATGCCTTGTGTGAGAATCATTAGCATGGTCATAGTACACCCCTACTTGATATCTTAGCAATCAATCCCGTCAGTCAATCCCATCAATCGGCCAATCAGTCAAATCTCATCCATCGATGAGAACCTAGCCATTTGAGGCCTAGATGGTAATTAGAATACTCCAAATTATTCTGAGGGTCTGAATGACTCGAGCAAATACAAATTGAACACCCGGGCAGTCATAAACATGTTTGCACTGTTTGGAGCCCATAAACCTGCTCAAGTGCTTCTACGTCAGACCTATGGCTCACCCGCCAGACTGCAGGTCTGATTGGGCTCAGCGCTCACTGTCTTTTAACATCTCGAAGTCTTCCACAGGTGTCAGATTCCCCTTGTTTAGCAGAATCACCCGATTACAAGCCATATTTTCGCTTTTCTTAGGTTTACCCAAAGTGTTGCTTGGACTTGAGGTGAAGCAGCACGACTTGGGTGGACCCCTGAAATGGGCCTGGCCAATGATGCTCGCTAATTGATTCCCTGCTGTTTTTCCGAGCCGAGCGCGCTTTTCCGGGGAGAGAGCGACTTCAGGGAGACGTACGGAGTACAGACACATGACTTTCCCCGAGATCACTTCTGATGCGCCAGGAAGAGTCTTAGTTTCTTGGGTGGAGGAACTTGCGTTCATCGAAACAAAAATCAAATTTATGAGCTATGAACCTTGGTGACTGATATGAAATGGGTGAAACTCCCTGGAAATGATCAACGATCCCCGGAGCACCATGCATGGCATGGAAGCTATGAAAGAGGGCTGTCGCCCTGTCGGGTTTTGGCGTTTTCTGCGTGACGGCCACGCAGATGCTCTATCATCTTGTCTTTCCGGCCAAACAACTTTCCACACCGAGGAGCTGGACATTCGTAGATATCCTTCAGTATATGTTTTTCCTTGATATGCCGCCACAAGCATGAGTGGTGGCCATAACTAGAAGTGTGTTGACTTTCACAGTCTTCCCATCCGCATTTGAATGACTTTCCACCCTGGGAACCGGAGCGTTGGTAGGAATTGGGCGGTATGTGCTCGTTCCTGATGTGCCGCCACAAGGATCGATCGCGGCCATATATATCCTGGCTTAAGCAGCCGTCCCATCCACATTGGATGCGATCGGCAGTGCTGTCCCTGGAAAGCATTGTGTTAGATACCCATCGTCTGCAAGTTTGCGTGTTGGTATAAAGCTTCATCGGGGAATCTTACTTATCGTCACTGGAGTGAGAGCTTGAAAGTGTCTGTTGATCAACCGGACTGCCATCAGGTGTTGACTGGCTTGGTAACTCTCTCATCGGGAACGGGGGTTGCTGGTAATGGCTGTTTAGACCAGCGACCATGAGATGGTTCCAAGGGTCATTGTGTTGGTTCGCTGCTCCGACCAGAACAGAATTGCCCTGAGCCCATTCGACGATGGGGTTTTCGAGAGATAGAGAAGAGGACTCAAGTCCAGATAGATCGTATCCAATCACAGTCGATTGATCTGTAATATGGAGACCAAAGGCCGAGCCTGAAGTTGCGTTGTTCTGTTCAGGATCGTGATGTGTGCTCTGCGGTGCGAGTTGATCATAGGCCAGATCATGGATTCGAAGTTCATCTCCATAATGGATTGACTCGGCAATGTCAAACGGGAGGGGCCCAAGGATATCGTCGGGAATATTGTACTCCATGATGAAAGCTGTCGTTCACCAACGACAATCTTGAAAGTGTATCAAGTATCAGGCAGCCGGTATGTCGACTCTGCTCGAGCTTCAAAATGAGGATAGTTTTGATCAGAAAACCATTATGAATTGAGGGAAAAGCCGAACATAAATAAGAGGAATTTGGAAGTCAACATTGCTAGAAGGGTTCAAACATCACTGGAATCGTCAAGACACCAACCCTCTCGGGCTCGATCTATGTACTTATCCCCTCGTCAATCTCGTACGCTTTGACTTGATGATCGTCCTACTCGCAGGTCCCAAATTCCCCCGAATTCCTGGTTGAGCCAATCAGACGCTTGGAACAAAAGGACTAGATCGCGCGGCCCGCTGTCCCGGGGGTGAAAACGTACCTCATGAATTTCTCGGCCTCTTGGCTTTGAGTTTTCATGGCAATTTGCAACGAAACCCCTAAGCAGGTGTATACGCTAAGCCCAATTGTTTTTTTTTAAAAGTATAGGTCTGGCAGATACACGTCACAAACCGAATCCTCACACCGACCCACAATTATCCGCGTTTGTCCAATGAGGGAGTTCCAATCGAATCGGTGCAACCTGTTGACTCGCTGACTTAGGCTGTCAGCAATCGTACCCTGGTGCTTGGGTTTTATAACAATCTCCTATGGCAACAAGACCATCCCTCGCTGCGCCACTTTTCGAGGCTGGTGATGTTTCCATACGTATGACAGCCGCAGGCGCAGGAACCAACTTGGTCAACCAGCGTCAAGAGCTCCTCCGGGCACCTCCTTTGTACTTAATTGGTTTCTTGTCCATGTATTTTTTCCGTTGCGTAACGCGAAGAGGGATCCAAACATCCGGCATACCGGCTCCTGTACAGAGTATAGGGCCTGTCATCACTTGATTGGTCCCTTGTCGACATGGACTTCTAAAGTTGTATTGGTGCCTTACAAAACTCTCATATCGAGGCTTTGCTTAGATGAGAACCATACACTTATGCGAAGAGCCTTTTCAAAAAGAAATTATTAGATATTTGCAAAATAGTTTGATCTGCCATCCACTTTGACGGCGCTAATCTTTTTCTACAGCAGAGCTTTCTATCAACGTGCACTTGCCAAATAGAACTTCCAAGAGTTCGAGAGAACAAGCCTGTGAGTCTGATATTGATGAGATGATCTTTAAAATATTGTATGCAAAAAATATTCAATATTCAGCTGCATAAGTTGCGTAGCATACCGGGTACGGGTACGGAGTATGGAGTATCAGTCTCATATAATGTATTAAGCATATAACCCATGAACCTATGTACATACATACAACTAAAGTGGCACTCGAATTGCAAACAGGTCCGTGCATTGAAATGAGGTGTGGCAGTGCTGGGCTTGGCATCGGAATGCAACCAACAAGCATCGCTCGTCTGGCTCCAACTAGTTGAGTCAAGTACTTAAATCAGGTGCTGCCCTTTTGACGATCTCGAATAACGTGAAAGCCCGACACCCCGTCATTAGCCAACTGGGCAACAAGCCCATACTCCCAGTCAAGATAGCCCTGCATATCTTTCCGCGCATTGCTCGTTCCCTCGTATGGCCTTTTATACACATCGATCGGTTCAGAAAGTCGACGCTCCTCGGTTTCAAGTGGAAGCCCAGCTGCTACCCATGCCGCGGTTCCTCCCGTTAAATAGAGAATCTCTCGCTGATTTGAAGCCCGGGCTTCCTCGAGATTGACCGCGGCTACATCCCCATCTGGTGAAGTCAAAACAATCGGGCCGTCACCGGTAACAGTCTTCAAATCCCTGCTCAGTTCGGGCCCTGAAGCAAACCATGCGCCGGGGATATGGCCTTTGCGATAAACGGGACTGCGGGAGAGATCGACCACAACGGCACCTTTGAGCTTCTGGAGGTCGTCAACAGTGATAGCCCCAGTGTGCGGAGGCTGCCACGAGGGAGTTGCAGGTGACTTGAGACTATCGGGTACCATGGTATCAACGATGTATACTTCCCACCCAAGCTGCAAAAGCCAGCTAGCCGTCATGCGCGCACGCACACCATCGGTATCATACAGAACAATGCGAGCACCTCGAACACCGACCCATTCATCGGTAGCCTGGACCAATTGACCACCAGGCGCATTGGAGAAACCCACTGGATGACCAGCAGCATACTCATCCGGATCCCTGACATCCAACAAATAAAGTGACCGATCCTCAGACTCCGCGGCAAACTGAATCAACTGGACATCATCAATCACAGAAACACCAGCATGCGAAGCCCATTTTTCCGCGTGCAGTTGTGCCTTTCGTGCTGCATCGGCCGAAGGGGCCGGAACTCGCTCTGTCTTTTCAGTTTCCAGATCAAGTTCCTCCAATGTCCACCCGATAGTTCCATTGCGCAGCGCAAACACTTTATTAGGAATCCCCGAATTGATCAAGGACTGAGTACCGACAATACTGCGTGTGCGACCGGCGCAATTGACAATGACGGTTGTTTCTGGCGAAGGCGCTGCCTGGAAGACACGATACAACAATTCTCCACCTGGACAACTGCGACCGCGGGGAATGCTCATTGTATTATATTCGGTGAACCGTCTGGCATCGAGAACCACCACATCGCTCTCACTTTCGAGGACATTTTTCACTTCTCGTGCGGACCATGATGGAGTATGAGTGATTGACTCGACCAACTCCCCAAAAGCTTTCGATGGGACGTTGACATCGCGATAGACTTCTCCTATGAGGGAGTAGGCGGAAAGACCTCCTTCCAAGATGAAGACATTTCGATATCCCAGTGCGAGGACTCTGGCTGCGGCCCGATCGACGTACTTCTCTCCATCATCGTAGACGACTATCGGTGCAGATAGCCTGGGGACCAATGGAGGTAATTTGGCCTCAATTTCGGATACTGGCACGCTCAATGCCCAGAGAGGATGGGATTCGGAATAGGGGCCTTCTTCGCGGACATCTAGGAGGGCCACTTCGTCTTGGTTTATCCAGTATTTGCGTAGTTGGCGTGCAGTAATTGATTTGGCCATATTGAATATGCTGAGAGTTGAAAGTCAAGTCAAGAGTGAAAGCGAATGGAAAATGCACACTCCGCTGCGGGGGGTTTTCCCCGGATGTTTTTTTTTTTTTTTGTGTTTTTTGTTTCTTTTCAAATTGGCCCACAATTGCAACTGATGTTAATATTAATATCTCCGAGCCAGTACCGCTTTGGAAAAGAGGTTGATCGCTTGGTGAGATTCATGACTTCATTGCCCTTTCGGGCAGACCTGATTTAGGCACGTTGACAACCCAACCAACAGCAAGACTTACCCACAGCATATAAAACACAAAGATCGAATCAATCAACTTTGAATGACAAGATACCTCGTCCTTGAGTCCCTTTGAAATGGCGAAACATTCTCACGGTGTTCCGGCAGTACCCCGCTCCAAGCTCGCCATTTCCAGGAGCGATGACGGATTCCCGACACTCGACACTCGACAGTCCTCGACTTGAAGCAACCACAGTATGAATTCCACACGCCAAAAACGCAAGTCCTGCGAATCTTGTCGTATGCCATCTCTCCCTAATCCATGCCCCACTAACACCCACCCAGGAGCCCGGAAGCTCAGATGCTCAGGGGAAAAGAGTGGATGCTCCCGCTGTCGGGGCCTATCCATGCCCTGTAGATTCAAAGAAGAGGGTGCACCCGGAAGACCAAGGAAACGACTACGAGAAGAGACTGGGCGAGAAGAGCGGACTGGTTCTGATTCTTCGGGCTCGCGCATTTCACCCGTCATCCCTGAAGCTACCTTGAGTCCGCAAGAGACTGTCAACTTATTGATGAGGGCTGAGGATTTCGACTCGGTGTCGTGTGGCATATCCGGAAATTGCGGATTTGACTCTTCGCACTGGGAAATGCTGGGGAATGGCGAGATCTGCTCGGCACCACTGGAGACATGGCAGATTCCGCAGCAGAATGCCTTGCCAGAACAAGAAGCCGAGGTCCCGCAGATTGCGTTGGATGCATACGCTTCCCCCTTATCATTTGCACAGTCGTGTAACTGTGACGAAGAAGTTTCCAGCATTGTCCGCAATTTAAGTCAGGCGAATGTATCGCACGATATCCTCCCGACACTTCGAACGGGCGTCTCATTGACAGAGAGGATACTCGTATGTCCGATTTGCTACGACGTGTCAAAACCACCCCGGGTGACTGTTCAAAACGTGCTACTCATCGGCCATCTCATGTTCGAGATCACATCTAGCTACCAGAAATATCTCCGATGGCTGAATAAACACTGCACCACCCTCGATGCCAGGAACGAAAGCCAGACAATCTATCTAGATTCGGAGATAGGGATAGCGCCCGAGCTGAATTTGCAGATCAGTGGGGAGAAGTTCAGAGAGATGGTTGTACATGGCTTGAAAGCTGATGCTGAGCGGTTGTCGGTGCTGGGGAAGAGTTTCGCTCTGCGGCAGAGGAATCGGCATATCGTTGGCCATGAAACTTGCCCGGACCCGGATGGGGATTGTCGGAAGAAGGAGTACGGTATTGGTCATGATCCGCTGGATCTTTGTCCGCAGAATCCTGTGGCTCGGAAGTTGATCCCCTGCTTTCGCATTGTCGATGAGGTGCGGCAGATGGTTGACCATGTTTCTGCTGCTGTTGCATGATACCCGCTCTTAATACTTCACACTGTTATATTAGATTGTTTTCAGCCAATAAATATGCGAATCAAGAAGCTACTCAGCTGTTTTCTGCTTTTGCTGTTTTGGTCAAGATCGCCTAGCATCATCAAATGGCAGTGGAGAGTCACTTGGGGGTTTGGGCAAACCAACCCTAAAGTCCACGCAAGGTGGCTGATTTGATTCTCGACCTGAAGATCATTACAAGTTTGGCAAAACTTCTCATGACAAATTGATTCATTTTAAAAGTCGGTTTAATTTCTAACCTAGAGCATGAGTACCGTTCAAGCTCGGCTTTCCGCAACACGAAGGAACCTTCCCAAGCCTACAGAAGCAAGAAGATGTAATCTCTACATCCGCACCCACCAAAGCAAGCGAGAGCTGTTTCTTGATGATATTCGCCTCCGCATGCCGACCCAGAAGCTCAAGACACTCGTGATAGCCGTGCAGAGCCCACACATTGTTCGGATGTTGATGCGCACGCTTGGGGGTATGGAAGAGTCCCAAGTCCTCTGCATACGCCTGTGCAGCCTGTTCAACCCGACCCTGCTCCAACGAGAGTGCCGCATAGGCATGTCGAGCCGGAAGCATCCACCCCCAAGGCTCTGCGAAGGGCAACTCGTCTTCAAATGCCACTGCGTCTGCAAGTCTCTTGAACGCGATCTCGTAATTTCCTCGACGGTATTCGATTTCGCCGTCCAGCATTGCGGATGCGACTTTGAGGATGTCGGTGATTTTATTTGGGAAGTCGAGGCGGGTGGGTGGGACGAGTCTCGATGCGCTTTTGAACAGTTCCCGCTCCTTGTCTGCTTCGTCGACTTGGGATGTGGCTGCGTAGGCGATGGCTTTTCCATAATGTCTCATGACGTTCGTAACGCAGTATAGCTCTTTATCTTCGGGCGGGTCGAGCTGTTTCAGTTCCTCCCACATTCCAAATCGAATGAGTACATGAACTCTCACGGCCTTGAAGAATTCCATCCAATTTGCAAGAGCAGGCGTTTCCACTCGGAGAATCTCCTCTGTAATTGTAGCCTCCATTCTGTCCACTGCCGAAAAAGCAGCCTTCGACATTCCACCCAGCATCGCAGCGTAAATAAGGGAGTGGTAGTCGTGTAGGCGGTAGTAGCTATAGAATGTCAAGCCACCATTATGTTGAAAGTATTTGTCATCTGCGACTGTCGCCTTATAGTTATATTCCACTGCCCTTCGATAATCACCCACCAGCACATCAATATGCGCCGGCATGTGGAAAGTATGTCCTGTGTCGGGGAATATTTCTCGAATCATCTCTGCCGCCGGCAACGCCGCCTCGGGAGTCGCCGACATCTCCATCAGGTGAATATACATGTGTGCGGGACCGGGGTGGCGCTCAACACCGGGCATTTTCAACGCGCCATCCAGCAGCGCTTTCACTTCAAAGACCGGAGACGATGCTATTGGGAGACCTGTGCACGCGTCGTATAGCTTTCGCGGGGCGCAGTTCATTAACGCGTCCGCAAAGAGCGTGATGATGTCGAAGTCTTCGCGACCGAATCCCTTATACACCTCCCTCATCGAATCCGCATATGCCCTGCTGCATCCCCCCAGATCTCTCCCGGGATTATCATCGGGGTACCGTATGGCATGCGCGTTGATGATCGCCCGCTCCCAATCCGAGGCATTGTGAATCCATTTCAAAGACTCCTGGGAGTATTTATAACATTGTTGAATGGCATTGATCCGATCCCTTTCGTCAAATAGCGCCCATGTCTTGTTGTAATTGGAGCCGGAGCAGAAGGATATTCCCCAATATGCCATGGCGCAACTTTCATCGTGTGCGATCGCTTGTTTGTAGCAAGTAATGGCTTCATCGTGGTTAAAGCAGTAAGTCCAAACTAATGCCCTGTTGAACCAGATCTGCGCTTCTTCGGAATTCGTACTGACTCTGCGACCCCATGTTCCGAGGTCAAAGTAGGGGTCGCTTGTAGCTCTGGCAGGTGAAGAGGTCATTTTTGGAGCTATGTAAGCAGAAAATAGAGAGATGGCTAAATGTTCGCAAAGGAATAATTACCGCGGGGCGCTAGGGAGTAGATGCGGAGGGTTTTGTTAGCGTCGGATCGTTGCCTCGGACCCTTTTTTGAGGAGTTTCGTGGCACAAATATGCTGCTCGTTTTATTCAGTACATTTCTCTTGTTTGACTAACTCAACAAAGTTGAACTGTTTAAGTCCAATAAATCTCTCCCCTTAAAACCCTTCACGGATCGGATCAAATCAAAACAATTGACTAAGCCCAACCATATCCCGAGGTCCCGAGTCAAGATAGCACCCTGATCATTCTTCATGCACTGCCAAAAATCACATCCCCCTATAGTGCACTGGTGAAATATAGAGCGTGGAATCATGGTCTTTCCACTGTCTGGCCCTGCGATGACCCGTCTACTGATTGCATTCCATCGTCAGTCGCATGTGGGGTTCTCTGCAAGATATTTGGTTTGCAGGCGATCACCTGTTCCATACTTAAAGAAAATGATTCCGCGCAAAAGCAAAAACAAAAACATACAACAGTGAGGATTCGCTGGTGGTCACCCACCCAACTACTAACTCACCGGCGTGTGGCTTAAGTACGGCTGAGCGGACGGGAAGCCCTGTTCTCCACACCCTGTGGTCGTATGTACTAATTTCGGTACTGAAAGGAAATATATAGAGATTTTCGAGAATAGCACGTCGCCGCTGGGATAACAATGACCTCGGGAGTGGGCTAAACGATCTGAATATCCTGAGCTTGTCAAAGAAAAAAAAAAAAAAAACCTCCTTCTAAAGTTGGCCTCATTTCTAACGCTCCCCACAGATTTATTTTCTTGATCCATATCCTAACCTCACACTGTGTACGGGGTACTGAGTACTCCTTATCATTTCAAAATACATTGGCAACCATTTTAGCCTTTGTGGTACAAAGACTGTAATTCCCATGCATTTAGCTTCCGGTTCCCAATTCTGCCATGCTAGACTAGTACTCATTCAGCACCGAAGATCCATTCTCCTCACCCTGTCTGACTTTGATCTTTTTAGACAAAGTCTCCACCTGATCCAAATTCCGCAGGTACGAAATATCGTGCTCTTCCACAAGCTTCAACTCGCTCATCAAGAGGGGAAATACCGACGATTTCCACAAAACATCTTGATCCCGATTTTCCAGCACCACAACGACCAAAAGAATAGTCGCAAAAAAAGGCAGTGCGATTGGGAAGATAATCCAAGGCCAATGGACTTTGACGTATGTCTCCGTTCGGTAAGCATCGCCTCCAACACGCGTGTTACTGCTGTTGGTTCGAATGGTGTCTGTCATACTCTCGTCCATGTGCTGCAGAGAGTCGGAAATATTGTTGTTGCTATATAGGATAGCCGCTATCCCCACGCCTGACGACGATTCTCCATTTGCCTCCGATGTGTCTAGAAATATATCATGGTCTGGAGAGGACAGGCCAGTGTTGAAAAGGGCTCTCAAATAGGCACGAATGTTGGAATGAGTGTCAAATTCCACTCTGTAGCTGGCATTGTCAAATGTCTTTGCCCCGTCCACAGGGATGAGATCCAAAGTGATCCGACGTGAAGTCGATGCTTCAAGTTCCGCTTCCGGTACTTTTAAATTTTGGCTTCGCACAAGTTTGAGGGAGTAGCTTTCCGTTGAGACATGGCTGGATGCGAATTCTTTTTCACAGAAGGAGATGGAACACTGTGTCAAGATTGGCTTGGGTTCAAATGCACTCAGATTTTTTGGAGTCCAGGTAGATTGATGATTGTAACGCGCGGTAAGAACTGTGAGAAGTTGACCGTCCACTTCTTTAGAGACAGAAGACAGCGACGGACACCAGATATCCAAAAATTCATCAACATACATGTTGGCCGCGATGCTAATAGGAGTGATTTCTAGTCCACTGGGAGCCTTGTATGAGCAATTCCCGGGGGCCTCGGTAAACGGGTCGACCAAAGCACTGTAGTTAGGATGATCGATGAACGGCGTGCAAGTCTGGAGTGCTAATTCTGTAACATCTTCGCAACCACTACAAATACCCAAAGTTGAAAACTCAGGATACCTGCATGAGCCAGATGAGCAGATAGGTCTAAGAGGTGTGTTTGTTTTTGCCAATCCGGTCAAGACGGCAACCTGCATTTTCGGGTCCAACAGACTGCTTTGTTCGGAAATAATTGACGTCCCGGGCTCATCGTCCGACCATGCCGGTTGATAATTCTCTGCTGTCTGGATATAGGCAGTCTCATTGCCAGCTAGTACCTTTCGTGACGGAAAGGTCAGAATCTGCTGCATAAAGGGGTCGATCCCCACTGATAAGATCACCAATGCTGCCGCTGCCATTGTTAAACCAGACTTTATAGTCCAGAAAATTCCCAGAGCTCCCCAAGGACCTCTGCTCGCCTGATCTAGGGCGTGGATATGGAAAAGTGGTCTTGGGCGTTGCTCGCTGTCTCTCGACCATTTCAATTGGCCCAGACACGCCGTCACGGGAATCAGCATGGAAGCTTTTGCGAATGCTGAGATGACAGATATCACCGAGTTGGGGGAGATTGAATATTGCCATTTTGCATATGTCATGTTCACATAAAAAAGAAATCCAACCAACAGGCCGATGCACACAACACTAAAAATAGCCCCCAGGATTTCCCATATCCAAGAACCCGAAATGTCGCTGTTTTTTAAGCTCCAGCATGTCCTCTTCTTCTCTTGCTGTGCAAGCGTCGTCTGGCTTTCCTCTGCGGAGAGCCGAATGGGTTGATCCGGATTTTTTGGTGAGAATCCTGGCGGGGTCGCGCTGGTCGGCCTCGATTGGCTGTTTTGTTGTATAGGATCCGCCTCTCCAGTGCTGTACTCTGGCAAATTGCGACCGATTATATAATTGTCGCTGTCATGTGTATAGTTCAAGGAATGATACTCTGATTCCATAGTGGAAAGCGAGAGCAAGGTGCAGATTTGAACCCAATAGAATTGAGTGCCGAGAAGATCTGATACTGGAAAATAATATTGACGTTCAAACACTATGTTTCGTGCAAAAAGATTGTTGAAAGTAGGCTAGACGAAAGACGAAGAGCAGAACAAAGAAAGTTCAACCACCAGGAAGGGGCGGGGGTAGCTAGAGGTGAGGCTGAATTGACCCTCAGAACCTCAGCTTTGGAAGGGCCCAGGTTCTCTGCCCAACTCGACCCCCCCCCCCCCGTAAATCTGCATATTGGTCGGCATGCTTAATCGATATGACTGGTCTATTACGAGGTCTGCGACTGCGTGTATGCAGGTGCTACTCTGCATCACACTAAGACAAATTGGTATCCATGCAGGGTTTTGCTGGGAAGTTTTTACGGTATTGACACAGTTATAATCGGGTATTCTGACTCAATACGTATTAGTATTTTTCTACATATATGACCGTAAATATCATGAGTACGTATTGAATGCTAATACGTATATAAGAATTCTTTGGTAGTATTCATAAAGTATTGACTATTTCAGTACCAATAAAGGCGAAAGCAGAAGAACAGTATAGTTGTGTTGTGATTAAAGAATGACTGCAGGCAATCGCCCGATGATTGCCGCCAGTTACATTGTTCGTATTCTGCCAGGACGAGTGACGCGGCCAATCTAGTCTACCAAACTAACTCTAATGTCTCTTCAAATCTTTATCAACCACATCTTTGAAAGCAAACTAGTCAGACCTGTTTCCGGCTAGCCATCTGGTTCATATCGGGTCGTTCACTTACTCCCTAGATCCAACTCAATGGAGTCAGCACAGCCATTTAACTGTAAAAACAACATAAAGTAATCATACCTGACGTTTGTTCAAATCGTTTGTGACCTCACCAGCCGGAGCAGCTACCACCGGGGCAGCGACCGTGGCGCTAACAAGGAAACCCAGAGAAAGCTTCAATACCCGCATGGCTGAAGAACCTTCTCTCTCATATAAGCAAATCTGATAGACTTGGCCTAGGTTGCCCATGCAATAACCTGGACTTGCTGGTTCAAGTCGAAGCGTGTCTTGTTTTGGATTCTGGAGTGGGGTAAGTTTAGGGGATAGAAAATATCAAGGCCAATGTGCCATGGTATACTTTCCTCGCTAAAATGATGAACCGCAGCGTGCGTAGCCCTTCGTCTCTAAATTCCTAGGCAGATGCGCGGGTCATTTCTCGTCGTTGCCTCCAGGACATCCCGTATACATATTCAAGGGCAATCAACGGCAACGTAATAACCAGCAACAAACCGATCATTGTGAAGCACCAGCCCCAGCCCATGTCAGACAACATGTCATTGATGACGGCGGCAGACAGGGCGCCAAGCCAACATCGGACGAAATCGGCTGCTCCCGAAGCCGCAGCCGCCTGGCCAGGGAAAAGATCTATCAAGAGGGTGTATAAAATTCCCAACAATGAGTTCCCACACAGCCCGATGAGGGCCTGCCAGGTAAGCGCGGCCACAAGCGGCAGTCGCTTCTCTACCATCCAACCATAGACAGCAAAGCTCACTGCAACCATGAACATATGGGGGAGCGCGACCTGGAGTCTGGCCACTTCAATTGGGAAATCTCCTGATCTGTCACTGCTGACGGGATGGAGGTCACCGGCCGCGTTTCGATTTCTGGAAATCCGGCGGTAATTGATGTCAACCAGCCTCCCGCTAATTATTGAGCCAAAGCCGCCAGCAATCCCGAAAGGACTGGAATTGGAAAAGCAGAGTGAGCTTTGCTGGTCCCTTACGGACGAGATTGGGAGATAGCTTGGGATGACTTACAGAAAGGACAGCCCAACTTGCATAGTACTTAGCCCGTAAAGCTCGCCAAATTTGTTTGCGGTAGTCGCCCACAGAGCGGAAATTCCAAAATAGAGCAGGCTGGTGTATATGATCAGAATGAGGGCCTCCTTGTGCTTGAGGATGACAAATGCACCGAACACAGTCAGCAAGGTAGTCGCTACGCCCTCCTTTCTTTGCTGAGGGCTGGACTGTTTCTGGTCCCTCAGAATGCCTTTGCTCATGGTACTGCGCTGACGACACCCACAATTCTGCATGACCGACCTCCTCCACCAATCTTGCGGAACCAAGGAGCCATTCCCAACCACTGTCCGAGCAGTTTCTGGGATAAATATCATGTACAAGGCAAAAAAGCATCCACTGCTGATGACCAGGAACCAGAACACACTCCTCCAGCCAAGACGGCTCGCTAGCGATCCCCCAATAACCGGCCCAAATGCAAACGCTGCCATGACACTGCCATGCATGGGACCTATATATCTACCCCTCTCCTCAGGCGATGCAATGTCAGCAGCGGAGGCAAAGCCAAACGGGATTGCACAACTACTGCCCACACTTTGAATACACCGAAGGAGCATCAGCGTCAGGTAGTTCTTCTGCAACGCAAGGCCCACATTTGCCACGATATAGAGTGATAGTGCGAGAATCCATGCCAGGCGCCGTCCATGAAAATCGGAAAGCGTAGACATCAAAGCTGGCACGATCCCCTGGATAATCAGGAATACAGTAATTGTCAGGTTGATTGAAGTGGGCGACACGCGGTATTCTTGTTCGAGTATCGGCAGTATAGGGAAGTAGACGTTGGTTGCAATCATACAGACAACCATACCGAAGCTAGTTAAGGAGATAAAGAAAACTTTCTCATGGCGACTGAAGACCGAATATTCCTCACCGTCGGCTTTCCCGTCTGGCACTGTAGTGTTCGTTGAATGGAGCTCATTTGGCCCAGTGGATGATGCCCCTGGAGGCGCGGGGAGGGTCTCCGATATCGAGTGGGATATCGGATCGGTGGCACAGCCATTTCTATGGTGTTCTTCCATTGTGAATATCTCTTGACGGCGTGCTCAGGTCTTTCCGGGGTGGGCCATGGGGGTGCCTTGAAATATGCCGTATACTTCTTCTCTCAACACGAGATTGACATGATATTTGAAGAAACGGGGGCGATTATGTGGTGGACATAATTCGGTAAACTCCGTAAATAGTAAAAATCGGTAACCGATCGAAAAGCCTGGAGGATAAGGTTCCTAGGGAATGACTGTTGTTGTCCAGGTATCCTCCTCCCCCTTGCTTGGTATCTCATCATTGGGTTCCAGCCAGCTGGTGTTTAAATTATTTAGACCTAGTCGCAGATCCATAGCATGATCTACAGAAATGTATGCACCTCAATCACCCGCCTTCAGCTATGACGACAGGGGCTAAATTGTGACCCAACGAGCCGATGTGTCCAATCCGTCGATCAGAGTGGAATTTGGTCAATATATTAGCTGTAAACCCTGCCCATCACACGTCAAGAGTGCAAAGGAAGCAAATTGACTCTCCTGCGTCGAAGGACATTTGGTATTTTTCACAATGGCTCCTTGGAACTTTCAGCCCCGTCTCCTACCTCAGGTCCTAGACCAGGACGCTGCCCGTGATCCCGACCGTCTATTTTGTATACATTCATGCTCTCTCAGATGCGCTGATCACGGATGGCGCCGCGTGACTGTTGGTGCGTTGGCTTGCGCAGTGGATAATTTCGCATGGTGGATGGAAAAGACGGTTGCATCGAGATCGACTCCGCAGAGGCTTGTTTATTTGGGACCAAATGATATTCGGTACACCATATTCATGCTTGCGTGCATGAAACTCGGCCATTGTGTAGGTGGTGTCGCCTGGAAACTTCTGCGTATCAAGGCTGACCAACGTGCCCCAAGGCTGCTCTCCTCGCCCCTGTCACATCGGAAGCGGTCGCTAACTGCCTCATACGATCTGGACACATATCCAAAGTATTATACGCGCACGAGTGTTCCAAGAAAGCACAAGCGATTCGAAACTACAATGAAGAAGTCCTGTTGTGGGAAGTGGCAGGTCTTTGGGAGCTGTTTGACGGTCCAAGGGTTCCCTTCCCCTGCAACTATGAATACACACTGGACAGAGAGCAAGAGCCGATAGCTGTGCTTTACAGCTCAGGAACCACAGGTAAGTTCTTTTTTCGTATAGACGATGCCGGCAGCGTGGTTGACGACTTGTCTCGCTTGTCAGGGTTGCCGAAAGAGATCATCTGGCCCAATGGGTATTTCACAGCGTTGGACTATTTTCAGCACATCCCATTACCTCCTGGAAGGGTATCGACAGCCCCTTGGCTGAGTGATCCTGAGGATCCACATCTGATGAAGACCAATTTATTCCATGCAACCGGGATCGTCACTTGGGCAGCTGCACTGCTCCACCGGATACACTTTGTGATCGGCCCGGACGTGCCTCTGACAGCGCCGCTGTTGAATCAGATTCAAACTGAAACTGGAGCTAAGTCAGCTCTTTTCACGCCAGACGCCCTTGTCAATTTGGGTACGTCCGAGGAAGTGCTTGATTCCTTGGCAGGTTTTCGGTGCGTTAGTTTTGTTGGCATGTCTTTACCCCGGAAGGTGGGAGACAAAATATCTCAAGTGACACGTCTGCAATCGGCAATAGGGCTGACTGAAACCGGCTATTTCCATACACTGCGCCCTCAACAACGCAACGACTGGGAGTATTTTGAATGGAACCCCCATTATCCCATCGAAATGCAAGATGAGGGCAGCGGATACTGCCAGCTAGTCTTCCGACGCTCTGCTGAACCTTATTTGCATGGCGTCTTTGTTGTTCTTCCTGGTCTATCTGAGTTTTACACTGGCGATCTTTACATCCAGCACCCTCAGAATCGAAAACTATGGAAGAATGCTGGCCGGAAGGACAATATGTGCAAGCTGCAAAATCGAATCTGCCTCTATCCAAATCCCATTGAGGAAATATTCGAAGGACACGGTTTCATTGCCAGAGCTGTGGTCTCGACAGATCAGAGATTCCGCGCCGTACTCATTATAGAGCCAGACTGGGAAAAGAGTGACTGCCCGCGCTCACCAGACGGCCTTATGACCAGTATCTGGCCTTTGGTTGAGAAGACTAACCGCGATCTCCCTCTTGAGGCTAACATAACAAAAGACCACATCTTGATTGCGTCCATTGATAATCCCTTCCCAATAACAGCAAAAGGAACTGTACAACGTCGTGCTGTGTTGGAGGAGTATCGAGAGGAGATTATTGCCATATCGAATCTTTGAATCAACTTTCGATAATCATTTATACAAGTTAAATTTTATGTTTTCAGTATATGCAACGCCTCAATACTGTGCAGCAGGCTGCAGGAGCTTGAAGCCTCGTGTCTACGCACACCAAATGTGTCCGCGCTATGCCCTGATCAAGACCGCCCACAGGACTCTTCTTTCCTTAGTCAAAATTTGAGCGAGAACTTCATGATAATATTTTAGGTAGAATGTCCACTAGTATTCTATTAGTTGGTCCATCTGCCGCATCCTGATCACCTGATCTGAGGTGCATTCTACAAAATCTGAAGTGGAGTTGCACACGAGTAATACATATTCATTACCGGAAAAAAGGGCAGTAATATGAAGAAATTCTTTGAATTCACCAAAATAGTTGGAAAGTTGCTAGCAAATGGGAACCCGAATAGCCAATTGAATATGTGAGTTAAGAGCAAGGCCCAGGTGGTCGCACCCAGTGCTGGGGAGCGGTGAACAATCGCCTTCCTCGACTACAATTAGCGATAGATTCCCTGTACCCTCTGAAAATTTATCAATTTCTCAGCTTTTCCTATAATGTCTGAAGAATCATCTAAAGGTTGCACCGCATGTGGTTGGACGCTCTACCAGCAAGAGCAATGTTTTTACGACAGCCATGTCAAACTCTTCTATGGCGCAAGCAGGAGGGGAGTTTGGTCGATTGGATCTGATGTTATTTTGAAAGAACGTCCTGACGAAGGCCCGAAAACCGAGGTCATCACCTTGAATTACCTTACATCCCACTCAAATATCCCGGTTCCAAAGATCCTACGTGACTGGGTTGACGGCGACGGGCGATACTTTGTACTCCAAGAACGGATACAAGGCCAAACGCTCGAGCAGGCTTGGTCTTCGTTATCCAAGGAACAGAAAGTAAATATCGCAGATGATGTTGTTCGAGTTCGAGAGCAGCTACGATCTTTCAAGTCAACATCAATACAGAATGTTGATCAAACTCCTTGTTGTCCGAGTCTACTCTTTTCAGACCGCAAGCCACATGGACCCTTTCACTCCGACAACGAACTCTGGGATGCGATAAGCCTAACCCTCCACGATCCGCCTACAAAATTGTTTCCTCAACAAGCCCTATTCAACCTGAAGAAACGTCTGTCTAAATGTGAGCCCTACGTTCTTACTCATTGTGATCTCAATTTGGGTAATATCATGGTTAAAGATGGAGCGCTGGCTGGGATTCTCGATTGGGAATTTGCAGCGTATTATCCTATTTGGTACGAATACGTCTCGGCCTCTTGGGGATGGACAGAGGAGGACGCCGAGTGGAAAAAGCTTTTACGGGAGCGTATGGGTGTAAATGGCGAAGGACATGATGATGCGAAGGATTTTTGGACTGATCTGCGTCATTTGCGAAAGTATCCGAATTTGGATGAAAAGGGCCAAGAACTCCTGGACAGGTTGTTTTCGGAGTAATGGCAAAGGGACAGACATAGAGGTCGTACCCGTATTACTTAAGTAGGCAAATACCCAAATTAAAATGCGTACAACAGAGACGAGCAATAGTAAAGAACTTTAAAAAGTCAAATCAACTAATAGATCACGCATTAAAAGGTATCCTAAGTACCAATAAACGCAAAAGCAGAAGGACAGTATAGTTGTGATTAAAGAATGACTGCGGGCAATCGCCCGATGACTGTCGCCAGTAACATTGTTCGTATTCTGCCAGGATGAGCGACGCGACCAATCTAGTCCATCAAACTCACTCTAATGTCTTTTCAAATCTTTATCAACCACATCCTCCAGAATGATTTCTCCCCTTTTCTCAGCCGCAATCTTCGCAAGCTTCAATCGTCTAGTATCGCGCTCTGTCTCGCGAGTAATCCACCACGTAACAAGAGTCAAAAGACCACAAACTCCAACAAGAGCCATCGCAGCTGCAAAGGGAACCGTGTATCGCGGAGCGTACTCGCTTCTAAACATCTGTGGGCCAATGGCCCCTCCAATTTGGCCATAACTATTGACAAATCCGATGGAGAAAGCTGAACCTGTTGCCCGGGATGTGGTTTGAACTCGCCATGGCCTGCAAGAGTGTTAGTCGTATCCGATGGGGAGATGGGGGAGCACATACCACATGACGGGGTACCATCCTGCTTTGAGAGCATTTCCAATAAGTGTCACTGCGAAAATGGCACCGGGGCTTGGATAGGCGATGAAAACGCCGTAGCAGACTAGGATGACGACCAGGAATGAAAGCGGATACACTGGTCGTGGAATCCTACTGCGGTCTGCGGTGATTCCCGTGATAGCAATGAATAGGAGTCCGCAGACAGTGATGGGAATGTTGAGCAGTTGTGCCGCGGCGATGCTCCTGGGAGTTTGTTAGCGACGCTTCCCAAATCGGGCATTTCTCGTCGGAATATGGAGGAATCATCACTTACGTGTAGCCGAGATCGGCGATGACGGTGGACTGATAAAAGGTGACACCGTCTGTTCCAACAGTAAAGGTGGCCCAAATTAATGTGAACAGCCATAGTCTCACATCCTTCAAGGATTCGACAATTTCACGGAACTTGAAGTTCTTTTCGCTGGCTCGAGGAGCGTTTGATGGGAGTCGAGCTTGGATGAACTTCTTCTCTTTTTCGGTCAACCATTTCGCTGTTTCGGGGACTAGTAGAAAATCTGTTAGCTGGACAGAATCGGTATTCCGAGAATAGAAATCTCACAGTCTGGTAGCAAAAACCAGATTACAACACTGAAGAGAACAGTTGCGATTCCCTCCGTCAAAAACAGCCTGTGATAGTATCAGTACGAGGTAATGAAAAGACCGAGCTGGTGGGAAAGGTATACCATTGCCACCCAGAAAGTCCTGCAGCACCAGACACGGTGTCAAACGCGTATGCAAGAAGACCGCCGAAAATACCGGAGACATTTCCGCAAATATCTGTTTGAGGTGATTCATTAGTGAGTACTCTGGCATCGAAAGCGGAGACTTACAGAAGTAAAGTAATCGCAAGGACATCTCGTCTGGACGATACCAGTAAGTCATCTGAAGAATAACACCGGGAAACTGTCCAGCTTCGGCCTAATTTCATGTCAGTAATGCAGATCATTGAAGTTGCGTCCAGGAGCATATGCAGCCCCCCGAAGCTTGGTGAACCGACGTACCACACCCAATAGGAATCGCGTTGTATACAACCCGCCCTTGTTTTTGACGGCAGCATTGCACATAAGAGCAATACCCCAGCTGAGCATGATTCTTGACTGCCACTTTGAAGGCGAGAATCTCTTCATCAGCAAATTGGAAGGCGCTTCCAACACAATGTACGGGATCTGGTTGATCAAAGTCAGCATGAAGTTATAACATTGCAGATTTCAAATTGACTCACATAGTAAAGAACGGTCACCAAGTTATACTCGTTTGACGTTATTCCGAGTTGAGTCATGATGTTCTGATCGGTCCCCTTATTCATGATCCGAGCGTTGGATGCCTGCAAAGCGTCAACAAAGCCCCAACTGGTCGGATGCAAATACTGACATTATTGCTGTCCAGATTCTTGAACATGAAAATAAGTGAGCAAAGAGTCATCAGTCTCCAGTCTATCTTGCGCAGCAATTTTTTCTCCTCTGCTGCCGTGAGCAATGTTCTGCCATTCATCAATTCCGGATCATATCCATCTATGCTCTCCTGGCTTGATGAGGCCTCAGCCAGAGCTTCGCCGCGTCTGGCAAAATGAAGTTCATGATTCAAGTCGCTTTTGGTATTTGTAGTGATGTCGGTGGCCGTGGTTCTACCCAAGTTTTTGGATATTATCTCGCTCTCTTTGTCTGCCATTTCGAGGATCAAGACAGACTGAACAAATTTGGGTGTGAGAATTGATATCATCAAATAAGCTCAAGTGTCTTTGGATAAATCAAGGTCTTTTAGGTATTGCAAGGCTCGGAAACCCCCCGAAACGATATGACAGAAGCTAGGGCCAGACTGCAAAACACTACCACAATTAGCATGGTATCATCCTATCCGTCAATTGCAAATATCAACCCCCAGCCTCTCAAGCAGTACTCTGTTTACTATGGCAAATAAACAAGAAGCTTTAACTTGATCAATTAACAACTGCTGCGATGATCAGACAAAGTTGTGGAATAATTGGCTTAATACGATTGAGATTCGTGAGAGCTTCAATAACGCTTCGACCATAATCTGCAGCATATTATTAAATTAAGTCTACTCGATCAACCTCAAGAAAGTATTCGTACTTTGAGCTTAAGGAAGAAGGCTTTTTGACGGGTTTCCCACGTAGCTACAGCCAATTTTGCGGGGCGATCACGCCAACGGAGGATATCGTGGCGACATGTCAACTTGACAAAATCCACATAAGCTCCTCCGTACTCAGATCCAGGGATCGGATTGCAGAATTTCCTTCTTTGAAGTGAAAGATAAGAAATACCCGATTGGAATCAGGTCTTCAACATATTCGGCAATAGCATCTGCCAAGTCATATTGAAATCCGATAAAACCTCCCATTGATCCTGAGATCCAATACCGTTCTCGGCTCTGAACTAAACTCCCAAGTGTCATTTTCTCAGTATTTTGCAGTTTGTATATTCAATCTTCGTGTTTCAGTATGGTTGCCCCCACTGCAATCCCGGCCACTGTCCCGACAGGGTCTGATATCCCAACATACGACCAGGTTCCGGAGACGAAATATGACCGTGAGTTCACCAAAGCCAACACTAGAGAAGGTCTCTATTTTCAAAGACCTTTCTCAGAGATGATGTTTCTCACACTTGGACATGCGGACTAAATATGACTATACAGTGGACTGGGCCGACCTGGCTACATTGGATCTTTCCAAGTTTGACCAACCCGGTGGCAAGAGTCTACTAGCCAAGCAACTATTCGAAGCTATCCAGAAAATTGGTTAGCAGTGATCCGCTCCTTTCTTTCTGTGCTTGAAATTCTTACTCTCCGCAGGCTTTTTTTACATCATCAACTTTGGTTTATCACAGGAAGATGTGGACCGTCAATTCTCCATTGGCAAGGAGCTTTTCAAGCTGCCCATAGAAGAGAAGCTGAAATACCGCGCCGAACTCGAGAAGGGCGGATATAATGGTTATAAGCCAATGGGTCTTCGAGTAGGTCGACAACCACTGAATCTCCGCGCAACCCTAACCTCGACACAGGAAATCAGCCCAGGCGTTTTCGACAAAACAGAAATCTACAACATTCCAAAATTTATTCCTGCTTTCGAAGGACCCCAGCCCGACATTGTGAGTCATAATCGTCCCATAATCGAAGGATTCGCCCGTCACATTCACGACGAGGTTGTGCGCAAGCTTCTGGTCCTCCTCGCAATCATCTTTGAACTACCAGAAGATTATTTCCTCAAGGTCCATCGCTATGAAGAAAAGAGCGACTGCCATCTACGGTACATGAAATACCACCGGCGCACCGAGGAAGAGAACGAGAAGTCGACAGGAATTTGGTCAAAAGGCCACACCGATTTCGGCAGTCTGACTTTATTATTCCGCCAACCAGTCGCTGCGCTGCAGGTTCGCACTCCTGAAGGTGATTGGAAGTGGGTTAAGCCGTACCCGGGGAGCATTACGGTCAATCTTGCAGATTCGCTTCAGTTCCTTACGAATGGGTTCCTCAAGAGCAGTATACATCGGGTGGTTGCACCTCCGCCTGATCAGAGAGATATCGATCGTCTCGGTGTGTTGTACTTTGTTCGACCGGAAGATGATCTCGAGTTGCGGCCCATCGCAAGTGATGTGCTGCATCGGCTTGGGTATGATCAAACCACTGATAACAGTGCGGTTGGCATTACTGCTGGGGAGTGGGTGAAGGCTCGAGTGGCGAAGGGTGTGGATAAAGGCCTGGCGCGGAGTGAAATAGGTGACCAGCCTATTATTGGCGGAGTGATCGCAAAATACTACGATTAGGTGCATTCGGAGTTATTCCAAGGATATTCGTGCCTCATCTTTAGGGCATGTTGTATCTCTTCAAATCTAGTGGCTTCACCGGTCGGGTTGAAATGGATGTAGGTGACATGGGATATCTCAATTTTGTTGATATGTTCACTTTTTTTTGGTATAAATTACAATAGATGAATTATATGATACAAAGGCATTGCGTTCCACCTGACTATGGTGGCGCCGCAACATGAAGATGCGCGTCAACCAGGTCAAACCAAACGCCCTTGAACGCAGACTCCCTGGATTGCCTGACAATCTTTATGAAGTCCCGAAGTCGGAATGCACTGACACTTTGGACAGTGAATGCAGCCAAGCGATCTAGCAAATCTTCTCCAGGTCCTTCAATCTCAAACATGGCCACCGTCAACGGAAACACCACAGGCAAAGCGCTCGCTGACTGGTCTGCCGATTTAGCAAAGAAGGCCAACTCTGCAAAGATGTTATTTGCAAATTTTTGCGCCTGCTCATCCTCAACACCAAGTGGGTATCGTAAACGGTGGATGACCAACAGCCCTGCTAAACGATATACATTTGCTTGTGTGATCATGGCCAAGACCGCGTTTTGGCCGTATGTTTCAAACAATTGAGGCGGTGTTTGGGCTCTCCAGCGCCGGATGCTTTCCTCTATATCATCCAGGCGTTCCCAAATCGCGTAAAGTGCGTCAGATTCGGGCTCAAACGCGGTTGTTTTCAAGGCATGGCTACACTCGCATATGTCGTACAGGTGGGGAAGAAGGGTCGTGCAGAGGCCTGCATATCGATCGACGACAATGCGTTGCATGGGACCGAGGCGTATTATAGGGATTTCGCGATGCACCAGACACTCGACGGTGTCAATGATGATTGGGGACATGGTTATCGTGTCCATTATAGGGGCTTCGATCAATCGAGGCAGCCATTTCTTTGTTGACATGAGGGCGCTGCGCACGATCGAGTGGGCCGTTTTTGAGTATGGCGTTGTTAAGAGATTGAAGACATACATCGTCTGACCGAGAAAGAGAGCACAGCCTGAATCATAGTCGCTCTGTATCGTCATATCTCGCAGACGCTGTAGCCCTTTCGCAGCTTTGACCATGTCCGGCTCCTTTCTCCTCACGACTAGGGACCTTTGATATGTCGTCATGAGTGATAGGAAGGCTAGGTATCCCTCGGTCAGATTTGCGGCGGATAGGCTGAGAATGGTGTATATGATTTTTTGAGAGTCGGGAATAAAGCTGGTGCCAAATGCAAACGGTTCATGGATCATTCCGAATTGTTCAACGTCCATTACGGTGCGCAATGCGTCTGAGGTGGTTTGGAAGGAAGCGGATGGGGCGAGCAATCTCTCGGGCGATGGTACTATGAGTTCGGTACTCTCCGGTGACCAGTTGTGCTCACTTGCGTTGGATGACGATCGCGAGACTGAGCTTTGACTTGAGGACGACGAGGCATGGCTGTCACTCGTGTCTGAAACTCGGCGTTGTTCATGTTCAATGCTGTAATCGTGTCTCTCTCTGAGGACATTCTGCGCGGTCGATCGATACTTCAAGCGCTTGTTACGGCGAGCTGTCGGACAGAAGGATTTGAGACGATTGCATCGGGTGCAGGCCGGACTGTCGGCGCGTTGTTCTAAACTGCAATGATTGCAGGTTTTCAGCACCATTGTCGCTTAAGTCCAGCCGTGCAGCACGTAGGATAGGTTAAAAGGGAATCAGAGCTGGATACGAGATCGCTTTCCCCGCTTTCCCCGTAATTGGGTCTCTTCTTGGCAATCTCCCTGCGTCGATCACCTGATCGTCATGTCAGGTGACCCGGATGCGACATCGGGAGATGTTCAGTTTGGTCGTTTGCGGTCCAATCGGTGGCTTCAGAGTTAAACTCCACTAGGGGGCATATCTCGGTTCAACGGCCAGATAATGAGATGATGACACCATGACTGGACAAGCTTTGGAAGGAATGTCGACTAACCCTTGGAAGAGATGAGGATCTCCCAGCCCTCAAAAAAGAGTCACGGAGAACATCTCCTAGGTCAGGTGATTGGGGAAGAATGATGTTCCCAGCGCTAGGCTCAAAATGGCAGTAGCCCTGTATACTTCACCTTGTACGCCAGTAATTCCTTGGGGATATCAAGGATGCAAGATACACTTCACAATGCTGTGCTCATAGGAGTGGACACAAATATGGCCAATGGATCCACCGCGCTTTAGTCGGCTGTGTGAGGGGACTTGACATCGAGTACGAAGTAGAAGAGCATGGACGAATTGGTCTCGAGGTCGACAGATAAAACAGGGACTCAAACATAGGTGAAACCGTAAGAGCCGTTGGTGATAGCGTCGCTGAGACGATTGGTGATGGGGTTGTTACGGGCGCAGTACTGGGCACGGGCAAGGGTCTTGTGCGGTTTGTCATCAACGTCCATCGCGTCGGCATCGGCAGTAGGCTCGCGGAGGATAGGACTGGAGCTATTGATTTTCGGCATTGAGTCGCAGGTGGGATCGTATAGTCATCATCCCTGGTAGTGATGCTTTGGCGACGGCTCTTGCGTTCTCGGGATGATTGAGGATTCATGATCCTTCTGAATAGTAGCAGAAGGGGCTGTATGCATATCAAGGCCATTGGACTGTTGGTCTGGCTCCAACAATTGCGAATATACCTCTAAGGCCTGTAATCGTTGCCCGAGCGAACTCCCCTCCTTCCTGTGTGCCTTGAGATTGTGTAGATACCATAAATAGAGCGACTCACCTCTCACTGCTGCCGTTAGTGATTGGTTGATGCTGGATGTGCGGCTGCTCATTTCGACTCTCTATGTCCATATATATCCCTGTCAAAAATGGCTGTGCGTCATTACACTGTAGCATCGAAAAGATCCAGCAAGCTCCGCAGTATATGGGCGAGAAGGCGTTCGGAGAAGGTAGCAGGTAATGGCAATCTAGACATTAGGCAGATGACCTCTTCGGGGATATATGCATATAACAGCACCTTGAGGATCATGATATTCCATTTCCTGACCCTGATTGCCAATCATACACACCATTGAGAACGAGTGAAAGAAAGTGAAGTAATTACTTGAATGTGTAGAGCCAATATCTCCAATTTTTCGTGGGTGTAGGGCCGTCTCGCTCACTTCACTTCCTTTCTCTCTTCCTATAAATTCCCCCTCCTCTTCTCTTCTCTTCTTTCTTTCTTTCCTCCTCCACCCCTCTCTACATTTACACTTTCTACTTCAAGTCTCATCAAGCTTTCAACATGAAGTTCATGATCAGCCTCTTCGCTATTGCGATGCTCATCGCATCTGCTCTCTCTGTCCCACTGGTCCCTGGGGCCCGGGGTCTTGCTGAGTCTTTTGACTCTTCTCTCTTCTCTGGTTTGCCTTCCGTGCCTCACCTGTCTGGCGGTCCCCTTCTTCGTTCGGACCATCAGCCTGAGCAATATTCCATCAACTGGGCCGGAGCATACCTCAACGGAACCGGCTACAAGTCAGTCACTGGCCAATTCGAAGCTCCTACCATCAAGTTCCCACCCCACGCTGATCCCCGGTTCACCTATTGCGGCTCTGTTTGGGTTGGCATTGACGGTGCTACTTGCCATTCCGCCATCCTGCAGACCGGTATCGACTACTGCGTCAACAGCACTGCAGTCGTTTACGCCGCTTGGTTTGAATGGTTTCCTGACCGGAGCCACAGCTTTAAGAACTTCTCCATCTCCGCCGGCGATATCATCAAGGTCTCAGTCGACGCCACAGCTCTTACCACCGGCTCTGCTGTTGTCGAGAATCTTTCCAACGGCGAGATTGTGAGTCACGAATTTAAGAAGGGTGAGGGATTGGGCCTCTGCGAGGAGAATGCCGAATGGATCGTTGAGGACTTCACTGCCGGTGACAGCCTTATGCCTTTTGCCGACTTTGGAAAGATTACCATCTCAAACGCCCATGCTGTCACCGCGGATGGCAAAGTCTTTGGACCCTCGGATGCAATTCCTGTCGACATTAAGCAAGACAGAATCCTGACTTCGTCTTCTCGGACCAAGGACAGTGTCACTGTTACCTACGTTGGATAAAGAACCTATGGATCTCCCTGGAGCTACACGACAGAGGTTGAAGTTGGTGGGAAATCGTGCAGTTCGGAATCACAGGGAGTGGTGGGTTTGACGGGCGTGGGTGTTTACCCACTGGACAGATGGAAATTTAAACTAAGACCCAACTTTTGGATTTTCGTTTCATCAATGTGGCCTCTAACTCATGTGTATACTTGTACTAGAGCGTTGTAGATAGATGGGTATTTGGTTTTTCACGGATGGGCTGTAGAAGGGTTTCGTGGGATGATATGGCCAACCCTTAGATTATATACACTGGGAGAAACAATAAATTTGATCACCATGCAAAGAAGACATTGATCTTTCTTCCTACCTATTATTATCATCCTCACTATCCCTGCCACGTCCTGGTGACTTGTCGAGTTTCACGGCGAGCAGAGTGCTCACCTCCATAGTCTTGATCGCCAAAGCAAGTATACTTCTCATCTATTTCTAGGAGATTTAGCTCACTTCAACTTGGAGAGCAGTTTGGAATCAGTATCTCATCGTCGTTGCCAGTGTCGTTGCTCTCTCGCAGTTGCCAGGGTCGCTGCCAGTGTCATCACATCAACCATCATTCGAATCGACTTCTCAGCCGGTCTTGTTGCACTAGAGCGAGCCCAAATCGACCAAGCCCCTTTTCAATCCATGTCGACTGATTTCAACGCTAAGTTTTTCGATTGATGATGACATACATACTAAAGAAGAATGCGTCCAGAAGCATGCGGTTGTCGACCACAGGCAAGCCGGACGAATCTCATCATCCAGGCGATCAAACCAGCCGCGAGTTCGAATCAAATCATGCAGCATGGATCAAGGAGACTGGCTGTACCCCCAAAGCCTTGATACAAAAGACCCCCGAAATCATCATTGCCCCTGATACAAATTCGTCAAGACTTGAACCAGTTGAAGCAAATCTTCCTCGTGTGGGAGGTGAAGATTGAGGATGAATACGATAAGGATCGCAAGATGGAAACTTTACGACGGGCTCACGCAAGGACTGGAGCAAAGGATCATTGAGTTTGTCGATTGGGCAGATGATTTTCGGCTTGATATGGAGCCAAAAAGCCCTACCTGGGGTCAAAGGTTGTCGACAGTCTTCGAGAGGCCAGGAACTGGGACATGGCCAACTAAGGCGACTCCAACCTCTCCTCCAGCATCGAGCTTGTCCACTTGTTCTGTCCCTATCACCGCCCTGTCCCCTAGGTTTATTTCATCTGCCCCCTTTATGCCGAGCAACTGGGGTCAAGTGCGGACAGCTGAAAGCAACTCGAAAAAGCGTATGCATGACAGCCATCCCGGCGAAAATGGAACTCGAACCCCCTATCCATTCCCGACGGCTCCGGTGCGGGCGCATTTCACCAAGTTGTCTCTTTGGAATTTCCATCTGAGATCGTTATCACTGTGAGCGCTCGGGGATCTGAGCTGGTGACAGATTTGGACTGTGAAGTTGTTAATTGAGTACCGAGGAGTACGGGGAATGTGGAAGATCTCCCTTACGGCGCGTGCGGAGACCCCGTCGTGGAGAAATCGCGACTTTATGGCCTCCATGGAATTTGAAATCCTATTTGACAGGTGCAAGAAGCAGTCTCATCTAGGTGACTCGTTGTGTTTGCCGTGGTCGATGTCAAATTCAGGGGTAGACAACCAGTTGAGAGAAGTCAACAACCCCACATTGTTCGATGTCCATGGATTTGATCAGTTTTCGCTTTCTATTTATCTGTCTTCACTGTTGCTAATGATTTGAAGAGTTATAGCCAACCGCGAGAACTATCGATACCAATGGAGCGACCGTACCGAATCTTTGTTCGAGACCATGCTTGGAAATATACCGTGGGAAAATGACGGCCCAGCTCCCAGTGTATATTTGGAGAAAAAATAACAGACACGGCCAATATCCCGCTAATCGACTGCGAACTACGTCAGAATAGCAATATCCTATGTAGCTTTCCAACCTCTTTGGGCGATCTATCCCTACTCGTACTCGTATTGCTCTTCTCCGTTGAGCAACACATCCACAACCAATTGGACCAAGTGCCCCAAGGGAAAACGGTTTCACCCCAGCACTCTCGATGATCAACGGGCGCTAAATCCAAGAAGGAAAAGGATCAGATCCTTTGCGTCTTTTGCAAAAGTTCTTGGGGACAGAGTGTCGGTAAGTGTCACGGCCCTCATGCACGCAATACGCAGGAACCCGTGGACGCGTCAACTTTGGAATACGCGTCATGATAGTCCGTCAGAAAGCCGGGAATCGTGAAGACTCCATATCTCAACTCGTGCATGCTGAGGAAATTGAAAGAAAATCTTAGAAAAAAATACTGCGGGGGAAACGGTCAAGCATTGAATCGAAGTCGTGCGCGCCCGGCAATCTACGTAGCTCTTCCGCCTGGCATGGAGTACACTGAATTGACCATTCTGGAAACATTGGAATTATTTTCAATGTCAAATCACCTGCCATTTACCGAGAACACAATTTCTAAACATGTTTTGGGAGGATTAGTGGGAAGAATTGGGAGCGATGCGTGTAATAAACAGAGTATGCGAGTCCATTTCAGAGTAAACAACTTTAGAACTTTAGAAGAACACAACATCCATGGATTTTGCTTTGAATGCATCCGCAGCATCGAAATTATTGCGAAGTTGAAACACTTGTATGTAAATTCCAAGGCTAAAGGGCTTATGATCTAATTGATAGGCTTTCAGTCTGACCTTGACAGCCCTGAGATGTTACATATTTCTGTGTTGTGGCCTTTGTTGTTCCGACATTTATAGAGTGACATACATCAAGTTCACGATATATTCTGCACGACCCCATCTATAGATAAGTACGACACCCAGCATCAAGAGCTCAAGAATCATCTAGAGTGGTACTTAAGTAGTTCATTTTGAATCAGATGCGATCTATGTCTGTATGAAATAGATTGTTTGAGATACTGCTTAGTCCTGCTTAGTTCAACCTTAAACACCTTTGAGTCGCGCCACCTCATCAATCGCAGACAAGACCCCGCCGATCCCCACTACATGATCTGATACTCGATCGCAAAGTTGGATTCTAAATCTACGTTGAACATCCCCTCGAGATCGAAAGTTCTCAAGTGGTCGAGTAAGGGCACGTCTAAGTTGGATAATATTAATTGGCCGGGTATTTGAGTCGCACCCCTGCAATCTCATTTCCCAATGGATAATTCAAAGGCAGCTCATTATCTAAAGCCATGAATCTGGGCCCTAGGACCAATTTTAAACAAAGCAAACGAGCGACCGCGGGAAAATAACAGTGAAGACAGAAGTGGACACGCCAATTTGACTTTCACCCCTTTTTCCGTCGTATTCCCGTACTCTCAAATTGAAGATTGAACATCCTTTCGAATGGAGTATGGTGTTTATTCAAGTGTACGAGTACGCAGTACGAATGCCTCACCGTGGACAGGCAGCGAAATATTCAACTCGTAAGCAGGAAAAAAATACTCGTTGTGGAAATTCGGCCGTCGGAAGCCAACACAGCCCCGACAAAGATTTCGGAGGACAGCGGCAAGGATGAAGTCAGCCCTGAAGTGTGAAATGAGGGTGGATTAACACTTGAGCAGTTCCAAGCCATTGGGAATTGAGGCATTACGGAGTTAACATGCACAACAAGTCCCTGCCTTGTTTAGTCCGAGACATTTGAATGACTTCGCTTATCGGAACACAAATGGCACCGTGTTTATTTATGGATTTTATACAGCGATCGACAGTGTAATTTGAAGACCACGACCAAGGCACTTCCAGGGAGATGCGCTGCCGAATCCACCTTTTATTGCGATGTTCCTGACCACTCCACTTAGACTGTGGAGTGGAGTCGCCAGATCGGAAGTCTCACGGTGGCTTTGTGGCGTGTGTAAGGAGGCCCCCCAGGGGTTCACAGATATTAAATGGCGGTAAGCCATGGTAGAGCTTCAACTAGTGAGGGTGATAGATCATTCTTAAATCAATATTAACCATGGCTTTGGCCACTATCGTCAAATATGGGGAGTCAGGTCTGGAAAACGGGGTTGCCAAGGACTGTGCCGACCCGATGCGCGTGCAACGGAGATGCAGGAGGCGAATAATAGGGCTAAATGGATGTGGGATGGATTATTGTAACCAGTTTTAGGGGAGCTAAAGTACAGAGGGAATACTCCATAATGATATATTGCCGTGTGCTGTGTCAATTGAGCGGACAGAAGTACGATGTGTAGTGCAACCGGTTTAAGGAGACCCCTGAACCGCGAGATGGGATTTCCGTACAGAGTAAAAATTCTCCAGATTTCTATGGGGCAACATGGGGCAAAATGGAGCTCAATGGAGCTCAATGGAGTAGCAGTCGAGTTGGCTAGTGCTGAATAGACCGCAAACTTGAGCAATCATATGCACAGGCAACCCCCTAGCGTAGGAAGTGGAGAGGCATGACCTGTTAGGGTTTGGCCAGCTGCACTGGAGCTGCACTGCATTTGCAGACGGTAGCCGAACATGTCAACCTCTCTCCACGAGTGTCCAGGGGTACACCAATCAAATAACACCAATGGCTAGGAAATGGGCTGGTCTGGTCTCACTCAGGCCTTGTCCTTCTTTTTTTTGTTTACTTTTACACTTGGCATCCGGGTTGAGGTGGTGATCGACAGTCCCCTATTCGGAAGGCTGCACTAAATCGACTCGGTTAAGTATAAACCGCTTCGCCCGTGATTTTCCTTCTTCCATCCTTTCTGATTGCTTCATTCTTTCCCTTAGTTCTTTGAACTGTCACTCTTTTAAGCTGTTTTTTTCAGCGTCCTTTCTTTAATTCCATATATTGGAACAATGAAGCAATCTGTTGTCGCTTCCCTGGTGGCCCTCGCGGCCTCCGCCTCTGGCGTCCAGGCCACTGAGCTGGTCAGCCTGCCTGTCAACCTCTGTGCCTCCGTCCTTGGCGAGGCTGAGTGCAAGCAGCAGGCCCGCAGCGTCGACAGCCTCATCAACGTGCCCGTTGATGCCTGCGTCGCTGCCCTTGGCAAGGCCAAGTGCGACCAGATGGCTGGTGCTCGCCGCAGCGAGTCTCTCGTCAACATTCCCCTGAACCTGTGTGCCGCTGTCCTCGGTGAAGCCGAGTGCAAGCAGCAGGCCCGCAGCGTCGACAGCCTCATCAGCGTCCCCGTTGATGCTTGTGTCGCCGCCCTCGGCAAGGCCCACTGTGACCAGATGGCTGGTGCCCGCCGTGCCCAGACTCTGGTTGACATTCCCGTCAACCTCTGTGCCTCCGTCCTGAGCAAGACCCAGTGCGACCAAGTCTCCAAGGCCACTGACAGCCTGATCAGCGTTCCCCTTGATCTTTGCATTGCCGCTCTCGGCAAGGCTCAGTGCGAGCAGCTCACCATCGCTCCCCGCAGCCAGTCTCTCATCAACATTCCCGTCAACCTCTGTGCTGCCGTCCTTGGTGAGGCTGAGTGCAACCAGAAGACCTCTGACTCCAACGGTCTTGTCAACGTCCCCGTCAACGCTTGCGTTGCCGCTCTTGGCCAGGCCAAGTGTGACCAAATGACTGGCTCCGGCTCCTCCGACAGCGACAGCCAGTCCCTCGTGAACATCCCCGTCAACCTCTGCGCTGGTGTCCTCGGCGAGGCTGAGTGCAAGCAGAAGACCGCTGACTCCAACGGTCTCGTCAACGTCCCCGTCAACGCCTGTGTCGCTGCTCTTGGTAAGGCCAAGTGCAACCAGTCCACTGGCTCCGCTTCCGCCACCAGCTCTGCCTCCGGTTCCTCTTCCACCTCCGGCTCTGACAGCGAGTCGCTGATCAACATCCCCGTTGGTCTTTGCGCCGCCGTCCTCGGTGAGGCTGACTGCAAGCAGAAGGAGTCCTCCGCCTCCAACGGTCTCATCAACGTCCCTGTCAACGCCTGTGTCAGTGCTATCGGCAAGGCCAAGTGTGACCAGGCTTCCGGCTCTTCCTCCGGCTCCGGCTCCGGCGAGTCCCTGATCAACGTTCCCATCAACATCTGTCTGCCCATCCTCGGTGAGGCTCACTGCAACCAGCAGTCCAACTCTGGCAACGGCCTGATCAACATCCCCATCAACCTCTGTCTCTCTGTCCTCGGTGAGGCTGAGTGCAACCAGGGCTCCACCACCACCATGACCACCTCTGCCCCTGCTTCCTCTTCCACCCCCTGTGACACTGAGACTTCCGAGATTGTCCACTCCACTGTCATCCCCGGTCCCTCCGGCTCCGGCTCCATCACTGTCCCTGCTAAGCCTACTCCTACCGGTGAGGCTCCCGAGTCCTCCACTCCCTGTGACACTGAGACCTCCGACATTGTTCACTCTACCGTCATTCCCGGTCACTCTGGCTCCGGTTCCATCACCGTCCCCGCTGTGCCCACCCCCACTGGCGAGTCCCCCGTTGAGTCTTCCACCCCCTGTGACACCGAGACCTCCGAGATGATCCACTCCACTGTCATCCCCGGTCACTCTGGCTCCGGCTCTATCACTGTTCCCGCCAAGCCCACCCCCACTGGCGAGTCCCCCGTTGAGTCCTCCACTCCCTGTGACACTGAGACCTCCGACATTGTTCACTCCACTGTCATCCCCGGTCACTCTGGCTCCCAGACTGTCTCTGTCCCCGTCAAGCCCACCGGTACCCCCACTGGCGAGTCCCCTGTGATGCCCTCCGAGACTGCTCCTGCTCAGTCCTCCACTCCTGCCTGGACTGCTCCCGCTGAGTCTTCCACTCCCTGTGACACCGAGACCTCCGAGATGGTCCACTCCACTGTCATCCCCGGTCACTCTGGCTCCGAGACCGCCTCCGTTCCCGCTAAGCCTACTGGCGAGTCTCCCGTTGGACCTTCCGAGGGTGCCTCTACCCCCGCCTGGACCGCCCCCGCTGTGACCTCCACCCCCGCCTGGACTGCCCCCGCTGGCACTGCTCCCGCCGAGACCTCTACTCCTTGCGACACTGAGACCTCCGAGACTGTCCAGTCCACTGTCATCCCCGGCGGCCCCAACGGCAACGGTAACGGCTCTGGCTCCCAGACTGCCTCCGTTCCCGCCCAGCCCACTGGCGAGTCCCCCGTCCAGCCTTCCGAGGGTGCCTCCACCCCCGCCTGGACTGCTCCTGCTGTCACCAGCTCTGCCACCAACGGCTGGAACGCCCCTGCCCCCAGCCACCCCGCTGGCCAGCCCTCCGGTGCCATGTCCGTCAGCACTGCCACCTACTACAAGACCGTCACCGTCTGCAACGCTGCCTGCTCCGGCTCCAAGACTGCCTCCATGCGCCACGTGAAGCCCACCTCCCCCGCTGGCTCCTCCACCCCCGTTGGCTCCATGCCCACTGCCCCCGCCGGCACCGCTGGTCCCTCCGCTCCTTCCTCCCCCTCTTCTCCCTCTTCCCCCTCCGGAGCCAGCGCCAACTCCCCCAGCTCTAGCCCTGTCTTCAACGCTGCTGGCCGTGCCACCATGTCCGGCTTCGCCGTCGTCTTCGGTGCCCTCTTCGCTGCTGCTATGCAGTTCTAAGTGACGATCTTGTGTCGTTGACAGACTGATTGTGACAGAACGATTTGACGACAGTTGGTATCGTTCAGTTCTCTTCAGCTACTGTACTCTCTTACGTTTCTTTTCGTGCTGAACATACCCGTCTACATATATTTTTTACTTCTATCTTCAAATGTTCAAACCATTGGATTAATCATAATACTACGATGTACGTCTAAAGTTGCACATGTCTTGGCCTTGGTCATTCGTGTCTGTATCATGATTAAATTGGGTTTGCCTCCGGGTGTTCTTGACTGTCCTTAACAATATACCACTGATTCTTTTGTTTTATCTCTCTGAGTTTTTTTCCAATGTAAAGTGAAGACTACTCGTATAGACTTACTGGTGCTTTCCAATTTTCTCCTGAAGTGGTGGTCCTCAACGATTTTTGAACCCTTGAGTGCTCTTGCCACCAGCGTAATTAAGCAATATATTGTAATAATTCTGTCATTTACAACTTATAGTTAATATAATTTGGGATAGATGAATGTAAACAAACAATCAAATCACAATCTTCAAATACTCGAACAAAACAAACATGAGATTTTTACGTCCATTTGCTTTGGTGGCGAGCCTCGCAGGCGTGACTCCATCGCCCTCGATCAACACTCCATCCCCCTCTATAAACACTCCATCCCCCTCTAGCAACAAGTCGGTTTCTACCGACAAACATCATCTCCAAAGACGCTGGTCTTGGGTTTTCACTTGTACGGGTGTATGTAGACCCCAGTTTCATGTACTCTGTACATGTATCAAAATAACAGCACTGAATTGATACCAATACTGTGAACAGTACCCTGAACTACCCCCGCTCATAGACGACTGTCGAGTTGTTACCCTTCTCCTACGCCAAACCTATTTCACAATCCACCTAACCCCTCCACGTTGCCGGTACGAGAAATATGGGACCTGTTTATCCTACGTATGTGCTGAAAATGTGCCAATAATAACGAATACATATTTCGTGGCCACAATGCACGAAGACCTCATTCGGCAGTGTGTATATTTCGGGGAAACGGGTCTCTACAATACGACCTGCCCCGCGTGCAATTGGGAGATTGGAATAGAGCACTTGGGCAGGGAGCTCCCCCCGTATAGGGAGCACTACGAGTACGACCGCTATGACCTGTAGATTCTTCTGGAAAAAGTCTGTATATCATTAGAAAAAGACATTCTTACCTCTCTCCTCGCTTACGCGTACGTACTTAAGTAGCCTGACACGTACGGTACGCGGCCCCTTACACAAAGCTTGGAAGTTTAGAAACATGTTTTGAGTATCCTTACTGTTAGCATGACTTCAGGACGAGTACATAACTACTATTACAAAAGATCAAAGCCCAGTGCTATACCTTTACTGAGAAGGTTCATCGGGGTTTTCCCAGGTTGCTACTACATAGGTTTTCAACGATACAAAAATAGCCATTAAGGATATATCAGAAACATGAGAAGCGTACCGAATTTGAAATCCGCCCCCCAAAGCAACTTTCTGAAGTTTTGCTTTAATCGTTGATATGCACATCAGATCCCCATGTCGGCGAGATTAAGGAAGACATATCTATCCCATCTCGTAAACCATCCTCGAAACTGGTAGTGGGCACAACACAGAGAGTATGGGCTCTGCGAAGTGGTGATTGTCCGAATCGTGGTAACGGGTCATCAAAAGAAAGAAGTCCTTTCTTGAAATACAGAATTGCAAATATCAGAACTTCATGCCATGTCTTTTCTGTGGTGGCTCGAATGGATGGATATGAATTATTGATAGTTGGGGTCGCAATGATAGTTGGGGTCGTCGGGGGAAGGGGAGGAGGCTCTGTTGAGGTCGTCCGGGGGAGGGGAGGCTCTGGTGTGTCTGAAGGAGTCCAAGGGGGTCTCGGTGACCATGTTGCTCGAATAATCACGCCATTTTCCCCCGTGACAGCCTTTTCCTGTTCTTCCGTCTGAATTCGGACCTTGACCTTTCCACCGTAACGCGCGCGGTCTGCAACGTCCTGTACATGGCGCTTTATTTCAGCGAGATCTGTATCAGATGTGGCCACTAGCTTTTGGATCGCCCATCTGATATACATTAGTCAAGTAAAGGTTGTGAAAGAAGGTCAGATCAAGACTCTACCTTTTTGTGTTCCTCTTCCCAAGACACAGACAGAACGTGTTATCGGTGAGTTTCCTGAAGATGATTAGCTTAGCCAAGTCAGGAATGTTCATTTACTGTACCTCAATATCCCTCTTCTATCACCAAGCCAATCTCGAAGCCATTCGGATGATGTTGTCGCAAAATCTGAACTGGATTCGGACTTCGACCACGAGCGACAATCCTTCTTAGAGGAAGTGACGAATTCACCAGAGCTGAGTCTTGAATCTTTGGAACAGTCGATCCAGAAATCGAAATCAATGACCTCAGTCCGTCCGTTCATATGTGTTCCAAGTATACGTAGCAATATTTTTGGTGGAGACCATTGCAGCTGCATCATCGCAGGATCGGGGGTTGAGTTGGAAGTCATTTCTGAGGATTTGAAGACAATTTTTGAATTGAGTAGAGCTGTATTGATGGGAAAAGAATCTGACATTTGAGAATTATCGTGAAATGGCGAGGTCCGACGCCTGATCTGGTCATTTCCCAAATAGTCCGCGGAGTGACGGATACGTTACGAGCATACCTAGGTAACGGCTACTGTAGAGTCAAGTAAATGCGCATCCAATTCGGTATTTCTATATATCATTGTGATTTACCAATGCTTTAATTTCCCTTCATCTTATATACTCAATAATACACGGTAAACTGGGATTTGGTAGAATGGAGTCTTTAGAATATGGCATGTTGGTCTTTGGGGAAGAAGAAGGAAGTACAAAGACATCAAATACCAAGTGGCGTTCATACCGTTTGATAAAAAGGACTTCCTCGAATTCGGACCAGATGCGGCAAAGCGACTCTAGCTCTGTGTGCTGTTTCGTGAACGCAACGGGTATTTCGTTGAGACAGTGTATGAGCAATCTCATGTGGGCAATCCCCAGAAGGTCGTGGGGCTCCTCCTTCATCTTTTGAAGCAGTTGATCGAGGTGAAGCTCACTGTCAGAGCACAACAATCCAGTCACACATCGCCAAAATTCATCACCCGTCTCTCTTTCTCTCTGTGTCTCCTGAAAGCATAGTGCTTGTCCACCTTGCTATCGCCCAAGGGGCTAAACGCATATTGCTGTCCTGAGGCCATTCTCCGGCGATCGACACGCCTTGGTTTTGAGTGAGCAAAATGACACATAATCTCGTGGTAGGCTGGTAACTTCGTATGCGTGCATTTCCGTAGCCCCTGCAGGCCTTCATAAAGTATCAGTACTCCGGATGTGTTGATAGTGACAGGTACCTTACCTGCACACACATATGGAAGACAGGTTCCGTATGCCTCTTCGCGGCAATGGCCGGGGCTCAGATGTATTGTAATGTATGTGTGGTGTAGGAGATGGGTGACTATTTGGCAATCGTCGAATAGAGGGGGGAATTCGGGATGCTGTTGACGGTTGGGGTTAGTTCAGTCCTTTTATTTTGATACACTGTCCAGGTGGCTTTACTCACGCCTGAGCGGTATAGGATCCAAGACCAGAGCTTTTGAAAATTGAAAACGAAAGTGTTCAGTGTGTTCTGTTTTGTTCACAGACGGCTGCTAGGGCGGCCAAGAACCTGAAAGGAGGTAGAATCCCCATTGCATCTGTGTATGTGAAGGATTTGGTTTGGGGCTTTCTAAAGTTGTTGTTTTAAGAGGCAAGTGTGACACAATGATTACACTTATGGGGAAAGAGCGATGCTAAGCCTTGAAGAGCTCAATCATGTTGATGACCCAGATGTCTCTACCTGGATAGATGCCCAGGTGTGCCGGGAATCTTAGTAAGATCAGCTTTCAAGCACGAGATTCTAGGATCTCATCCTTCTCAGTTCCATCTCAGAGTGAGTACTAAATATACTAGGTATCACCGGATTTTCCACTAAATCCGGTATCCAGTTTGGTTTGCAAAAATTTGTCTGAAAAAGCAATGTTAGTGTTGCTATGCGAATATTATTCGACCTGTCAGTATTATGTGATTTCATGCCTTTCCATGCATTTTACCCTATCTTACGGTCCAGATGTTACATGGTTTCAATAAGTACACACATGTTTTCCAATGCTGTACGACAATCAAAGGGTCTTGTAAATATGTGACCCCCTTCATTTTCGATTGGTCGATACCCATATACAAGTGCCCTTTAATGCACAGGTGCCCAGGCGATGAGTAATGTGATACATTGATTCCGCCCCGTCCTGGAGTCAACCTTCTTTGACAGACTCTCTGCTCACTAGAGCTGGCCCTCAACCTGCGAGTTTCCACTTTTCCGACCCCCTCATGAAGAAATCTCCAATGTTGATTCTACCTCCCAGGGCAAGATTTCTTGCCTTGGGTGCAGCAGGGGCTGTATTTGAAAACGGAAATGGGAGAGTCAGCAAGATCCCCATCACGCACGATTTCGCAGGTTGTGACGAGGAAACCATCAAGAACATGAGCCATATAGAGTGGATCTCGGATCTTGGTATCACTCGGGAAAAAATCATATACCAACATCTCCCGAAGAATCCGAATATTCTTGACTGTCTCGAAATCACCGAGCAAGGACTTCATTTCCCATACCACCAACTCGGGGATCTTCGTACCTACTTATCTACTCATCAAGCCTCAGAAGATATCCGACATCTTTGGATAAAAAATGCCATCGATGCTGTCGTTTTTATCCATAGCCATGGTGTTGTGCATGCTGATATTGGCCCAAGAAACTTTCTCGTGGCCGACAATTTATCTCTGAAGTTGTGCGACTTCGCTGGGTCTATTATCATTGGAAATGACATGGAGGACTATGTGGAGGAGGAGAGCCGATACAGTATGGCTCCAAACACGCCTCGATGTTTCACCACCGATCTATTTGCATTAGGGTGTTTGATTTACGAAGTCTCAAGTGGCATCCGGCCATATGATGATATTGATGTGGAAGAAGTTGACAGGCTATATGCGATCAAAAGTTTTCCAAGTCTGAATGGCTTCAGATACCACGATCTTATTCAGAAGTGTTGGCATTCTGAGTATACAACTGCGAGTATGCTTCAAGACGACTTCCATCGCTATGGCTTGCATGATCCTGCATATGCACACTAAGCGCTGTCTTGCGGCCTTGGAGATGTCCCCTACTGATTTCCATGCTTCCCGTATTTTGCTTTGCCTCTGTTGTTTTTGTAGTATACCAGAAGAGGAAGTCAAGTTGACCAAATTTCGGGTTCGTTCGAGAAGGCTTCCAAAACATTGAAATCTTGATTACTTTTACGTTTGAATGGGATGGATGGAAGGATTTGGTAGGTTTGACATTGAGATTTCCCGATGCAGGATGAGCCGGGCACCTGTTAGCCTTAAAAGACGCTCCAAATATGCCCTAAGTTGAACCGAGCGAAGGGTCCGCTTCCACCAAGGCCTGTACCAAGTCTTTTCCTCGCCATTTCTGAGCCAAAGCTGTGCGAATATCAAAATTCAAGTCGCACCTGCGAGGATACTGCAAAAGAACCCGGAGGGTTTTTTGGTCCCGAACCGACTTCAACATCTCCGCAGTGACAAACTTGCTGGCACTTCGATCAAGGAGCAATGTTAACTCTTCATTCGAGAAAGGGTCCTCGCATCCGGTAGCTTCGAATATCATGTCATCGGTGATTGTGAGCGTAGGGCTGTTCTTAAGGAATTGCTTGAGGGTAGTGGTTCCGCGATTCCTGGGAGAAAGTCTCAATATTAATTGGATATCTTCAAGGGTGGCTTGATAGCCTTCACTGTATCGCGAAAAGCAAAATACGTGCTCCTTTAGATCCGATGGGTTATAGCTTTGGCGTGTGAGCAATGTCTGCAACGGAGACTTGCCGTCCGATTGAAGGGAATTGAGATCTGCGCGGTGCTCCATGAGCTTCTCAATTGCTGCTGCACTACCATGAGCGCTGGCAAGATGAAGAGCAGTCCCAAATCTGGGCGTGTTGAGGTTGACATCTGCGCCGTGACTTAGTAGGATACTGAGTATCTCCTGGTGATCTTGATCAACAGCAGCAAATAGTGCTGAACCAAAGTAGCCGCCAGATATGTTGATGTCTGCGTTGTGTTCCAAAAAGTACTCCAGAAGGAAATCGTTCCCAATATAGGCCGCAAGATGCAGGGGAGGTCCAAGTGGCCTCATTTCTGGCTCGAGTCTCGCTCCGTGGCTCACAAGCGTGGTTACAATTGCCTCACACGAAGCCTTTCTGTCAAAGTCGGGGATGCAAGTAGCTTTCGAATCATCGAGACAATCGGGGAACATAGACCGGAAAGATTCACCGTGTTGTCCGAGACTGCGCGGCATCTGGCCAAGGGACATGTAGCCCTCGAGCGCTGCTTGAACGGGGGTTCCGAAGCGATCACTATCTTTATCAGCGCAAGCTCCCTTCTTAACAAGGTGCGCCACCAAATCAGCTCGATGGTAATAAGCTGCAACATGAAGAGAGCTTCCGTCTGCTTCTACAGCACAGTCAATGTCGACTCCACGCTGGTGTATCAAGTCTACAGCATCAATCAAGCCGAGTAAGCATGCATGTCGCAGGAGTTTTGGGGTATTTGGAGAATTTTGGATCAAGAAGAAAAGAATATCCTCATCCCCACCCCTTATCCCAGTGGTCATGGCATCTTCACACGCCTGTATAAGGGACGGTGTTGGTGTTAGCCTTTGGAGAAGAAAAAGAAGGGTGCGTTTGGCATTCTTTCCCTCTCGGGCTTGCGATATTGCATTCAAATGCCTCGATGGGTCGTAGAATTCAGCCCCGGCCCTCAAAAGCAGGTCTATGACCTCGAGTTGAGCCAATCTTGCAGCTATCTCCAGCGGTGTGACTGTAGATCCACCAGTTTGCTCCATATTGGCACCCTGTTCCAGAAGGATAGAGATCATCTGATGGTGTCCGTCGGCGCATGCCTTGTGCAACGCGCTTGCTTCCATGTCGAATCTCGACATGGCAACTGATTCTTTTCGCAACGTACTCTGGTCTGCATTGATCTTTGCACCCCGAGAAATAAGAAATTTGACAACTTCCACATTGTTAAGACCGGAAGCTGCAATGAGGCAGGACATATAACAAGAGCCAACCACATTCACATCGGCGCCTGCTTCCGAAAGAAAGCGCACGAGCGTCAAATCATTGTTCAAGACTGCTAACAGTATTGGTGGGATCTGAACGATGTCGTAAGCCACCCAGGCATCGCCGAAGCTATATGTCTTTCTAGGAGCCCCTATCAAGGGTGCTTCTAGTGGAATGATCCCAAAGGTCCCTTTACTGGAGCTGCCTGGTCGTTCAAACACGTTCAAATTGGCACCAGCGGAGACTAGTATGCGAGTAACTTCTGTTTGAGATCCTGCAATGGCAGCCTGTAGGGGTGTCCCGTGAATTGGCTGGGACACATTGATATCAGCTCCGACATGAAGTAGTGCCTGGACGCAGTCTGTATGTCCGAATATCGAAGCAGCGTGCAGGGCGCTTCCAAGGAAGTGTCCATAGAAGTGAATGTTTGCCCCCTTCTCAAGAAGCAAGCGGACATATTCGATATCCCCAACGGCGGCAGCCATTTGCATCAGTAAACTAAACCGATCGTCGTCGGCTTTGAGATCAGGGATGTCCTGCAGCAAATGCCTAACCACAGCTCCCGGTCCAGTGGACAACACCTGGTGTATAGATTCCGACTCAAAGAAACGGCCGTGGTGCGATTCAGAAAAGTCAAGCACAAAGAAGTTGAGAGCCGACTCTAACTCCTTACATGAGATTCCATGCTCGCCTCTACTTACACTGCACTTCGCTCCAGCACCCAGGAGTATTTGGAAGATGACAAAAGACTCGACTTCTCTCGATGCAGCACATTGGAGAGGCGTTCCGGTTTTGTGATTGGCAGCATTGATGTCTGCACCGGCGGAGATGATCGCCCGAACTGTTGCTGCACTTGCGTTGAGTACAATATGGTTTAATATCTCACTGCTCAGCCCCTTTTCCAAGTTCGGGTTTGCGCCTTTCTCCAACAAGAGCCTTATGATAGGCTCTTGTTTGATCAAGACTCTGTTTGTACGTGCCACCTTTTGGCGCATCAAAGTTTCTGATGACCTACGTAGACCATTGTCGTGCTTTGGTATGGCCAGTGTACATTGCATCAGAGCTGAGCGAGGCTGATCACCGATAGAAAATATGTCGGGATGCTTCCATTGCGCCCGAGTATGTTCTGAGTCCAGCAATGTCTCTGCCAACGCATCCACATCTGCACCCAGCCCAATGAGCAATCCAACCACTTCCAGCCTTTCATTGGCACATGCCTCAATCAATGCCCGATCAAGCAGAGTTTGACGTGATTCAGTTTGTCTGATGGTTGGTACCAGCATGCTCACGAGGCTTTGGCATCCCCCGCGCACAGCTTCATAGAACATAGTCTCCGGTGTCTCGAGACTACACCGTGTTGAATTGTGTTCGATCAAATAGGTAGCAACGCCAGTGCGGCCTTGAGAAAGTGCTTTCTGCAACTCACGCTGACAGTTGTATGGCTCGAGGTTGTCCCGGAAGGCCTCATTGAAGAGGTACTGAACAACACACAATGACCCGTGCGCGGCCGCAATTTCCAGCATATCTCCGATCTCGTCAACTCTGACAGCACCTGCGAGATCGGCGAAGTGCTGTAATACTTTCAAGGCTGCGTATTGAGCACATTGTGTCAATATATGTCTCCGGAATTCTTCAGCGGGGAAGGGTACAGAACACTGCTTAGAACGATAGTTGATTGGGTTGAGAGGAGAGAGAAGATCTAAGCTAGCTAGGCTGGTTATCTACAGTGGGCACCTGAGGCAAATATTGCAAACACCCCCTATGACCACATTGGTCGACAGCCTAGATCCTCTATACTAGGAAATAGCTGCTGATTCGTAAATATTGCGTTTTTGAGCGAATTCAGCCTCCCCCCATGTTTATTAAACCCCTTTGCAAGGTTCTATACCTAGTTAACTGACAAACCGTACGAAGCTAACCCTAGCTAGTGGCTTAGTAAGGTCGTCGGCAGCTTACTCTTTGGAAGGGACATAGTTAAGAAGCACGTTCCCGGTATCGATCTCTTTGTGCTGGAAGTGATATTGGACCTCGATGTGCTTAATACATGCATAATACTCAGGGTTCTTCGCGAGTGCGATCGCTCCCTGGTTATTACCATGCAAAATGACTGGTTTGGCGAATAGATCTTCCATATACAGCTCAGTAAGCAGCAGTAGCAGCCACTGACTCTTTTGAATTGTAAGCACCTGAACAATATATTTAGATTTTATAGAAGATTATGCTACACAGCGCTAATGTTTAGAAGCCCAGCTAATTGTATCACCAACGAGTTTAAAAATAAAACTGAAAGTACTCAGGCTCTTTTCGGTATACTTGTTAGTCTAATCAACGTTATAGAAGCCGATTAGGCATTCCCTGCTGTTAGAGAACACAAAGTAGAGATCGTATAATCCTGCTAGATAGTGTAGAACTTGCTTCATAGCATATAAATACTTTGAAGAAGGGTTACAAACAAAACGAAAGAGCTTTGTAATAAAGAATATAATATCTAATTGTATAGATATTATCAATTAAATAAAGCAGTTAATAATCTTCTAATACTACTAAATCTTATCGTTAATAACTTAATCTATATACTCCTTTAAGACTTTATTTTTATCTATAGGAATACTTATAGCATTTGCTTTTAACATTCTAAATCAGAAAAAGACTTTTCTTATATATTCAGTCTAAAAGAAATAGATCTTATCGCCTTTATATAGTATGTGTGAGAATCGGGGGGTTGGGTGCCTGGGGGGTGAGGCATCCACACCCGAACCCGGGAACCCAACCCTCCCAAATTCTCCCAGTAGCTCCCTTTCTCCTTTCTTTCCCTAGTTTTAGTCTCTTTTAGTGAATGGACCTTCTTCCGAAGCCCGCCGCGTCACACTAGACTAAAACTCATTTTACCATCTTTTGCTGACCGAGAGCCGCATAGACGTAAGCCTACGCTAGCGTCTTGGCATCGGTTAGCCCCACTAATCAGAAGTGAAGAACCGAAAGTGAAACCGACCAATTAAATCGAACGAACCGTTGTATAGATAGACTGGTATAGCAGAGAGACCATAGACTCGATAGGCTATAAGAGAGTAAAAAGAACAGGAACGCAGTCTTTATGAAGAAGATTATGGGGAAAGCACATCTACTTCCGGACTTTTTCGACTTTCTTAACCCTTCAATATCCTAATAGTTACTATCTATAGACTCTGTAATATAATAAAGAAGTATAAAGTTTCTGAGGATATGATTAAGCGTTTTAAGGTAATAAATGCAAAAGAACGCTTCGAGTCTCTTTTCGAATTATAGACAAAGATAGAAAATAAGAGTTCACATCTTATAGAACAACTAAATGAAATTGACGATCGATTTGCTTCTCTAGAGGATATCGAAGATTAAATTAATTCTCTGGAAGCAGTATGTTATAATATAGACGAATACTATGCTATAATAGAACGAGAACAAAACTAAGTAGGATTCTAACTCTTTTAGGTTTAGACTCAACTAATAAACCTAATTTATTCCCGAAGAAGTATATTAATTATAGAAGCTTCTTGATATTAGAAGACTTAGAAGATACCTAATATTCCTATACTGAAAGATAGAAAAGATCTACGATATAAAGACTAAAAGATTGCTATATATTAGAAGCTAGAAGTAAATACAACGTATTATTTAACCCCTTTGCATTATTTGTTATATAGCTATAGTCGCTATAAAGAGAAGGTTTTCCTCTATATTAGTCCTTGAATGAATTCTAATAGAAGCGATCTCTATATTAATATTAATAATCTCTATAAGTATTTGAAATTGATCTTTTCTAACCTAAATAAAGAAGTGGAAGGTAAAGTAGCTTATAATACTTTAAAAATAAATCCAAAGAATAATTTTAGCAACTTTATTATTAAATTTAGATATTTAGTAGAAGAAACTAATATCACTAAAAAGTATTTCAAAAGGAATCTCTTTAAGAAGTTATTTTACTTACTATAAATCTTTATAATGAGCTAAATTAATAATCCTAATATATCCTTCGATTAATTTATTATTTATTATATATACAATTCTTATTTGATTAATCTTCTATAGAAGAAGTAAACTAAAAACATTATTAGAGCATAATCTATAACTAATTTTAAAGATATAGAATCTAGCTATAAAGGATCTTTTTTATTAACGATTAAAAAGGAGGATGATAAGTCTTCTACTAATATCTCTGTTCTATAAGTTAGTATATTCTATTTAAACTTAATAATCCTTATTAAATATAATAAATTAATAAATAAAAGTAAATACTTTAGATATAGAAACTATAGTTATTTTAATTTAAACTACTTTAGTAAATTTCTTTATACTACTACTGCTACTACTAGTTCTATTACTTTTATTTAGAAAATTAATCTTTAGTTTATTATTCTCAAAGAAATCAATTCGGAAAATAAGTAGATTTAAAAAAAGTCTTTTTTTTAGATAATTAATTATTTACTATTATAAAGAATAAATTAATAAGAATACTATTAAATAAAAGCTTTATTATTAATATTCAGATTTTAATTAATTTTCTATACTTCTAAGTTAGAGTATTAGTAGATAGCAAAGTAGATATATATTTAATAATATATTCCTAAATAGTAAAGAAATTAGAATACTATGGCCTTAGAACCAAAAGATTAAAACAATATCTTATAGTAACTATTTTTAATAAATAATCTTTATTACTAATCACCTATATAATTTCTATTCTTTTTATTATTAGAGATTATTAATAGAAAGAAACTTCTATATTAATTATGAATATAGAATAATATAATATAATCCTAAAAAGATTATAGCTAATAGATTAGAAGATATTAGTTAATTATATATGATTAAGACTAAAATAATTAATTCTATAAGGATCAAAAACTAAAACTAATTTCCTAAAAAAAAAGATTATTATATAACTAATATATCTAATCCTAATTAAGATTCTAAAACGATTAGATTCTATTATATCAAAGGAATACTAAAAAGATTACAAACAAAAGGACTTATAATTTGATTAACAATAGTATCATAGGGATTACAACACCTCCTATAAAGAAAATACATTATTTAAAATAAAGCGAATACTGAAAAGAACCTCTTGAACTTCCAGTAAGCGGTCTTGCCTCCAGAAAATAGACCTAGTTATCAATTTTAATGGTTTTATAGTTGTAGTAATTAGAGAAACAGGATTCTAATAGATTACCCAAAGGAAGGATGTCTAAATTTTTATAACCATAATAAACAAGATTTAAAGTATAATCAATAATTAATTAGAACCAGATTTAAAGCTACAAATAATATAAGTAACAATCCCAAAGGAATATTATAACCTTATAAATATATTCTCTAAAAGAGAGTTTAATATATTACCCCTATTTAGACTAGAAATAGATTACAAAATAAAGCTAACAAATAAATAGATTCTAGGATATTATTCCTTATATAAGATATCTATAAAGCAACTGCAATTTACAAAAAACTATATTACTGAAAACTTTAATAAAAGCTTTATTATTCTAAATACAACTCTATTTACTTCTTCAATTTTAATAGCAAAAAAGTCTAACAAAAGCTTATATTTTTATATTAACTATCAAAGATTAAACTAATTGATAAAGAAAAATATTTATCCTTTGCCTCTAATCAATAAACTTATATAACAAATAAACAAAACACATTATTTTATTAAACTTAATATCTACTAGAGATTCTATAGAATCTAAATAAACCCTGATTCCGAAGATCTTATAACTTTTAGAACCTATTATAATTCCTATAAATACTAAATAATATTTTTTAAAATAACAAATAGTTCTACTTTGTTTTAGAGATATATTAATATTATTTTAAATAATTATCTAAATAAATATATTACTATATATATAAATTAATATCTTTATTTATAATAAAAACCAAAAGGAATATATTAAATATATTAGAAAGATCTTAAAATATTTATAGAAAATAAATTTATAGATTAGCTTTAACAAATATAAGTTCTATACTAAAAAGATTAAATTCTTTAGTTTTTTAGTAGGGATTTAAAGGATCTCTATCAATCTAAAGAAAATATAAGTTATATAAAACTGAAAGGAATCTATAATAATAAAGAATATAATCCTTTTTTAGATTCTATAACTTTTACTAAAGGTTTATTAAGAATTACAATCGTATTATAAAACTACTAATATATTTAATTAAAAAAACTACTTTATAGAATTAGAATACTTTATATTAAGTAGTATTTAAAGAGTTTAAAAAATAATTAATAACAACATCTATACTAATATACTACAATCCAAATACAGAAATAAGATTAGAATCTGATACTTTTAATAGAGTAATTAACATAGTACTCTTACAAAAATATACTAATAAATAATATCTAATAGTCTATATATCTGAAACCATAGATTCTATAGAATAGAAATATAAGATTTATAATAAAGAATTACTTACAATCATCTATATATTAAAAGAATAGAAAACAGAATTAATCAATCTATAACAAGAAGACTCT